AGAAAAAAAAATATTCTGAATCTCAGAAGCCAGAACAGCAAGAGGGATCACTGCGCAGTGAAAGCAGCAATCCCTCTTGCTGTTCTGGCTTCTGGGATAGCTGCACAGCCTGCATTCGCTCCATAAGACGCACACACATTTCTCCTTACTTTTTATGAGGGAAAAAGTGAGTCTTATAGAGCAAAAAATACAGTAATTGTTTAGTCCAACCATAAGATTGGGTTGAAAGGGGAATTCAGCTAAAAAATGAATATTTTTGTTTTTTGTTTTCCAGCTTTCCTTTGCCAAGATTAAAAATAAGTAAATAGACATATGATCAAAGTGAAATTGAGATTCTTGACTGCTTTGCCTCCAGGGCTGAGTAAACCTGCAAAGTTGTGTGACAGTTTTTCACCTACTGGGCCCATTAGAAGTCTGATTTTCCCAACTTCTTTAGTGTGAGGATAAGAGTAAGACTGCAAGTCAAGCTGAGGAGGCCTTTTAAGCAAATTTGACTCTCCATGCTTCCATGGGCAGTTAAATAACCCCTCCCATAGTGACTCAGGGCAAAAGCACCCAAGCCCTTTCCCTTCAAAGTGCAGCTGCAATGGCCAGAGCATAGTTGGAGCTTAGCACTGAGGGTGCAGCCCTCTCATTCATAATGCCCATCCCCCCTGCTCACAGCATAGTTCCTTCTCATCCACCCCTGCTGGCAGTCCTGTATGCTGCTGCCCTACAGTTTGGCACGTCTCTCACACAAGGAAACAGAGCTGTAAGATGAGCTAAGTCCAATTCCAGGGACTGGGATTTTGGTGCCACTGAGTCAGTCGAGAGGCGTGCAGTAGACCTGTAGAGAGAAGAGAGCAGCTAAAAATACCCTAGAGCCAACAACACACAAGGAGACGTGCAGAAAACACAGCAAGACAAGGGCAGGGAAAGACGCTGCCATTCGGTCAGCTCAACTTCAGCTGTTTCCACCAGAAACCAATCCTGGTTTGCTGCTCCAATACAGCGGCCTACTATTTTGCCCCTCTGCCAAAGCCAAATGCGTATAATCCCCTGCCTCACAACCACAATTACAGGCTGGCTTTCTGACTATGGTGTGGCCATTCTGCCCAGTGCCTAGGTGGTAAGCCAGGGTTAGCTCTAACATTAGGGAGAGAGAGGAATCTGCCTTAGGCAGCTCATTTTGGGGGGTTGGGAAAAGGCAGAAAGTAGTTATTTATTTAATTTTGATATTTAGTGATTACTTACTGCTAAGTAGACAAGACGATTTTGTCAGATTTTCTGTCTTAGCTGCCAAAATATCTTGACTAGCCCTGGGTACTGTATGCATCTTGTTGGTGTTGCTATGTGCTGCTAAACTTCAAGAAGCAAAACGTCCTGGGTCTGCACTGCCATCATTACCAGACACAGACATATGCCTTATAGATTACACTTTGCCCTTTTCAGTCATTGCTGCCTGATACCCACCAGCTCAATGTATGCTTTGCTGCCAAGCCACCTGTTTCAATGTTATGGTATCTCAAAATACTAAGCTTTTCTTTGTTTTAAAAAGGTTTTAAAAAGAAGAGGATAATATGCAAAATCTAATTTATAGATTTAGGGCACATTTAGAAGTAATTGCTGTGTCTGAATAGAAATACATCTCATTCACCATTGTGAGGAACACTGACCGTGACCAAGTGACCTGTTTGCCTGTTCAGTTTGCCATCCAGGTGCTAAGTGTGTAACTTCAAGCCCCCTCCTGCTCATTTTGCCTGAATCATAGAATCATAGAGTCATAGAGTTGGAAGAGACCACAAAGGCCATCGAGTCCAACCCCCTGCCAAGCAGGAAACGCCTGTTTAGGGTTCTGTATACCTTTAAACTGGATATGGACTGGTAGCACTTCAGTTAGAAGACTCTTTCAAATAGAAGTCTATTTTCTATGAAGCAGGACATGTGACTACCCTAATGTTTGTTTGAGAACCATCTTACGGAGCTCTGAGACATAGGCCATCTTTTAAAGGAGGAAAAATTTGGTGGTGGTGGTGGGGGGAAATCAATGATTGCCTATGCCAGCCAGATGTAGATAGTCAGGCATCATGAGTCTCAATCCTTGGTTTCTGGAAATTGAGGACCAGATCACTATATCACCACCCTGATAACTGCAGAGCCTTTAACCAAAACTTACTGACTGTTCTGCTGTGTCTGGAAAAACCAAGCAGCCTATAAGCTTCAGTAGCAGACCGCTCTTCCTTGTACAGCTTAAACTTTTCAGTCTGAGCACTTTGGTGTGAGACCTTGATCTGAGACATTATACCGAGTATACCAGATTTCTCTGACCTACCTCCCTTGATCCCTCAGTGTCTGTTCCACAGCCCCTTGCTCTCCCTCTGTATTGCAAACCTGGCTTGGACCACTTCTTTGACTCCTGTTCTGAATTCCCAGTCCCAGACTTTGGATCATCCAATACTCTAGAGCCTGTGTTCACATAGATATGCTTCCAGTCAATATGGAAGGTTCTAGGCCAACGCCTGACCCTGAAGAAACCAAGGCTGCTTCAGCTCTTGAGTACTTGTGGTTCCTGACAAACTTACTGCTCCCACCCCCCTTTTCCATTCTACTCAGCTGGGTGCAGCCTGGGAAAGCAGGGAGTGTTTGCTCAGCTGCTGGCTGAGGAGGAGCGATGGTCTCTGTGGGGAAATAATACAGCACTGTAGAAACAGGTGGCTGCGAGACACTGTCCCTACTCCATGGGCAACAGCACTGAAGGTCTTAACCCATTGTGAGGTATGCCGACTTTTTTCCTGGGAGCACTTTGCCATTTACACGAGCATGACTGGAAGTATCTGGGCCCACTGCAGGTGGAGGCAGCTTTGTTCATCACTGCTTATCTACTTTGGGAAAAGGTACATTTCTGTGGGTTGTATCCAAATTCTACTCAGAGAAGACCCATGGAAATCAATGGATGTGACTAACTTAGGTCCATTACTTTTAATAGGTCTACTCTCAGTATAACTTAGTTGGGGACAACCCTGATTTCTTACTCAACTGTTCAAAGGCAGATGAACCGTGCCATTTCACCCATCCTCCTGCATCTCTACTTATTCTTCTAGAGCAAGATCATTGTTATTGTGCCGGCAACAATGGCTACTACAGGCAGCACCATCCCTTTTTCCGTTGGTGTGAGAAACGGTACCACAGATAGCTTAGCCAGCCAGTTCCCCCAGTTATAGAGATCCAGGCAGTGTACTCTTAGATCTTGCTCTCAGGAAGGGTGTAGGCAGGGAAATCAACTGCTGGGGTCCTTTATTTACAGCAATGTCAGTTAGGCTTTCTTACTCCTGCTGCAATGGGATTGGCCTCAAAATGGCAAGTTTAATGCCTGGAAAATCCCAGAGTCAGCACTGAGAAAGGGCAAATCCAAGCATACTGCATTCCTCAGGCCGTGGGCCGGAGGTAGCAAGAGTCGGGCCTGTGCCTGCATGTAAAGTAGAGGACAATGGCAGCATTGACTAGGGGGCATCTCAAGAATGTGCTTAAGATCCTCATGTTGCACCCACATAGATAAACATACTCTGCAGTTCCTATAGACCCCTAGCGCTCTGGCTCCTGGGCATCTTGACCTTCCACCCACTTCATTTGCTCCAGGGGCTCCTGCCAGCCCCCAGTCCCATTCAGCTCTCCCCACCCCACTTTCCTTGTGAAGGTCATCTCAGCTTCTGCGCTCCAGGATCCTTCAACTTCTTTCCTCACCCATTTGTGGATTATATCGCCCTGGTGACAACACACTCTGACCAACTCTGTGAACTAAGATGTTCATGGATGTGCAGGGAGGCGAAACTGGTGTGCCAGTCAAAGTATCACTTCACATATAGAATTGTCATGTTGTTGTTGTAAACTGGGAGGGGGAGCCCAACTGGGAGGGGGAGCCAATGCCACTGAAGACAGAGTCAAGATTCAAGATGACCTTAACAGATTGGAGAACTGGGTTAAAACTAACAAACTGAATTTCAGTAGGGACAAATATAAGGTTCTAGACTTAGGCAGGAAGAACCAGCCATACAAACGTAAGGTGGAAGACACCTGACCTACCAGTAGTAAATGTGAAAAGGGTCTAAGGGTCTTAGACCACAAGTTTAACACGAGTAAACAGTGTGATGCAGCAACAAAAAAGCTCATGCTACTCTAGGCTAAATCAACAAAAGTATAGCGTCTAGATCAAGGGAGGTCATAGTTTTGCTCTATTTTGCCTTGGTCTGACCACACCTGGAGTACTGTGTCCACTTCTGGGCAACACAATTTAAGAATGATATTTACAAGCAGAAATATGTGCGGAGAAGGGCAACCAAGATGGTCAAGGGCCTGGAAACCAAGCCTAATGAGGAACAGTTGAGGGAGTTGGGTATGCCTGGTAAAGAGGAGACTGAGAGGGGATATGATAGCAATCTTCCAATATCTATCTGAGCCTTCATAATAGGTTGTATTATCTAAATTAGTGGTGCCTTGGATGATAGTCAGGGGTGCTACGGGCAACACTGGCTTCTGTCCCTCTTTCCTTCCCTACCTTCCTCTGATGCCTTCTCACGTTTCTGCCTCCCAAAGGCTTGCACAACTGTTCGTTACAGCAGCCCTTGCTACAAGCTCTCCAGGCAAATGGTGCCTCTGCTGCTGGCCAGGGAGTGCTTCCCAGGCCCCTGTGGGGCAATGTGAGGAGGCATCTCTCTTTGGGGCAGGTGGCACAGCTCAGAGCTGCGGCTGCCCAGAGGACTCCCAAGGAGAGGGGAGAAGAGGCTGAGGGAACCCCCCACAAGGGAGGGTTCAAAAAGGGGTGAGGGGCTGCCAGCTCTGCAGGCAAGGGGTGACGTAATTGGGCTCCTGAGCCCCACAGGGGTGCCACAGAAAGAAGGTAGTTGGTCATGGGAGCGGTGGACCCAAAAAGGTTGACAACCTCTGATCTAAATCAATGCTTAAGTCACTGTATTTCAGCACTCTTAATATAGACAGCATTCATATTTTATGGATTGCTTTTCCACTGCATTTGTTCTGAGCTTGTATTTTACTAAAGTGCTTTGGTTGCTGATGAACGTATTTCTGAGAGCGCGCAGAGTGCATTCCTCTCGCGAATAATCACAGCTGGCAACCTCCGATCTAGTGCTAAGAGTCATGCCTTCTAAACAGATAAGACCTCAGTATCGCTTATTTTACAAAACAAGTGCTAGATGGCGGGTTTCGAATTTTAGGGATGAAGAATCACGCTCTTCACTCTTTCTCAGTCTTTGTCCCCAAGAAGAAAGGAGAAGCGGTGGGCGGAGTTTGCAGGTGGGGCAAGGCGCGCTGCCTGCGCTTTTCCCCTCCCACAAGAATTTTTAGGACAGGCCAATCGGGAAACGAAGAACCGGAATTCTATTCACCTCTGCCCAATAATAAGTCTGGCGGTGGGCGTGGCCTCGGTCCCTTGATAGGGGGGCGTGCTATATAGAGCCCTGAGGGTGTGGCCAGGGGAGCGTGCGCCCGCTTCTGTACGCCAAGGAGGGGCGTGGTTTCCTTCGGCGAGAGGGCGTGTCCTGCAGTTGGGGGTGGGTGGGGGGAGGCAGGCCGGGCGCGCGCGAGGCGGAGCCCGGCGGGTTGGGTCGGGGCTGTCGCGAGCCAAACGGGCAGAGTCTGGCGAGCTGCGCTGCGCTGCGGCTCGGCCCGCGGAAAGGTTTCGTTGATTGGTTGCGGCGCGCTCGTGCCGGCGGTTGCTAGGCTCCTGTGCGCCGCCCCTCCCCCAGGTACGTGTCGCGGCGCCGTCGCGCTTGCTCGGTCGCCTCCTCTGTCGGTCACTGTGCCGGCGGCGAGTCCCGGGAGGGAGCGGCCTCCTCGCTGGGGCTTCTCAGGGGCTGGCGGGCGGGCGGGCGGGGGACGAGCGGGAGCGCGCCGCGGTAGGTGAGCCCTGGCGCCAGGGAAGCTTCGTGGGGGCGACGGCGGCGGCAGCGGCAGCCAGCACCGGCGCGGGGCCCTCGCAGGCCCGGGATTCGGGGAGCCCCCGAGGCCTCTCCAAGGAGCTCTGGCTCCAGCTGGATCTCCTGGCGGAATTCAAACACTCACCTCTCCTCCGCTGATCCCTCCGCGCTCGCTCGCTCTCCCTGCGCCCCGAATCTCCTCCACTCTCGGGCTTCCTCCTCCCCACGAGGAGCATCTCACCTTGGGCCTGGGCCACGGTCTTCCCTTCCCGGAGGGGCGTCTGATGGTAAGGCAGGTGGGGGGGGCGCAGATCGGGCACCCACCAGAATGCAGGTGGACGTGCGATACTGGCTGAGCAGGTGCAATTGGCGCTGGGAGCACTGCTCTGCTCTCCTCGTGTGTGTGTGTGTGTGTGTGTTGAGCATTGAGGTGCGCCGCAGGCAGGGTCGGCGATACTGGGTTGCGATTGAAGGGTCTCTGGATTGCTAGGCGGTAGGAACGAGTGGCCTTGGGGTACCATGATGTTTTGTTGAGACTGGGAAACTGGGCCATCTATAACGGGTAGGGAAATCTTTGAGGTCCTGCTAGAAGATTGCTGCCGTGCCTTTGCCATTTTGGGAGTGTTGCAGGCCCCCTTTCATTAAAAAAACTGCAGTTGCCTGCCATGTTGAGGAATGAGTTCTCTGTTAGTTTGTGTTGGACGAGCAAGCTGCTGTAAGGCCTAGGCTAAGTGTTCTGTTTCAGGAGCTCCCTTTTTATAATACTGTCATGCTGAATCTCAGAAAGATCTAGCTATATGGTTCAACATTATATCTGCAATCTAATGTAGCAATGCTAATTTCTAAGGCCCTCAATCTGCACCCACAGTTCCCTGATTGAGAAGAAAGTGGTAGCTGATAGAATTACTTGATGCTAACTATAGTAGTAATAGCAATGCCACTCAATGCTTCAGATCTGTGTTCCACATACAATCTCTGTAATCCTTGTAAGGTTGCTACCTAATTCTGTGCTGTTATTGTGGGCTGGACTATTTGGCCAATATCTACAGCTGGAAGTGCTAGAAACTTTATAACTGCTAAGTAGGAGCCATTGCTTCTCTGTAGGTACATGTTTATATGCTGGGACTGCTTTAGAGTCTGTATCCTGGAGAGCTAGGCCTGCAGGAATCATTGACACTGAACATGTTAAGTGCAAGTTTGTTTTTTAAAAAATCAATTTATTCACCAGAGGTACTATTGACTTGTAAAGCGATGCCTTGGAACCATTATTCTTGTTGTAGGTAATGCGGTCATGATACCAGTAATTGCTGGCTGTTCCACCACATGCAGAATGAGCACTGCATTCCAAAAGCTTAATCCAGTACAGGCATCTAGTACAACTTATAAAAAAGCTCAGTATATTTAGAAGCAACGTGTAAGGGCGTGTTAAAACAGCAGCTTTCCTGGTCTGGTGTTGTAGTGCACATTTGGAAATGCAATAGTGAGGCTAGAAAAGGCAGTATAGTATACAGTACATCACTCAGTACATTTCCCAGTAATTTTTGCTGGCTGTGTCCATGGTTAGGGGACCAGTGTGCACTGAAGTACCCTCTGTGTAATCACTGCAGGGATTGGATGTGCTGAATTGTATATTTGATCCTCTAAATAGGGCACACCCACTTGATGTTAAGATGTTTAATGGATTGGAGTCCTGGGGAAATAACTGATTTAAATTTCACTGAAAACACTTTAGAAAACTAAGCTACTGTACATGTAGTTCTTTCTAAAATGCTTCTTCAGGTAGCTTGATCAACTATTCTAAAGCAAATTCACTGAAGATGAGGTAGGGAGGTTCCTTAGAAGAGATAGCTGTGCCATTCATCTAGCAAAAAAAAAAATGTTGGTAGTATGCATATTTGCTAGCAAAATAATTTTTGTCCTGTATGACTTGAGAAAGTAGTATGACCAAAATGAAGCTTGTTTTTACCCTAACGAAACTTCAGATTTTTTTGAGAATGTGGAAATTGCTCCATCTTTAACATGCTTTGTGTTTTTACATGCGATGCATTAGATCTATAAAACTAGGTATTAGCCCTTTGAGAGAGAGCAGCATGACTTTCTGCTGTTGTGCTCTTTCCCACTAATATTTCACAGTGGAAAGTTACATTGTAAACAACTTCCATATCAACTTATATGTCACTTGCTGATTATCAGATAGATAAAGTCCTGTACCATGTTTCTAAGATATTTGGGTCCTTGAATACATTTCTGATAACTAAGTATTTGATACAAGAACAGATATGGATGCTTGACACTCTCTGGACCAACTAGAAATTTATTATTAGCTGGTAAACTGAAGATATGCTAGGACATGTGATGTTTCCTGAAGGGAGCCTTTAAAGTGAAGTATATATTCAGTGCTATTAAAAAATAGTAAGAAGCAGTTCTATAAAAGCTCAATTCTAAATGACAACTTCCATAGGGGGAAGCCTCAGCAGTCTGTTGCAGTAAAACTGATAGTGTTGTGGCACCTTAAAGAGTAATGGATTTATTAGGACATAAGCTTCCATGGTTGTTAATCTTTTTGCAATCAGAATGGGTGCCTTCTAGTTTGTCACTGCTGGCTGAAAAGTAATGACTTTCCTACCCTTGTGTCCTACAGACTGGAGGAGGATAAGCATTTAGGGGAAGTTTAATGTGTGGAAGTGGGTTCCTCTCTTCTGAAGAAAAGTGGCCCCTGTATAGTATCAAACCGGGGGGGGGGGAACCTTCTGACAAAAATGCCCATTATCTACACACCACTTTATGCTAATTTGCTAATTGTTAAACTGTGTGGAGGTACAGTACTGTGCTGCAAACATGCAATGATTAATTAATTAGTTTGGACTCCTAGGCTCCTTTATTTATCCACTAACAGTAAAGGCTTTCTGTTGCAACTCTGCACAATCTTCTGTTCTGAGTGTATGTCTTGCAGTTGGATTCCACTGGAGGTGGGCAATTCTTTGCTGTCTCTGCTTAGTTTTCAGTAGAGCATTCAGTTACTCCCCAGTTCAGAGATGCAGCTGAATTACCTGCCTTGAGAGAGGAGGTGCTTGTTGCATCCACTCAGGATGCATAGCCTAAATATTAATTCAGAAGCAAAGTCGGGTAATGCCATTTCACAAGGCATAAGGCATCTCAAATTCTAATTCTGAAAAATGCATCCTTCCCTACCCATCTTGAAGTTTGTGCTACTTTGCTACTGTGCTACTTCAGACTGATGGCAATCAGCATAGCTCCTGTGACCACTGCAAATGAGTTTTTTGAGTTTGTATGCCTATTTTCTGCGAAACATTGAATGAAAACAACTGAAGTGTGTTGAGAACATGGTTCTGAAACTCTAGATCATTTTGGAGTAATGAAATTTGAAACAGGACAGCACTTATAGGGGACTTTCCTGGCTGTTATTTATGCTGGGATGTTAGCTTTGGACCCATTCACATACACCTAGATGTTTCCATTTGATCTGTTTTCCATTTTTCTTACATGTGCTTCCTGCAGTTGTCCTTTTGTCTAAACAGTGTGCTGGAACCTCTGGCACCAGTGTGAAGAACCAGGAATGCATTCTTGATGCTAAATATTTTGGCTTTGTTTCAGTAAACGTGGGAGAGAAGCCTTAGCTTCCACAAGTCTCCTCCTTATTAAATGCAGATTGATTGACACATACTTGAGTTCAGTAGTTTAAACCTCAATACATGTGAGGTCCTACTTTTTCACTTTTCCCATGACCTCCTAGAAGTCATGTGAAGAGGGAGGTTCTGGTATGTTTTGAGTATCATTGTTAGTTCTCTGCAAGCACCCATTATAATTACTGGGATTACTAAATGCAGTTCAGTATTTCACTCTCTGACAAGCTGTTGATCATACGACTTTATCTCAAGTAGGGGCTTTTATTTTCCAAAGTAATGCGTGAGATAAAAAATATTTGTATTATTATTATTATTATTATTATTATTATTATTTGTACCCCGCCCATCTGGCTGGGCTTCCCCAGCTACTCTGGGCGGCTTCCAACAAAGATTAAAAATACATTAAAATGTCACACATTAGAAATTTCCTTGAACAGGGCTGCCTTCAGATGTCTTCTAAATGTCAGGTAGTTGTTTATCTCTTTGACATCTGATGGGAGGGCGTTCCACAGGGCGGGCGCCACTACCGAAAAGGCCCTTTGCCTGGTTCCCTGTAGCTTTGCTTCTCGCAGTGAGGGAACCGCCAGAAGGCCCTCGGTGCTTGACCTCAGTGTATAACTGCTACAATATCAAAATATGGTAGAATTACTGAAATACTTCAGTGTAAAAACAGAATTTTTGAATGTTGAGGATTTTTGTTTTATTGGTACATGGGTGTCCTGGACTGTATAACCCTTATTAATCCTTAATATAATAAAATAAAATGTTGCATCTTTGAGGAGAGTGTCAGAAAAAAGAGATCAAATAGTGGTTAGACAACGGTGTCAAGATTCAAAGTTCCAGGATACACTAATCCATTGGTTGTCAACCAGTGTGCTGGGGCACCCTGGGGAGACTTGAGGAATGTTCAAAGGAGCCCTGAATGTTCTTTCATTAACTTGCAGCCCAAATCTTCCTGCAATACTTCTCTCTCTTTCTCTCTGAGGAACATTCAGGGCACCCAGCCGGGGCAGAACAGGGTGGGGCAGGGGCGGAATGGGAGAATCCCCACTTACACATGTCCTGTAATGGAACCCCAGTGTAAATGGCTCTCACAGCGGAGCGACAGAAAAAACGTGGTTGGTCAAGGGAGCCACGGACTTGAAGGTTGAAAACCACTGCTAACAAATTAAAAATTAGCAAGTCTCTAGTTGATGGCTTACACCTGCTACCCAATAGTTTTTAAATAACTTGAATATAAAACTAGATCTTTTAAATATAAGGAATTTGCTGTAGAAATCTACCATCTCACCAGAAGATGAGACAGTTACATAGGGTGGGGGTGTTTTGTTAAACTCTGTAATTAACCTAATAATAATAAGTTGGTGGAAAGTATTACTAAAGCTTGAATTGTTAAAACATACAGAAGAACAAGCATCAATGAGAACTAATAAATGTGGCTTCTATAAAGTAATAAATGTGGCTTCTTGCCTCCCATAAAATTTGTGAGTTCTTAAATGTCAACAAGACATGCTCCATGTCTTTTCTGGTTGCTCAAAGCAGTTTACCACCAGTAATTAAAGATACTAATAAGGACAAAATCCAGTTACGTAGTAAACTAAATCTACAGGAAGGCCTCTACCAAAAACCATCCTAAAGAAATAGGTCTTGCTTTCCTCATAAAAATAAAGCAAAGAGGTAGATGTTCTAACCTATAGCTGCTAGGACACAGTTTGGGAATGGTCTGTGCATCTGAGTTGTTGCAGTTGTAACTTGCCACAAAGACACTACAAATAACAAAGCCTGTTTACTGACCTCACCTCAGCAGACTAGTATACTTTGAGGTATGTGAGTCTAGGCTATGCACGGCTTTAAAGCAGGGGTAGGAAGCCTTTCTTGGCCCAAGGGCTGCATTCCTTTGCGGAGTGATCTGGCCACTGCATACCACTAGTTAGTGTGGGGACAGAGGCAAAGGTGGCTAGGGCAGTAGATGCCACTATTGCCTTTGTACAATAGAATATATTTTAGCCATGCATAAGCCAGAGAATTCTACACACAGAAACAAACACATACATATTCTATAGCTCTCCATCCAGGCAAGGAAAAGGCATTACCATAATTTAAGGGATACTGTTCAGCAAGGCAAGGGATTACCATAATTTAAGGGATACTGTTCATCCCAGGCCTGACATTCCTAATTCCTGCTTTAAAGGTTAACACAAGTACCTTGAATTGGACCTGGAAGCAAATTGTTAACTAGTGCAACGGATGCAGAACAGGTTGAATATGGTTGTGCTTTTCAGCATCTGTCAGGGCTGGCTGGTGCATTAGTGTACAGAGTGACAAGGTGTTATTAATTAGTCAGAATTTTGTGTAAATTATTACTTGCAGCTTTTCATTACAGTTTAGTAATGGAATATCATAACAAAAGTATGTGAAACCGGTAATTTTAATTGTAGGTAGTTCTGATCGGATGCACCTAAATGAATAATCAGGTAAGGTTTTCTATCTCATATATCATTCAATATATTCTGTGATGTTAAAATACTCCCAAATTTTTACTTAGAAACTCCAACAGATTTCGTTTTTGGGGAGGGGATTCCTGCTATGGCTTTCAGAGTAGTTATATATTCCTCATGTCACTTAAGGCATTGCTGCTTATGCTACTTAATTTGCAGTCACAAGGGTCAGGTCACTATGAGACATTTAGGAGCTAGCAAAAAACTAGATAGCCCTGTATAGAACTGGAATTCACAAATATTTAGAACAATTCATTTGTTTGGGTGAAGGATTTTTGCTGCTCTCACTATAATATATGCATACAGGGTGGAATCAGAGATGTAAAGTTTCTGGAAATTTTAAAGCAATGGCAAAAAAAGAAGATGGGGTAGGGGAGGGGACGGAAGAAAATTTTGGGGAGGATACCAACATACAGTTTCTGTGGAAACCCAACTAGATGGGTGGGGTATAAAAAATAAAATTATTATTATATGCAATACTTGTTTAAAGCACCTTTTTACAAATCAAAATTCACTTGTTACTGGACATGCGCCCTCCTCTTCTTTCATTTAAAAGTGAATGTGGATCTTTAGTTTTGTGCTAAAAGAGGATGGGCCCAGTATAGGCCAGGCCTCTTGTTGCTTATACCGTATCCTTTCGTTTGAGTTTTCCTACCTGTTCAGTTCCGTGCATGGAAAAGGAATTATGTCTAAGACATGTCCCCTCCTCCTTTCTAGGTTCCTGTATTCTGTCTCTTGGTCACACTAGAGAACATTTGGTAGAAACTCACATACTTACATACTGAATTGCTTACTCTTAATATTGGTTGTTCCACAGTAGTATCTTAAATATAGGTTAGCGTGCCAATTTGGAAAGCTCTGCTAGAAAGCTGAAGCTTCTGGAATTCCAATAGATTTCTGGAGAAGTACTACAAGGGTTTACTCCATAGATTTTGATGAAAGGACTATAGCCAGAATATGCAACACTTATTATTCAAAGGGCTTAGAATTTTAGTTTTTATTGAGAGATCGTCTGTAGCTGGAGCTCCCCTCAGTAGTTCAGGAACTTCTAAAGGTCCAAGTAAATGTTGGCCTAGCTAGTATCCAGGCTAAGCCAACAGCACTCCCTACCCCCAAAGATAATTTAAGGTTCTGTATTTGACCTTTTAAGGCCTGGAACCACTTAGGGGACATCTTCTCTCTTATATGCCTTCCCCCTTTCTGTGAATTAAAAATCAACTAACGATGTCCCTGTCAGGGAAAAAGGCAAGGTGTAAATAAATATATAGAGAATGACCATCTGCCATGGATACTTCAGTTGAGATTCCTGCATTGCAGGGGGTTGGACTAGACCCTCAGTGTCTTTTCCAGCTCTACAGTTCTATGACTCTGTATGTGCCACTGACGTCATTCGTTGGTAGCTTTTACTGTGATAGGTATCTGCGCAATTGAACTTCCAAGGGAGATCAGCCAGGTCTATTTTACTGAAGTTTGACAGAAGAAAATTTATCTTTGTTATGTATTTGGTTTCTGAACATGAGACTGTGCTGGTTTCTCTAGGCCATTTTAATTGTTTTCCGGGAGTTTGTTTTATTAACTTTAAATGTGTTATGTTCCTATTACATTTATCGTAAGCTGCTTTGGGGACATTGAAGTAGAAAATCAGTTTATGTTGAAATCATTTTATTTGAATGCATAATCCCTGCAACCTACATTGAAAATTCAGAACTTCACTCATTGAGCGGAAGAATTGTTGCATGGAAAAAACAGAAGTGAGGCATGCCAATAGGTCAAAACCAATTTTCAAATGCATATAAGTCAGTTCCCAGTAAACTGGTTGTCTTTCTACGTGCAGAACATGTACCTATTCAGCCCCTTAGTTTCTGTCATCAGGGTAGAACCTGCCTGAAAAAGAACAAATTCTCACCTTTGTACCATGTATTTGTGTGGATACATTTAGCTGAGAGGTTGTCCTTACAATTGTGGGGGATGTCCCCAATGTCATACATGTCTGTTGAAATAATGCCATCAGAACTATGCAGTGAAGATTCACAGAGGATATCCCAAGTTTGAGTGTCTTATAAGACATAATCCTATGCACATATTGAACTCAATAGGATTTAGAGCTCCATCTGGACTATATCAGTGTCTCCTAGGCTATTGTAAACTTCCATATGCATACTGTTTCCCTCTGTAACACTCAGCTAGAAGAGAGTTTGCTGTGCCAGACTCTTAAGCTCCTGCAGTACGGAGGGATGAGACTTGGGAACCTGCCACGGAAGAAGTAGAATGGATAGAACTTCTACTTCTGTGCATGCAGCATAATATATCTGAATGGTCTTCGTGTTAGCAATTTCCCACTGGACTTAAAATGAAACTTTTGGTTTGGTCTTGGCTTCTTGTTGCTGGTGCTGTAACAGCCGTGTACAGTATGACATGAGATTTTACAGCGTCAAAAAAGTTCGATTGTTCCTGCCCAGGAACTATCATTTTATTCTTATTCACAATTCCAGTTAGTTTTCTGATTGGGGGGCCTTGTTTAGTCATTTAGTTCAGGAGATACTTCAAGTAGGCATCCTAAAATAGGACAGAGTCAAAGCTGGTTAATCCTTTCCCAGTCTCTAGAGTTCTGCTGCAGACAACTGAGCTCTTTTTCCTCCCTTGGCTTAAATTTTCATATCTTAGAAATAGAGAAGTTTTATAGATCAATAAAATTTTCTGCAGAGAAGACTTTTTAAAACTAAGCTATAGGACGTATATCTGCTTCCAATGCACTTGTACTTGGAATGGAATGTCATGTGACATGTTGCAGTGAGATAAGCTTGGATTCATGTTGGATGTCTCGCGTGCTGCTGTCTTTACTGCTGGCTCTGTATGTTTCTTTCATGATATTTAATAGTTTCTTTTAATAGTAGCTAAATGTCTGAGTCAAAGTTACTAGTTCCCGAGAGCAGATTTTAAAACTTTTTAAAAAAACAAAGAGATGATATAATTGTTTCTGATGCCTTGAAGGACTGTTTAGGACAGGTCAAAGTGGAGGAAACAGTTAAAGAGGCTTGCGGTGGTCATGGACTTGTCCATCATTTAATTTGATTGTGAGAAACAGAATCGTTCCAACCATCAGAATAAGGAAGTTGCAAATGTGGTTCTCATGAATCTACCTGTCCTGTTAAGGATTAGCACATTGCATCCAGTCACACTACTCCAGGGGTCAGCAACCTTTTTCAGCCGTGAGCCAGTCCACCGTCCCTCAGACCATGTGGTGGGCCAGACTATATTTTCCGGGGGGGGGGTTAACGAATTCCTATGCCCCACAAATAACCCAGAGATGCATTTTAAATAAAAGGACACATTCTACTCATGTAAAAACACGCTGATTCCCAGACTGTCCGCAGGCTGGATTGTGAAGGCGATTGGGTCTGATCCGGCCCATGGGCCTTAGGTTGCCTACCCCTGCACTACTCAGCCTAGCTGTCCTCTAAGAAACTTGTCTGGGGTACCTCAAATTGAATTATTGGGTGCCTTTTTATCAAGTTAGTACTAAATCTTGTCCTGTTCAGGAATTATTAATCTGTAACTGTGTGAGAGACACAGGATTTTTTAGCGTTCTGCCCCAACCTTGCTATTTTTAGTGGCAAGACCTCATGCCACACTTGAATACACTTATAAGTCTCCCTGCAGTTGGCAGCCCTAATCACACAGGGCTCCTGCTGGCGGGAAGGCTTGTAAGTGTGTTCAAGCAAACATGCGTGCAAGGTCCTTTCATACCCTGCTGCTGTACATGGAAAAATTGGGGGATGGAGCAGGCAGGGTGTGCATGCTTGCAAGCCCCACATTTCACACAGTTACAGGTTAGTTATTCCTGAGTAGGTTTTTGCTTGTGCTAGTAGTTTGCTTAAATTTTGCGCTCATAACAACAATATTTTTGTGCTTTCTTATTATGCATCTTTACAGAAATTGATCAGGCCTAATGAATTTCTTTACATTTTCTCCTTAACACTTGGACACATAATTGCAATTGTATGTAGTATCCTTTTAAAGGCACTCCTCATTGCAAAATTCTGAGGTGGTCAGAACTGCTTGGCTTCTACTGGGGAACAGATTAGATTATTTTTTAAGTTATTGGGCTTTGTTCCCAAAGCCTCTTACTTCCACCTCCTGTAATTTTAGGCCCTATTATCAATACTTGCTACATGTAAATTCTGAATTTGATGTTCTCAAAATGAATGTAGTTTTTATTGGAGTTTGTTACTTCAAACTGTATGGAGAAGTGCATGTTTTAATCATCCTCCTATGATGGAGCTTCCTGGTTTTGGTAAGCTAGTATGTCGGGGGGGGTGGAGAGACATGCTTAGTTTTCTCCTTAACTTGTTTTTATGCGAGGAAGCATTCAGATGAGTTTCATGTGCTCTGGACCTGTACCCTTTTAGAATATTAAAAATAAAATTAAAATTCAATATTTTAAAATTAAAAACAATATTGTTTGTGCAAAACAACTTTGGGTGGGTGCTCCCCCTTAGAAACCTCAACAAGGTACGGCACCTCTTTTTCTAGAAAAAAGCCCTGAATGCAATGAGATAAAAAGGAAGAACTTCAGAGAAATTAAAATAGAACTTAAACAAGCTTATTAAATTTGTGTTGATTCCCTTGTCCTTTTTCACTGTCTCCTGGATGAAACTTGAGCTTGATTAGGGTATATGTTGTTTTGGACATGGAGTTTCATCATGCAGGCTCAAATCTTAGTTCAATCATGAAAGACTTCACAAAGTACCGTATTTTTTGCTCTATAAGACTCACTTTTTCTCTCCTAAAAGGTAAAGGGAAATGTGCGTCTTATGGAGCGAATGCAGGCTGCACAGCTATCACAGAAGCCAGAACAGCAAGAGGGATTGCTGCTTTCACTGTGCAACGATCCCTCTTGCTGTTCTGGCTTCTGAGATTCAGAATATTTTTTTCTTGTTTTCCTCCGCCAAAAACTAGGTGCGTCTTGTGATCTGGTGTGTCTTATAGAGCGAAAAATACGGTAGTTCTTTAAATAATGGTTCTTAGGTCTTATTACCCTCCTCCATTGGTGGCTTGGCTCTTTGCGGCTGATCCCACACTCATTAGGAGATTCGAATGCATAATAGCAATTTTAAATTGTTGTGGCTGATACCTAGATGTAGAGAAGCCACAATGGTCAATAAATACTTTCTCCTTTGGGGCACCTTGCCCTAACTGAGGTGATGAAAACTTGGGGAGAGGGTGAGGATCAGATCAAAGTGTTTACAATCAGGCTAATGTCTTGTGGCTTTGAAGCAATGTGAAGACTGAACTGATTTGCAAAGTACATTCATAGGCAAACAATTATTCCATTTACAGTCTTCCCCCAGCCCTCCACCCCTTTCCACCCACTCACTGGAAAGGAATTAGCCTTATTACCGTGACTTTGAAAGTTACTCTGCTGCTAGACTGAAACTTTCTTGAAGACCTGCTGGGAGATTCTGAAGGGCTTAACAAAAACTATCCATTGTTAGACCCCTCTAGTACTTAAGCAATCACTGAATCTACTGAGGATCAAATTCATATTTTTCAAGAATATTCATCTGAGATTTTTTATTTTCTCCAAAATTAGAAATTGAAGATGAGAAGAAAGTACTCAGTTCCAATAACCTTTAACTTTGTTACCTTGATGACTTGGATAGTATTTATTGCCACTTAATTATCATCTTTATGATATGGCATTCATTCTGCAAGTTATAATCTGAATAACCTTTTGAATGTAATTTAGTCTTTAAAAGTTTTTTTTAATGGTTTTAGCAGGGATTGCCAAGCAATATTTCTTCCATAGCTTAGCCATAACAAACAAAATGGTCTTGATAGACCAATTGTTTTCCAATTATTTTGTTTTTTGTGTCACTTCCAATCCCTTAGTTGCCACAGGGTTGAATGAACAAACATCAGTTATCTATTTTCCTAATCTTCCAAGCAAACATTTTGTGCAATACCAATTTTCTTCATTCATGTAAATGGATCAGTTGACCTTTCAGTTCTGGCCTAATCTCTGCCAATTTGGAAAAGGCAGCTTTGGTTAGATTACTGAAAATGCATTTATATCAGGTTTGTAATTGCTCCACCAGATTACCCGGAATCACCAGGCAAGAAAGCTTTTGAATATTGGAAGCAGGTAGCTGACTATTTTAGTCTATAGATATGCCAGAAATGGTATACTGTGGACAGGCAGACTAGTAAACATTTTTTGTGGGCCAATAACTAGGGAACATGTCTGCAAGGTTTATTTATAGAATACTAAACTATGGCAGTTCTGATGGTGGTATTAGTAGCAGTAGTAGTTTTATTGTTACTTTTATAAAATCAGTACTCTTGATGGTTTACAGCAGACAAGTTCTGCCGCAAGGAGCTTACAATCTGAAAATGCTTTTTTGAGTCTCTGGCAGCTGAGGTTTCAGGTTCAGTTGTATGGTTACTTGATACAGCTGCCAACTTGAGGCACAGCTGCGTATTTTTATTTGGAGATTAGACAAAATCTAGTCCTCATCACCCTCTTTTGCAGGATGTTCAAGGTGTGTTTGTTTCCTCCCAGGCTTGCGGCTGCTGGGGATGGTTGCTGGACTGACCCATTTTGCATGGGTGACTGGCTTGGTTTGGTGGTAATGTCCTGGGAGTGGAAGATAAACTTTCTCCCAGGAGCACTTCTGTTTGCCATAGCACTGAATCAGAAACTCAGGCAGCTGTAGGATGGACATAGCAGTATTTTGGCACACTAATACAGAAGCATGTCCTAAGTAGCAAGTTAAGAGAATAGACTTTTTCTGTTATGCATAGTAATAGCTATGGTGGCTTCTCCACTGAAGCTCTTTGCTGAAAGTCCTTCCTAACTTTCCAATATACTATAAATTTCTGTTCTTATTTTTGTCCTGACAGAACTTTTTTTTGTTTGTTTGTTCTTCTGATTTCCTGTCAGCCTGTCATATGAGTTAACTGTGGTTTTGAACTAGCTGGGCAGCAGTTGCCAAAACTACCAGACCCTAAGCAGATGATAAAATCCCCTTGTTATTGTGGTGTATTTGCCCTGCTCTTGACCGAAAACATGTTCCCAGGAAGAATGTAGGGGCTACAACACAAGTTTGAACAAAGAAATAGGGCAAGCAGATATTGAGGGCGCTGTTATCAACCACTGTCCATTATCTAGTTAAATCATTAGGTATTACACACACTTCTTGACAGGCATGCATTCCTGACATAAGGACTAATTTGGCCTCTGAGTTCTTCCTGAGTAATAAAACATGTCAATGTGTCTTCAAAACATGATTTTTCTTCTTGAAAATACATCTGGTGAATTGTGAAAAGAGACCAGGTCAGAACAAAATGAGACGAGTGATTCTTGAAATGAGAGTGTTGCTTTACAGCTCATTATGCTTCAAACAGTATAGCCCCAGCACAATGGGATCCCCGAGCAAAGGCGTACAGCTCATTATTCTCTCAAACCAAAATCTTTGAGTATTAGTCCGTATACATTCTTATTGTGCAATCTCTGGGGCATCTGGAAACTAATTTTGATGGCTAGTCACACTATGTACTCATGATAATGCTACATTCACAGGTAGCCACAAATTTCTGTCTGACTTTGGTTTCCAACCATGTTTTGCTGCTGGCCGGCTGTGAAGACTAATCCTGCCATAAAATTACAGCCATACAATACACATTTTAAAAACAGTATCTGTTTCATAAAAACGAAGTGAAATATATAGTAATTCAGGTTTTATCTTAATTAACGAACACATGACATTCTTTACTTTTTCCTTTCCAATTTTTGGTCTTTCCCTCCATAGTAAATAACATGGGTTACATCCCAAACTACATGAGTGTAAGTCTACATGAGAAGAGGACTTTTTCCTCTGTTCTTCCCATTACTGCCAATGCTTTGCTTTTGTCAGTTTCCTTCTTCCTCTCTGCAGCTGCCCTCTGCATATCCCAGCACTTTCCTTGGAGTAACAGCAGCTTGTACTGTGGACAAGGGTCTGGTAAAGCTCAGCTGAATGAGCAGATTTTCATTTGTGTAACTTGGGTATAACCCATACATTTTTTTAAAGCACAATTTTTTTTTAAAAAAGGTTACCTTTTTTGGTGCAAACCCTCAGAAGTAGGAGGGTCAGAGTTTTGCCCAGTAGAGGCTTATTCTGATGAACTGTCCAATAAATTATTACAAAAGTTAGTAAGGAATGTCAGGTAAGAGTCATGTGGCATGAGTGTTTATTAGCTAGAGTCAGTCTCAAGGACAGTTTTTCAAGCTAGAGCACTGAAACAGGATTTGGAAAACTATATGTGGTCTTTATTTTCTATTCAGGATTCATTAGGAAACAGGCTTTTGTCATTTTGAGTTCTCAGTGGCCCCAACAGGGTGGTGTGAACTCAGAAGCTTTGCTTGTTATTTTGTGGCACTTTGGTCCTAATAAAATTATTGCCTGACACCAGATTTTGAAATTTACAGATTTCCCCCAACTGTGATCTCTTGATATTTCGCATGTTTGTAGGATTGCAATCCTGTGCATACTTAACATGGGAGTGAGCATCATCAAACTCTGTACAGTGGTACCTTGGGTTAAGAACTTAATTCATTCTGGAGGTCCATTCTTAACCTGAAACTGTTCTTAACCTGAGGTACCACTTTAGCTAATGGGGCCTCCCGCTGCAGCGCACCGCACTGCCACCATGTGATTTCTGTTCTCATCCTGAAGCAAAGTTCTTAACCCGAGGTACTATTTCTGGGTTAGCAGAGTCTGTAACCTGAAGCGTCCGTAACCTGAAGCGTCCGTAACCCAAAGTACCACTGTAACTCAGAAGTAAGCATGCATAGGATCAAGCTGTGAAACACATTTGAGCATTTGCTTAACCCAAGGAACTTCTGCCAGGTGTAAAACAAACTTTGTATTTGTAATAACTTTTTAAGACAATGCAACATACAAGAGAAGAACCATCCCTCCTTTTCTGCGCAAAGTTATTTGTAAAAGAAACTAGTTGATTTCTTTTTGATGAACTGAGCTCTTTCTAGAAGTTCAGGGGCTCGCCAGACTAGTGAAGTTATGAAAATCTGGTGTGAGGAACCCATCATAACAGTAAGGTTGGAATAGTTCTTAGCTGCCTATGTTAATCTGAATGTGTAAAGGTCTCGGAACTCTTGATTTGAGGTTTTCTTGTCTCCCAGGGTAAGCATGGGGTGTATGGGATATCTTCTGGAGAAGAAAATAATGAGTAAACACATATCTGGAATGGAGTCCCTGAGACGGTTGGATGGCGCCTTGTACGTCTCAACAACTCCTGCAGCCCAAGCTATTGCTAAACATATTGCTTTCCATTCCTTGTGAGGTCAAGAAGAGGGTCTTGTTGTCAGGACAATCCAGAACCTCCATACACACCACACAGTTTTGTTTCCCGGGGTGGGGTCACTTGGGTGTTGCTAACTTAGCAGTTTGACTTCACCCCCAGAGGTGTACTCCATTGTCTCTTGAGACAGACAGATGCCAACCAACCAAGTGCAAGCTAGGACTCAGAGCCTAAGTTAGAATGAGAAACAAGCTTGAAACCCCTGAAAAGATTGTGTTCGATGAGCTGCTTTATATTTCTACTATTTAATTCAGGGAATGCTTTAAATTTCACTTGCTATTTGAAAGTGGATAATAGAAAGTCTTACAAAACCACATTTTCAGATGCTTCCATTTCAGAAGAAATTCACAAGGTGAACAGTACAATAAAGCTCTTATAAGTATAGCTAGTTGATTTTCAAATGAACCTTAAGGCATAATAAGTGATCGTTCTGGTTTAAATTGAGACTATAAACTCATTCATAAAGTTGCACCACAAGACTTCCATCCATTGCTGTGCTTTAAATGTACAGTTTTTTTGAGTTTATAAGTTGTGACCTAATTCTTTGCATATGAGAAGAAGGGACGCAGGTGGCACTGTCGTCTAAACCACATGTGTTTTTACGAGCAACTGTCTATTATTTTATTATTATTGAGCTGCAGGTTGAGGTGGGGGGTGTTAATCCATTAATGGGATACTGGGACCCCAACTCCTGCTAGGTATTTGAAAAAGAATAAGTCTCAAAGATAAAATGGGGCAAAAGTGTGTTTGCATTAAGTACAGGAACTTTTTGGTCTTTGCAAACTAATCTCTGGGCTTTTATTCTCAAATTAGTATTTCAGAAACGTTTCTGTTAGTGTTTATGGGGAAGGGCTTTTAACTTGAAATCTCATGATTTGGATTAAAATAATACAAGCTCCCCCCCCCCCGCATCTTAACTAGCCACAGTTATCACCTTAGCTGTCAAAGGATGGTATTATTGTACTTTGAGGGCATCCCCATCAGTGCAGTTCAGTACTCAAATAACTGATGGTACCCTTGTCCTTAGAGGGACGCGGGTGGCACTGTGGAGAGGGACGCGGGTTAAACCACAGAGCCTAGGGCTTGCTGATCAGAAGGTCGGCGGATCGAATCCCCGTGACGGGGTGAGCTCCCGTTGCTCGGTTCCTGCTCCTGCCAACCTAGCAGTTCGAAAGCACGTCAGAGTGCAAGTAGATAAATAGGTACTGCTCCAGCGGGAAGGTAAATGGCATTTCTGTGGGCTGCTTCGCCAGAAGCGGCTTAGTCATGCTGGCCACATGACCCGGAAGCTTTACGCCGGCTCCCTAGGCCAATAAAGCGAGATGAGCGCCACAACCACAGAGTCGGCCACGACTGGACCTAATGGTCAGGGGTCCCTTTACCTTTACCCTTGTCCTTTATAACACTAGTCTTCAGTTTACTGGTCTACAACTAAGTCACAGGGGAGAAGCAGTTGGCCAGAAGGCAGTTGTCTTCAACTTTTTGAGACCCACCTTCACCCTTAATAAGCAACCCGCTTAACTTTCTGTATATATCCAAACTCTGGTCAATTACTTATTCAGACTTTCTTTTTTTAAAATGAGAAAACTTTAATAAAAGTGTTTGCATCATTTGTTAGTCTTTAAAAGTATTAGTGCCTTTACTGCATGTAAACAATTATAAATATACAGTTCTGAAAGTGGAGCTTAAGTTGTTGTACGCTAAAGTATCAGAGTGCACCATAGCTTGCCAACTGGAATAAATAGAATAGAAACAATATTGTCACGCAGAAAAGGAAGATTCTGTTTGGATTTAGAATGGAGTGGCCTGGATCCAAAGATTCTTGCAGCTAGTTCAGCGTGCTGCTAAAGAGGCATTGGGCTTTTTTCTTGAAAAAGACCAACTCCTTGCTTCATGGGAAACTTCTTTTGAATCCGTGTTCTGAGGGGAATTTTAAAAGCAGTGTTTGGTATGGCTTGGGGGCAGAGGTTCTGCCATTCAAAGGAAGAAAAGTTAAATCCTACTGGGCATGTCCAAGCCTTTGGGTTCACTTTAAAGTAGCTCTTAAGATCTTGACCTGTTCAGAGTTGTCATGCAAAAACAGAAGAAACTTGTATTTTTAAAGAGCTCAGAAGATAAGCATCACTATAAGGAACAGCAATACATTTGGATATTAATTTAAATTAACAAGACTCCTAATGACTGGGGAGGCACTTTTGCTCTGAGCATGACTTGCTTCTGTGTAAAAGGCATCAGATCTGGTTGCAGTTTATCCAAAAATTTACTCTTTCTCTACTAGTAGCTATTTATTTTTATGCATTTATATCCCATTTTATCCCAGTAAATTAGATTCATGAAATCTAGCAAAACTCATTTATTCCTCTAATCAGTTAGCAGCCCAGTTCAGATAAAACAATCTCAGTCCAATAAAGCAGAGGCTATTGAACAAAGAATGAGTGTTGTATCTATAATACTCCCTCTGCTCTCAAATGCTTGTAGGGTTTCTTTAATGTACAGTTTCCCAGTTTTCCACACAATCTGAAAGACTGTGTCTCAAGCTTTGTTTGTAAGTTAGGATTGCAAGCTACTGTTTGTTCCCATTTTGTGAGCAACAATTATAGTCACTTTCCTGGTTTGGAAGTAATGGGAAACAAGAAATAAACCCCCAAAGTATAGAATTAGGGCACATAAGCAGAGACGAGACAGCACACGGATGCAAACACTCCTCTTCAGTCCAATTTAAGCCATGATTTGTCAAACAATATCATTATGTTCCGAAAGATCCATAGCTGATTTCAAACAATATTATTTTAAGACACTGCTTTAAAACATTTCATTATCCTAAAAGTGAAACTACTTCATAGAGCTTTCCAGTTGCTGTATCTTTCCATGATCTAAGGTAGTGGTGATAAGAATAGGAAGTCATATTCTCAATTTTTCCATTTTTCCATTTGCTTTTACATCTCTACAGTTCAATTATTATATCCATATTCTAATCTCTTGTTTCTTTTCTTTAAACTGAAGATTTATTAGAATTACCTTGTGATAGACTTCATTAGAAAATGCACGGCGATTGATCTAGTTAAGCCTCAATGTGAGCATTCTTTTTAACACCCCCCCATAAATCTGGGTTTTATGTGTTTGTATTTTCTGTACTTTATCTGTATTCTATTAGACAAGAGGATTGTAGGAGAAGTCATGAAGAATACTATTGTAAAATGCTGTGTTTCAACCACTGAACCAGTTCTGGGCTTTGGTACAAAACTGCCAGAGGCCTTTTTTGGGTGGGGTGGAAGGTTGAGCAGCAGATGATTCTTCATCTGATGACTTAAATACATAAGTTGTTTTTCTAGCTACATCCAGGGAATGTTGTAGTTCCATATGGATAATATTAGAAATCTGAGGTGTATTTTGTGCACACAGGGCTTTGAGGCCAAGCAGACCTGACCAGCACCTTGTGTAAATGGTAGGGCTGGGCAATAACTGGTTTTCAATATCGTGATATATCATTATATACCAATATATCATGATATCTGAAATAAAGAAGGAACAACGTAAATGTGAACAGGACAATGTCCTGGCAGCTGCTACTACTTAAGTGTCTAAAACTGATAAATGATGATATTATCAATCACCTCATGGTCACTTTCAGCAGCAGGCAAGCCAAAATGCATCCCAACAGGACTTTTGATTTTGGGCTTGGCTACCAAATGGTGGTATTCTGGAGAATCCAAAGTACGGTGATGAGTCATAGTGCATACAAATAATCTGGTACTGCCAGCAGGCCTGTTAGACGGCAGCAGCAGCAGCAGCCATGGCATAATAATCTGCAGCCTGCGAGGCTTCGCAGTCTGCTGCCGCTGCCAGCACTCCCTCTCACTGCTGTTGTGAGGCCTTGCAGGCCACTGCTGTTACTGTACTACCACCACTTTCCGTAGCCAACACAAGGCCTTGCAGGTTGTCGCCACTACTGACAACATGTACCACGGTCATGGCAAGGTGTTTCTGCAACTTCTGCCTGCTAGCAGTTTGGCAGTCCCAGATTATTTGTATTCACTATGACTCATTGCCAATGTTGAACACCAGATATTGCCAAGACCTTACTCACATTGTGATTCACGATATATTGCCAGCTCAGATATTATGAAACAGTTATCACGATGTGAACTTCAAACCAGTCCTATATATCGCCCAGCCCTAGTGAATGGAGTGTGCTTTTTAGAAGCCCAAGAGAAGTGTGAAAAGGGTTCCCTGAAAGTAAGAAGTTTGAAACTACAGTCATACCTCATGTTACATTTGCTTCAGGTTGCACATTTTCAGGTTGCATCCCGCGGCGACCCGGAAGTACCGCAAAGGGTTACTTCCGGGTTTCGCCACTTGCACATGCGCAGATGTACAAAATGATGACATGCACAGAAGCTGCGACGCGCAGACGCAGGTTGTGTTCTTTTCAGGTTGCGAACGAGCCTCCGGAACGGATCCTGTTCACAACCAGAGGTACCACTGTACAGCTGTAAGGGAATATATTGCAGTCAATTCAAAGTGGTGCAAATCTCCTTATTTACGGTGCAAATGTATGTGTAGGGCCAGAATATATTATTTCTGAACCCCTTCTTCTAGGTTAGATTCCACAGGATTCTGTGCAGCATCTAAATCTGAGTCTGTGGCTCTCCAGATGGTGATGGAATTCAGCTCCTATCATGCTATTGGTCATGTTAGCTGGGGCTGATGAAAAGGGGGAACCTGGATGCTGACCTTTATGAGAGAAACCTTGGCTCTGTGGTGTAGACTGGCATTTATCCAGCAAAGGATACAGTGAAAACATCATAACGGGCATTTGATGAAGATCCTATTCCAGAATTAGTGCTGATGGTGCAGTCATGCCATATGAAGTGGTGATTGCTCACTTGATACGATATGTAGAAAAGAGTTTAAAATCTGTCAGGGAGACTGACTTATCAAAAGAAATACAAATGTCACTATAGACCCTTATTTCTGATTAAATCAATGTTTCTTTGATTTCTGTGTTTTAATATCTGAAGCTGCAGTTCAGCATAGGAATGTCAGGAATGTTTGAGTTGGGAAAGTTGGCTTATGGTACTACCGTGTGAAATTGGTGCACTTAGTGAGAAAACACAGCCATGGTGGTCTGGATGGTTGTTTCTGAATCTCTTCAAACATAATTATGTGATTTAAGCTATATGGTAACCATGTAGAAAGAATGTTATTTTTATTGGATGTTGTCAGGGGTTCAGGAGCAGAGGCACAGGAAAGGGAGGAAATAGAGAGCGAGGGGGAGGAGTCCGAAGGAAATGTTAGCGATGACAGCGGTCCGAGGTCTCTGAGTCTTTCCAGCGAATCGGAAGATTCACAGAAAGGGGCTCCCTTGGTCAGAGCAAGGGGGTGCCGAGGGGGACACCCCAGGAAGAAGGGGCCAGAGGGGACTCAGAGAGCAGCAGTTGGAAATCAGGACCAGCGTCCACACCAGAGTGCAGTAGGGGGGAGGAGTCCCAGGCATCGGGATCAGGCGGCGCACTGCCAGTGGGAGGACATGAGTCAGGATTGGCCACGCCTCCATCGGGGAGCGAGGAAACGGTCGAGAGGAAGGTTGAAGGCTGGGCGCGCGCGCACAGTTCAAATGTACAGGAGGGCGGCGCAGTTGGCAGCCCGGATAGGGAGCCAGGTCCCAAAGCCCGCCGAAAAGAGGGGGAGGAGTCAGCGGGGTCAGCGTCAGAAGAATCCAGGAAGGAAGGGACCCCGGGGGGTAGCAGGACCCAGAGGAGAAAGGAGAGACGTAAGAGGTGGAGTAAGGCTAGAATCTTAAACTGGTGTACAGGGGCGGAGACTCAGATGGAGCTTCGCCGATCTAACCCCTAGACGTAGAGCTGGGGCGCTCCGGCTTGAAAATGGAAACTGTACTTCAATAAAGACTTTTGTACATTACTGCCGGCTAGCGTTGGTCCTCTGTGAGCTGGGACCTGGAGCCAGCTCTGACAGTAAGCTCCATCTCTAAAAGTTTTGCACCAAAGACCTCGTAACGTGAGTGGACGCAGCGAGGGAAGAAGATTGGTGCTTCGCGAGCTCACAAAAGTCAGGCAAGATGACTACAGAACAGCAACTAGCAGCCCTGCAAAATGCAGTGACACAACTCAACGCGGAGGTACTCGCATCCAGGAAAAGGGAAGAGGAAGCGGCTGCCGCCTGCAGGGATCTCCAAGCCAGGTTGGAAGTGCTTGCTAAGCAGGGGCAACCGGGACCCAAATCAGAGGGGATTGGGCTGGGGAAAAGAGGAGGCAGCCTGGTATCTCATTTCGATGGGAATTTGCAGCAGTACCCTAACTTCCGAGCAGACGTGCTGTTTGCACTGGAACTGCTGGATAAAGACTTTAGAGATGAGCAAGAAAAGGTGGGGTTTATCTTGTCCCATTTGCATGGGGAAGCTAAAGCGTGGCTGCGCAATCTGTGGAGAGATAAGGATCCGGCGCTCCAAAATGCGGATGCATTCATTAAAGCGATGGATTCGTGTTTTTATCAAATATAGACATTGATATCGCCAGAAAAGACATACATGGGCTCAAACAAGGCAGAGCCAGTGTAAGGCAGTACCATTCCCGCTTTTTTGCATTAGTCCATGCGCTGGGATGGGAGAAGGATTCTGCCCCAGCCAGAGACCTTTTTTTGGGAAGGCTTGAATGCAAATGTGAAAGATGAGATTGCAAGGGGGGAGAGACCAAAGAGCACTCAGGAGGTTGTCCGGCGGGCGCTGCAAATTGGGGTGCGTCTGGAAGAACGTCCATGGAACAGAGAAGAAGGACGTTGGGGACGTACGCCAGTGAGAGCACCTCCCCTCTTTCCCACGGATGCAGCGCGTGTGCAATCCCCACCTCCGCAAGGAGGGGAGAGCAACCGATGGAGATTGGAGGCGCCAGGGCTCAGTCAACAACCAGAGCCTTAACACCGGGAGCAGTCAAAGCGAAGCCTCCTAGAGGGAACAGGAAGTGCTACATCTGCGACAGTGCTCAGCACATGGCGAAAGAGTGTCCCCAGAGGCTCCACAAGCACACTGCAGCCTCAGCAACAGTAACAGAAGCAACTCAGCAGAGGGAGCCACAGCAGGGAAACGACAGAGTCTGGTTGGAGGAAGAGGCACTGGGGCCCAACCAGACACGTCAATGAAGCCGTCCCCAGAGATTTTGCAGCCCACAGACCCCCTCCCGCCCAAACCAGTGGTGCAGCTCACAGCATCGCTCCAACTACCCAATGGACTCACTATGGAAGTGCCGATTACCATTGACTCTGGTAGTAACGCAGACTTCATAGGACTGGATTTCCTTCAAGAGCACAACATAGCACTCCTGCCAGCCACGCTGCCTCTGAAAGTTGTCACGGTGGATGGCAGGGAATTGCTGGGGGCAGGTGGTGCAGCAAACTCCTCCGATGGTGATGCAAATTGGGAATCACCGAGAAGTCATCAGCTTCAATGTCACCCAACTGTCGGACACGCCTATAGTATTAGGCATGAGTTGGCTGCACAGGCACAGCCCAGCATTGGCGTGGTACCAGCGACAACTGACCTTCGGCTCCTCATACTGTGCGGAACATTGCATTCTGCCTAGCCCGGAAGGGGAAGAGGATGACCCGCAGCTACAATTAGGCACGCTGCAAGCGGTGCCACTCAAGTACGCAGCGTTTTGGAGGTTTTCTGCGAGAAGGAAGCGGACAAGCTACCTCCCCACAGGTCTTATGACTGCAAGATTGACCTCCTGCCAGGGGCGACGCTGCCAACCGGGAAACTGTATTCCATGTCTGAAGACGAGCTGCAGGAACTCAGGGAGTTCATAGACCTCAACTTGAAGCGCGGTTTCATCCGGGAGTCGAAGGCAGTGGGGGGCAGTCCTGTATTCTTTGTGAAGAAGAAGGACACGCCCCAAAAAGGCTTGTGGTGGACTATAGAATTTTGAACTCGAAAACCAAGCCCACAGCCTTTCCCATGCCCAAGATAGATGACCTGCTCGCAACGGTGAGGAAAGGACGCGTTTTCACAAAGTTGGATCTGCGAGGGCGTACAACCTGATTCGCATACGGGAGGGCGACGAATGGAAGACTGCCATGTTCACGCCCCTGGGCACCTATGAATACAGAGTTATGCCCTTTGGATTACAAAATGGCTCCCACTGTTTTCAAGCCTTCATGCATCACGTATTGGCGGGTCTCCTCTACAAGAAATGCGTCTGCTTCCTGGACGACATCCTGATATTTTCAGAATCAGAGGAGACCCACGAGGGAGACGTCAAGGAAGTTCTGCAGAGACTGCAGGAGCACAGGCTGTACGCCAAGCTGGAGAAGTGCCAGTTCGACATGAAGGAGGTAGATTTCCTGGGCTACAAGTTGTCGGACAAGGGGCTCGCCATGGACAGCGCCAAGGTTCGCTCAGTGTTGGACTGGAAGAGCCCGCGCAATCGGAAGGAGGTCCAGCGGTTTGTCGGTTTCGCCAACTTTTACCGCAAGTTCATCAAGGGGTTCGCGATGCAGACGGCGGCCATTACCGACACGCTCAGCTCCAAGAAGAAGAAGTTCATCTGGACGGAGCAAGCGGAGCAGTCCTTTCAGAAACTCAAGCGTCTCTTCTCGTCCGAAGAGCAGCTACTGCATGTGAATCCCAGCAGACCGATGAGGGTTGAAACGGACGCCTCAGACAGAGCCGTGGGAGCAGTACTGTTGCAGCAAGACCCGCATGGGGACTGGAGACCGTGTGCCTTCTACTCCAGGAAGCTCAGCAAGTCAGAGCAGAACTACACCATCTGGGACAGGGAGTTGCTGGCCATTCATGCAGCATTCAAGGCGTGGCGGCACTTCCTCATTGGAGCCAAACACACAGTGCAGGTCCGCACGGACCATAAAAACCTGGAGTACTGGCGCACGGCAAGGTTCCTGAACCAGAGGCACATACGATGGGCGGAGTTCTTTGCGGATTTCGACTTCAGGATAGAGTACATCCCAGGCGACAACAACATCATGGCGGATGCACTGTCCAGAAAGCCGCAATACCTCGAGGAGGCGGCACCAGCAGCGGCCAAGCACATTTTCGCACCGAAAGCGTGGGCGTGCGCTTCAGCAACCGTGGACCTGGATGCTGTACGTCGAGCACTGCAGGAGGACCCCTTCGCGCAAGCAAAGATGGCAGAGGTGCAAAGGGGCACGGCGGAGGACGACGAGTTCCAGATACGCGACGGATTGCTCATCCGCAGAGGGGCCCTCTACGTACCGGGAGACGACCTCCGCGCGAAAGTACTGCAGCAGTTGCACGACGCACCCACCGCCGGGCACTTTGGCAAAGAGAAGACGGTAGAATTAGTAGCCAGAGATTTTTGGTGGCCCAAGATGCGGGGGAAGTCGCGGATTACGTCTCGAGGTGCGACACCTGCCAAAGGGCCAAGTCAGTGCACAAACCGCCGGCGGGACTGCTCGAACCGCTGCAGACACCGCTCGAACCGTGGGAGAGGGTGGCCCTGGACTTTGTCACGGATCTACCCAGCTCGAGGGGCAAGACGGCAGTGCTAGTGGTGGTGGACATGTTCACCAAAATGGCCCACTTCATTCCGTGCGCGAAGGTGGCCACGGCGGAACAGACCGCCAAACTGTTCATAGACCACGTGTTCAGAGTTCACGGTCTGCCACGGTCTATCCTGTCCGACCGTGGGGCGACAGTTCATCTCGAACTTCTGGCAGAAGCTGATGGGTTTCCTGAACGTCAAGATCAACCTAGCGTCGGCGAGACACCCGCAGACGAACGGACAAGCGGAGCGAGTCAACGCCATCATGCAGCAGTACCTGCGATGCTACGCAAATCAGCAGCCGGCAACATGGGTGGACTACCTGCCGCTCGCTGAGTTCGCCTACAACAACACGAAGCACGTGTCCACGGGGGTGACACCGTTCTTCGCCAACAACGGGAGGCATCCCAGAACCTTCCCGGGATTAGCGAGAGCGGGGGGAGGGGGGAGCCACAGGCAGCGGAAGCCTTAGCATCAGAGTTGCAGGAGGTTCACGAACAGCTTAGGAGGCAGTTAGAACTAGCAAAGCACGCATACAAACTGCAGGCTGACAAGCACAGGAGGGTTGGGGAAGACATACAGGTGGGAGACTGGGTTTGGTTAGCAGCCCAGGCAGTGCCGGCCAGATCGTTAGCGAAGAAGAAGCTAGGGCATAAGCAGCTAGGACCCTACCAAGTCGAGGCACAGGTCAATCCAGTGGCTTTCCGGTTGACACTGCCGGAGGGATCCAGAATGCACCCAGTTTTCCATAGATCAGTGCTCACGCCCTACAAAGCACCTCATAGATTTCAGGAGCCAGGAACGGCACCAGACCCGTTCAGGGAAACGCCCACAAGGGGGTCGCCAAGGCGGGAACCCGTCAACGAAGTCACAGAGATTTTAGACTCGAGATGGGGGAGGAGGGAGTGGAATACCTCCTCGCCAAGGAAGGTACCTCGGCTAGCGCCAACAGTTGGGTGCCAGATTATGCTCTGGAGGAATCTTGGCTCAAGGACGAGTTCCATGCACTTTTCCCACACAGGCCCATGCCAGCCGAGTATTTCGACGACTGGCTTTTCACACCCACATTTTCAGCTAGCACATTCCAGGGGTTCACCTCGGACGAGGAACCGGCACTAGAAGCACGTTCCCCGGAGGGATCACCCCGGGGTCTGCCTCAGACCGTTCCTATTGGTGGGACACTCAACCAGAGGAGCAGTGGCGCAGGAAGTGGTTGGGGGGTCCTTGGCAGGCAACGTCCCCGGAGGAGAGACGGACATGGACGTGTTGGGGGAGGACCTTGGGTTCGAGCACGGCGGCAAAGAGATGGAAGCAGAGGAAATTGAGGTCGGCGAGAGCACGGAGGACGAGCCGGACTTATCCGGCTGGATGCACGCCACGGGGGACGAACTGTATCCGGCACTCACCCCCACAACGACGGAGCACCCAGTACCCACACCTGAAGGAGGGGAGGGGGAAGGGGGGCTTCGAGGGGGATGGATGTCAGGGGTTCAGGAGCAGAGGCACAGGAAAGGGAGGAAATAGAGAGCGAGGGGGAGGAGTCCGAAGGAAATGTTAGCGATGACAGCGGTCCGAGGTCTCTGAGTCTTTCCAGCGAATCGGAAGATTCACAGAAAGGGGCTCCCTTGGTCAGAGCAAGGGGGTGCCGAGGGGACACCCCAGGAAGAAGGGGCCAGAGGGGACTCAGAGAGCAGCAGTTGGAAATCAGGACCAGCGTCCACACCAGAGTGCAGTAGGGGGGGAGGAGTCCCAGGCATCGGGATCAGGCGGCGCACTGCCAGTGGGAGGACATGAGTCAGGATTGGCCACGCCTCCATCGGGGAGCGAGGAAACGGTCGAGAGGAAGGTTGAAGGCTGGGCGCGCGCGCCAGTTCAAATGTACAGGAGGGCGGCGCAGTTGGCAGCCCGGATAGGGAGCCAGGTCCCAAAGCCCGCCGAAAAGAGGGGGAGGAGTCAGCGGGGTCAGCGTCAGAAGAATCCAGGAAGGAAGGGACCCCGGGGGGTAGCAGGACCCAGAGGAGAAAGGAGAGACGTAAGAGGTGGAGTAAGGCTAGAATCTTAAACTGGTGTACAGGGGCGGAGACTCAGATGGAGCTTCGCCGATCTAACCCCTAGACGTAGAGCTGGGGCGCTCCGGCTTGAAAATGGAAACTGTACTTCAATAAAGACTTTTGTACATTACTGCCGGCTAGCGTTGGTCCTCTGTGAGCTGGGACCTGGAGCCAGCTCTGACAGATGTGTTTCATTTAGTAGCTCAGGAATTCCTTCTGGGGCATAAATCACTTATAATTTTAATGGGGGTGTTAGTTTTGACCTCCTGACATTCGCAAGGTGGGCAGTATTGTTTCTTGAACTCCTTAGTGTATGAGAATTTTCTGTGCTTTGCTCAGTTGGTTTGCTGTTTTGCTCTTTGTGCCTGTATATATGAGCAGTTCATAGGCTGGAGGGAGATTTTCTCTTGATGTTTAGTTGTCTAAAATAAGGTTATAATCTCAAATTAGCACAGCAACTGACACTGCTTGGAACTTGGCCCAGAACAGATACATTTTAAAAGCCAGCTTTCTGACTTGCTAGCCATTCTTCAGATAGATCTCGAGATAAATATTCTAAAATAGCTACTTTTTAAGCTCAGTATTTAGAGACGCTCTGTGTAGTCATTTCCTGCAAAGTTATGTCTTGGGAAGGAAGGGAAAGCCAAACTATTTTTACTGTCTCTCAGGCAGTTTGGCATGGTTATTTTAGATTTCTGGAGTCAGTCTGGCCTCTCTCTGTGCCTTTTCTATTCTCATATTCTGTTTCAATAGAACAGGAGGTACTAATAATGCTCTGAGCAAGCTCTACGCTTACATTGATATCTGTTATATAGACAGGCCTCATCTCTAGAATACAGTTAATAGTTGCAATAGGTTGTGGTTGGCCTGAAGATGCTGTAGGTGTGCCCAGAGCTGTGGTCACACCTGTATCTTGTGCAGGTGCTATCCCTGGGGCATTTGCAGGAAAATACTGACCTTTTCGCTGGAGATCCCTGTGCCATGCTGCTGCTTCTGTTGAACAAGCAAGTTATTTCCCCACACTTACCTTTCCCTTGTCCAGATTTTCATTCTCTGTCACAATGTGCAAACTTTTGTGGAAACCCAATCATCATTCATAGAATCATTGAATTGTAGAGTTGGAAGGGACCACGAGGGTCATCTAGTCCAAACCCCTGCCATGCAGGAATATGTTGCCCAATGTGGGGCTTCAACCCATGACCCTGATATTAAGAGTCTCAGGCTGTACTGACCGAGCTATCCCAGGTATTGAAGTATTCATGTTTAGAAAGTGCTGAGTGACTAAACCTGTAGTGCACCAGAAATGGTGTTCTGATGCCCCTCTTACTATAAGAACAAGAACAAAAAGGATTCATGCGCAAAATGCTTTGACTAGTTGCTTTTTCGAGTGCCAAGTATGTTTCCTAATTAGGGAAAGTATGGTATTAGAACTAGCACATAATGTGGGAATGCAAAATGAAATTAATCCAGAACTGATAGTCAAAATATAGACTCATTAGCTAGCTAATCTGTTTAGTGAGCAGTTAAGAATGTGTGTTTTCCTGTGGGAATATTTTCCGAGTGCTGGTGTAATTGAGAGCTTATCAGAAGGACATTGTCTCATATGTATTACGAAAACGGAGACCTCATGGAGTCTGTATGTGAATAAAATAGTTCCTTGTAGTTTGGGACAAACCTGCCTTCTGAGCTTGCTGGTGTATTTGAACTTTCCATTTTAGCTTGCAAAATGCTTCTGTTCCCAGTTTTATTAAAGTGAGCCGTCTGTTGTTTCCCTGGTTCTCAAGTGGAAACTAAAAACAAAACAGAAACCCCTTTAACAGTACAATTTTTGAATGGTAGTTTCCTGCTTTTCCACTGAAGCATTATTTAGGTCTCAAGAAGTAAGAATGAAAAGTATTGTTTAGGATACTAAACATCTTGCGTAGTTGTTTTTGTTTTTACTTAGGTGTTTCCATATATATCTGATTTAGGTAAAGCTTTTAAAAAAACGATTACTCATTTGAAACTAGTCACAACACTTCTGACCCTATATTTTATAGAATCATAGGTTTGGAAGAGATAAAAATACTAAGTCCAAACCTACGCTGCAAGGCATGACCCGTTCTTCAAAGATTGGCCTATTCAGGTACAGGCCACAGTGTAGCAGAGACTTGGGTGTATTTCAGAAAAGAAAGAAGGTTGTGTGTATGTACATGTATTATGGTGTGGCATGTTATTGCCACATTAGTGAGATAGTAGGCAATCATTTTACACTTAGAAGCTGCAAGTAAGGGGAGTAAGTGTGCCTTCTTAAAACTCTTTATATGCATCTTTGTGGAATATGCAGTTTGGTAAACTTTTTATGTTGGCAGTAGTTTCAGAGCTGCACTTCTAAGCACAATTCACTAAATTGGTGGACTTCACAGGACAACTACGGTGGTACCTCACAAGACGAATGCCTCGCAAGACAAAAAACTCGCTAGACAAAAGGGTTTTTTATTTTTTGAGCTGCTTCGCAAGATGATTTTCCCTGTGGGCTTGCTTCGCAAGACGGAAACGTCTTGCAAGTTTGTTTCCTTTTTCTTAACACCGTTAATACAGTTGTGACTTGACTTCGAGGAGCAACTCATAGAACGCGGTGTGGTAGCCTTTTTTGAGGTTTTTAAAGACTCTGGTGATTTTTGAAGCTTTTCCAAAACTTTCCCGACACCGTGCTTCGCAAGACGACAAAACTCGCGGAATGAAATAATTTCGTCTTGCGAGGCACCACTGTACAGTGAACTAAGTATGAACGTTTAAATAAAGTTCATATACTGGTACCTGTAAGAATCGGCTGGTTCAACTAGTCTGGGCTGCAGCTGTTCCACCATCTGTTCTGTCAGCTGCCTGGGCAGCTAATGGGGTCACTTCCTCTAGAAAGGGACAAAGACCTTGTGCTCTTGTAGTGGTTACTGTATTCTGCCGGTCAGATGCATTTGTTTTTTGGTATGGCTGAACAGCATGGACAGAGCCTCTCTGTAGCAGCTGAAACTTGTTTCTCTTTGGAAAAGGATGTGTAAGGTATACGTAGAGCAGGGATGGGGAACATGTAGCTCTCCAGATGTTGTTAAACTCCAAACTACAAAATGACCAATTTTGGGGAATGATGGGAATTGTAGTTCAACATCATTTTGAGAGCCACAGGATTCCCATACCTAATGTGGAGGGAAGTCATAAAAGTAAACTCATTCTTGACAAGGACTTGGAAAGTGTGATTGGACCTATATTCAGAAATCCACAAAGAAATAAGAATAAACATATTCTGCCACCTCTCCATCCTGATGGAAACCAATAATTTTAACAATAAAAGAGGTAGATTTTAGATTGACTGACCGAAGAAGCAGCTAATGAAGTCTTCACAAACACAACTGCTCCCAACTCCATCCTCTATTTACTTAACCATTTGTGTCAGGCACTTTCAAACTTTCAAAGTGGTTTGCGTGCATTATCTATCTTAGAATCCTTACAACAGCCTTGTACTATCCCTCATATTACTGATGGGAGAACTGAGACAAAGAACTGAGATGCCAGTGAGTTCATGACTGAGACAAGAGTCACACTGGGGCCTTCCCAGATCCATAGTTTAGTCTTGTGGCTGCTATACTATGCCAGCACTCCTCTACTACTACTATCCACTGGCCTCTTTCAGGCCTTGGAGCAGCATTTGTTTGTGTAAGAGCCTGTTTGTTTCCCACTTTTCTGCTGCCGTTTTTCCTCTGATGGAGGGGAGGCTGCTTATCAATTGCCACAGCAGAAGTTTCTGGGGAATGTGTGGAATGTTGGCAACAGGTGGGGACAGGCAGATGTGCTTATCTGTCACAACATATTTCACTGAGAGTAGTTTTTTTAAAAAAAGTAATAATCTGTGACCTTATTTGTGCAACAGATTTCTATATCCGTTGTCACTTAACAGCCGATACAGAACTGAAAGATGTGCATCTTCCTTGCTGTGGGATTAACTGCAGATTTCCTTTCTTCTTGATTTGGCTTCAGAACGCAGCTATTAAGTGTTGGTCACTGCTCTGGCTGTAATCTGGTTTACAAGTGCTGTCGTGAATACCACTGATTTAAAGAATACTGTACGAAAGTAAGGAGATGGCAGGATGTTCTTGAAACCTTGGCTTGACCTCTGTTCACTGGACCTAATAATTCACATTTGGCTGGTCTCATCAGTATGTTTACTGAACAGCAAATCACACAGCTGATAGTGGATGAAAGTATGGGAAATGTTTTAGGGAGTGGAGGAGGAGGAAGAATGGAATTCAGCTGTGAAGTAAATTTTAGTGGGTTGAGAAAAGAGTATATTCTGTACTCTCAAAACACTTGCCCAGCTATCACTTACATTTTTTTTTGCAAGATGCTGACAAAAGGTGGTTCACAGATCAAGTGCTTTGAAATAGACGTCTCTAATAAAACTTGATCAAATTCAAAGGAAATCTGCAGGAATAGGTCTTTTGACAAAAGTTGACCAGAAGACCATGGAGTATTGCACAAATCATCCTTAATTTTCCAGTTTTGGTTCCAGATCAAAGGACTGCATCTTTCAGCTTATTAATTTAAAGAACTTCCATTTTCAGGGGCAGCATAGCTCTGAATATCAGATAATGAGGGGCAAACAAAATGGCCATTACAACTGTGTCTAAGTTTGTCAGCTTCCAGAGGCATCTGGGTTAAAACTGTTGTAAGCAGACTGCTGATGGAGGTAAATATTGGTTTGCTCCAGCAAGACCATTAGAAATCACATATATGTGCCATCCAGCACCTTGTTCCTAGAACCACAACAACCTAGATGGTGCTATTCAGTTACCCTACTGCAAGTAGTGTTTTATTCCGTATTTATTCCTGCCACACTTTTAAGATAGAGTTGCAAGATTGCCCAAAGATTCCCATTTAACTTCATGACTGAGCAAGTATTTAAGTCTTGGTCTCCCACGGTTGAATACAAATTCTGTCCTTTGCAATCCATATTGCCCCATTCTAATCTGTTTGGGAAAGAATAGTTCAAACATCGAACCTTCTTGGTTTAATGCATTGCATTCAGACATCGGTTTGGTATGGACTTCATGTTTGATCATATTAAATACAAGACATGAATGTGAATGAGCAGTAGTGAGCTGATGCACATTGCTTAGAAGCCCCCACTTTGCCTGCTGTGGCCAAGCTGGGGCAGAAACAAATCAGGAGGTGGCTTTGAGTTACATGTGAACCGGCACTCATGTTTTTTCTTTCCAAACAAACCATGAGTAGAAGCCGATGTTGCTTAGCTTACCAGTTGAGCTTGTTTTAGGGAAACAACCCACCTGCTTTGGCTCACAGTACTGCAAAGCTAGCCTCTGGCTTGTTTTCTGTCCGGTGCAGCAACAGGAGGAGCACGGCGAAGCAGGGACTTTTGAGCAATGTGCACCAGCACACTGCTTGTTCAAAACCATAGTTTATTTACATCAAACTGTTTAATATGGTGTCTAAACCAGACTTCTTTTTCAGATTGGGATAGTTTGCATGCTTCAGATTCTCTAATATGCTGTAACTTCTAAAATACCAAGGAATTTGTATCTCTTGGCATTATCTCCTTATTGACAGGATTAGTGAGGGTATTCTCAAACAACTTGTGCTCTTCACTTAACCACAGTGAAGTTGACCAGATCTCCTGAAGGATCTCTCTGTGCTAATTAACTTGTAACATGGAGCTACCTGTAGGGGTTTATAAACTGTACTGTTCTACATCCAGAGGCTGGAAGTAGCTTATCCTATAAGCCTCTGTTTTGGAAAGAATGTTTAAACTTTCCTGAGGCATTGACTTCTAAATCAGAAGCTACAAGTTGCATAGTGGCAACAAACACTGAATCACTGTTGTAAAGCAGAACAACGGCATTTAAATTTATTTGGATTTATTAATTGCCATTTCTGCTATTTTTCTAATTGGGCTTAGAGCTAGCTCCAGTGTAGTAAGATATACTGTTCTGCCTATGATGAATGTGAGGAGGATTGAGAATAAAGTAGATTTTTTTAAGAAAACAAAACCCCAGTGCTCTCATTTTCCAATCTGTGGGAGGCTTTTTTCTTGTTGCTCCCTGAGCACCTGGAGTGTCACTACTAGTTTATCCAAGCACTCTTAGACTATGACTATTTGCTTGCTTCTATCACCCACACTGCATATTTTTGAAAATAGCACCAGACATATTGTACCGCCTCGCCCAAACAATTTAAATAGATTTGGCTGTAAGCATATTGCATGGGCCAGTTGGAAAGGAATGAGGTGACTTTTATTTTTTGAGTATTGCTAAAAATTGAACAGCTCTTAAGAGTGCTTGGAAAAGGAAGTTTCAAGTTTAAGGATTTCTGAGTTATGCAATTCAGTATTGGATGAAATAAAGAAAAGCAGGAAGGAGATATTAAAATAGCATTTTGACAGACCAAATAACGATGGTCAGTAGGGAGGCAGTAATGCCGTGAAGTCTGTGTGGTTTATGTAGTGTGTTTGCGCTTGTACTTAATGACCACAAGGTGATGCTTTAGGTTATTCACCCCCAAACTCAGCCCTCCAGCTGTTTTGGGACTACAACTCCCATCATCCGTAGCTAACAGGACCAGTGGTCAGAGCTGATGGGAATTGCAGTCCCCAAACAGCTGGAGGGCCGAGTTTGGGGATGCCTGCTTTACGTATTGTACGCTTGGGTATCTGAATGGGCCACACTTGGAATACTTAGTTTAGTTCTGTTCACTTCAGTTACAAAGACGACTGCAATAAGTGTGTGTGTGTGTGTGTGTGTGTGTGTGTGTGTGTGTGTCTTGATGCCTACAACTGTATCTTTAACTAAGCTCATTAAGGAACAGGAAATTTCAACAATCTAAAATATCTGAAGTATGTAAAGTGATTGAGAACCTGAGGTACCATAAACACTATTGGCCAAGAGGCAGAGATGGTAAATCAACAATAATCACCAGCCTTGTTTTTCTTCTTCATTCTAGGATAGCTAAAAGCTAGGAAGACATAGTATGAATCTGCATGTATTTAAAGCAGAAAGATCTAGGCTTGTAGACCTAGTCTGGTCTTTTAGATCTCTTCTATCAGCTGCCTATAACTAATACAGCTGTAGAACAGGCAGATTCACTGAGATGCAGAGGTAACTTACTGCCTATTTAGATCTGGAGATAAAGTAGCTAGTAAATGTGTGATTAAAACACTGGAGAAGGGGACATTATGGCTTTCAGGGAGAGGAAGGTGGGGATAGAAAGGCAAACCAGGGCTACCATCCTTCTGTATATCCTCTGTAGAGATGTTTTGAAAGTGGCACTCACAAAGATTTGGATTGTTTTTTAAAAATGTGATTTTTACCAGAGCTTGCTGGGATTTACCAGAGCTTGCCGAGTGGGCTTGAAGAGGTATAATGGCTGCACCCACCCTCTGTTGTACCTTCCTACTTGAAGGCCTTGTCAGACAAAGCCCACTTGTCTAGCTAAAGGGCTGTCCTCCAGAAGGCTCTGGGAACAGAAATTCGTGGTAAGAATTTCCTTTTGTTCTCTGGCCTTTTGGGGCCCATGGGCACACTTTCAAACCAGGCACCCCATACACACTCTGCCACCTGTTCTGTTGTTGGCTATAATAGAATGCCTCTTCGAAGCCCGATTTCAATGTGGGGAGGGGTACCTGTGGACAACAAGGATGCATCACATTGGTGTCCTCTGTTTCATTAAATTCCAAGCTTCTGTGGGAGATTAGCAACCTTTCTATTCCCCTCCACTTTTCCTTGACTTTCAACCTTTTGTCCCAGATTTTGCAACAAGATCAAATAATGTGCATGAACTATAAACAGATAGCTTAATTGCAACAGTTGCATAGCAAAAAGGAGACTTGTTTTTAACAGCGATGTGCCAATCTTGCAAGAGGGTCTACCAGTGTATTTTTATTTTTATTTAGTTTTCATTGGGTGACTGAAATGCCTGAGTGAGCTGTGCTATTTACAGAGTAGGATATTATCCTACAGTATGTTCCATAGGCTATATTCGCTCCTAGAGAGTTTCTGAGTGCAATACAAATTTAGCTTTGACCTCTAAAGCAAAGGCCTGTTACATGTTGGATATGGTGTGGCAAAGTTTGTGTTCTGATCAGCTGAATTTAATGTGTTTTATGTAAGGTCTAGGAATACACCTTCAAACAGACTAACATGATACTCCTCAGTGGTTTATTTCCTCCCACCCCTTTGTCATGTATAGGTTGAGTAATATTATCCATGCTGCTTTGACCCTTTGGAATATGTTTGAGGTAACACAGAAAAAATCACTTATACAGTGGTACCTCGGTTTACAAACTTAATCCATTCCGGAAGTCCATTCTTAAACTGAGGCACGCTTTCCCTAATGAGGCCTCCCGCCATCAGTGTTCTTCCGCTGTTCGGATTCCGTTCTTAGACCGAGGTACAGTTCGCAACCCAGGACACTACTTCCGGTTTTGCGGAGTTCGTAAACTGAATCGTTCGTAAACAGGACGGTTCTTAAACCGAGGTACCACTATATATCACTAAACAGGGATGTAAAAACCCCAAGTGATTGGTCACCTGCACACCCGTTGCTTCACTAGCACATACATAGGTCTGTGCAGATTTGGTGCTTCTATTTCATGCTTAGGAGCTGGATATACAATTCTGTTGCTGTAAGAGGTTTTCAAACTTTTTGAGTCCACGGCTCCCTTGACCAACTACAATCTTCCAGTGGGGCCCCTATGGGGCTCAGGAGCCCAGTTATGTCACCCCTGCAGACCTGGCAGCCTCTCACCCTTTTTTGAACACCTTTGTGGAGTGCTCCCTCTGCCTCCTCCCCTCTCCCCTCTCCTTGAGAGTCCTCTGAGCAGCCGCTTCTCCCACCCCTGGTCTCTGAGCTGCCCTCCCTGCCTCAGAGAAAGGTCCCTCCTTACACTGCCTCACAGAGGCCTGGGAAGAAGATGCCTCCAGCCTTCGTGGCACAATGGAGACTGGCCAAAGGTGAACATGAGGCCGGCACCTTACCTTGGGAGGCAGCAGTGGGCGCTGCTGGGCATTCCTGGTGGAAAATCTCCCCTTCAGCACTGGGCACTCAGCTTCCAGGCAGGCATTGCACAAGAAAGGACAGTGCAGTGCCTGCCTGCCTGCCACTAGTCTGTCCATTCCCAACAGCAAGGGCTGGTGGACTAGCTGGCTGGGCTCCCTCATCCACTTGCTTGCTTAACTCCAAGGCCACCTCAGCTCCTTGCAGCCAACACTCCCTGGCCAGCCCCAGAGGCACCATTTTTAAAGAAACCCTACAAGCTTGTAGCCAGGGCTGCTTCAACAAACAGCCACACAAGCTTTTGGGAGGCAGATATAAGAGGGCATCAGAGGAAGGGAGGGAAGGAAAGAGGCCAGGGTTGTGTGTGGCACCCTGACCATCATTCAAGACACCCCAGGGTGCCATGGCACACTGGTTGAAAACCACTGCTGTAGGTTCTTGTCAAGGTTCATGTACTTTTAGATGTTGCAAGAGAATGCATTATGCAATAATTGATTACTGCATTATTTATTTGCTTTGCATAAATGTAAGTTTGAAAGTTCAGATTTTATTTTTTATTTTTAAACTGATTTGGGGGGGTATAATCTGGAGCAGGGTAAGGAAAGTGTATATGAATTAGATCTGGGGGTTGAGATGATTTCTGTCAGGGTGGGACAGGAAGCTTGTGGGGGTCACATATCCTTGGACACAACCTGGAGCTGTGGGCTTGTGGTGTATGAGGTGAGAGCAGAGCTTTTTCCAAAGCTCAGGTTCATGAGAACATAATTTCAGTGATCAGTAAATGAGAAACTGACATACCCTGCCGTTGATTGTGACTGCCATTTATCAGTCTTTGGGTTTCACTGCTTCACTTCACAGTGGCAGAGGTGAGAAAAACGACCCTCTGAATTAATGTAATGTTAATATTTAATTCTGGGAAACACAGCATGATTGCACAGTAAAATTTCTTAATGCTAGCATATTTTAGTTGTTTAAATTAAAAACCTTCTATTTTGTTTTTATTTGCCTATAAATTCCATAAATAAATACAGATCTACATATCCAGGTATGTTGGCTTATTTTCTTATTTAATGCCCCTAAACAAAAAAGGACAGGCACCTCCACCCCCCACCAAAAAAAGCCCAATTTGTAACACCAGAACCTACAACCAGGTAAAATATGCCCCCTAAATATTTCCAAGTCACTTCTCCTCCCCCAAACTCACCAGACAGTGGCAGCATTCCTTTTTCCCCCTCCTACACAGGCTGCAAAACAAAGCATTGGCCTCCAGCTGCCCTGCCCTCCTTTTCCTATGAAGACTTTCCCTGAGCCCAGAGGCATTCTGGGGAATGCAGAGGAAGAGGGCAGGGTGACTGCAGGTCTGCACTTCTCCTTTTAGCTATCCCAGCCATCACCCAAGGTAAAAGAAAAAAACACCCACCCACACCCACCAAACCCTCAAATATTAAAAATCAGGAGGCACATGACCTAAATATTGGCTCTGAAGACTAAAATCTCTCATCGCATGATGCATTGCTCATTCTTTTATTAACACAATATACTTAATATGCTACTCAACATGCACAAATGCTTTCTGAAATAAGTGGAACCTAGAAGCACTGGGATCAGGGCTGCTGTGTGCTTAGCTTTATTTAAACAGAAGTAGTTGATGAAATAGTGATGTATGGAAGTGAGAGCTGGACCATAAAGAAGGCTGATCGCCGAAGAATTGATGCTTTTGAATTATGGTGCTGAAGGAGAATCTTGAGAGTCCCATGGACTGCAAGATGACCAAACCTCTCCATTCTGAAGGAAATCAGCCCTGAGTGCTCACTGGAAGGACAGATCCTGAAGTTGAGGCTCCAATACTTTGGCCACCTCATGAGAAGAGAAGACTCCCTGGAAAAGACCCTGATGTTGGGAAAGATGGAAGGCAAAAGGAGAAGGGGACGACAGAGGACGAGATGGTTGGACAGTGTTCTCGAAGCTACAAACATGAGTCTGACCAAACTGCGGGAGGCAGTGGAAGACAGGAGTGCCTGGCGTGCTCTGGTCCATGGGGTCACGAAGAGTCGGACACCAGTAAACGACTAAACAACAACAAAGTTGATGAAAATAAAATCATACAAAGCTTATGCTGGTACATGCTTTCACCAGGTACATGGGACAGGTACATGCTTCCCCCTTTCAGTTCTCTGCAGAGAAAGCCTCCTATAAGATGCATATTGCTGCACAGGACTGTATATATTTGCTACACTTGTACCCCGGTTTTCCTCTAAAGGGCTCCAAGAAGAATTTTAGCTTTTGCAGATCTGTGAGGAACATTAGACTGAGACTTCCCACGGCCACCCAGTGAGCTTCATAGTTGAGCAAGTATTCACACCTAGTTTTCTCATATCTAGGTCAAACACTGTAGCCAGTACATCATGCTGACTCTGACTAAACAGGAAGTATCAGTGGCTAACAAATTCATGTACGGTTTGAATTAGTTTCAGCAAAAAGTCGAGGAGGATAGGACAAGACCTGTTCACAAACACCCAGTGTTCTGTTCCAGGTCTACAGCCCACAGTGTGTGCTTTGGTGGTATGGTTGTACTGTACTGATTTTCCATTGTAACATAGAAATTTAAGTTTTAAAAAAATGAATAGCAAATGAGCTTTAGCTGGATTCTGCATTGCACAGATGCATGCTTTCGCTTACATGGATGGAAAATGCACCCAAGTTAGCTAAATGCAAAAAAATTGCAATACACTTACCCAGTACGGGACTACTTAATTTTACTTAGCCACGAATGATCACCAATTAAGAAAAAGAAGACGGACTCCACAAAATTGTGTTGAAAATGTAGTGTGCCTGCTAATTAAAATTCCTCTTTTCTGTTCCCTTCCCTTCTCTACCTCATACCCTCTTTTCTGTATTTTAATATGGCCAATCTTAAAGTAGTTTTGCGTATGTTTTGATTTGATTTGTGTTTCATGTCATCTTTTTGTAATGCATGAAGGCTTACTCTGAGAAGGAGAGCAAAGTCCAAAACCACTTCTGTAGTCAGCATTACTTGCAAAATCACTTGCAAAGACTTTCCTGAAAACGACCAAGTCTCGTGATGCCTTAAACACTGTCAAAGGTTATCCTGGTATAAGCTTTTGTAGATGGCAGCCCACTGTTTCAGATGCGTTTGTATTTGCAACAGAGATGCATATCTATGGTTGGGGGGAGGGGAATTATAAACTTTAAGTTCAGGAGGAAATAAAATGCAGAATGTGATAATTATATTCCGTTAACATAGGCATCCTGGCATTGGTAAGCCAATTGAAACAAGCAGTGTGATATCCCAATTTGGTTCACAAGAAAGAATTCAGCAAGAAGTTCGATGCTAATCCAACAGTTTCATGTTGCAGTTTCCCTTTGGCATTCTATCATGGCTATCTTATGATCTGCTAAAGTGTGTGGTTGAAATGTTCCCCCACTGATACTGACATTTCTTATCTCAGATTTGTGCCCTTTTTTGGGGGAAAGCAGCAATCTCTAATTATTTGATCAAATTTTTATACTTCCCTTAATTAGATCTCAGGACAGTTTACAAAACACAGAAATGTTTATTCATATTGGTGACAACACTTTTTAGATATGCATAATTTCGCAACACAGTAATTCAGTTTTGCATCATTTCACTACACAGCAATTCAGTTTTACTAGCAAACCAGAGTTTAAACTAACCCCTTTCTAGCCCCTGGAGGAGAGTGGGGAGCATTCACATGACACACCTACATACTGCAGCCAATACACTAACATGTCACAACACACAGTTCAGTTCTAGGGGAAGGGAATTCCACAGATGGGTTGCTGTAATCAAGAAGGTATTTTCCTGTATCATCACATTCACATCAAGCTATGCCCAGCAGTGCAACCATGTGAAGGGCCTTCCTAGCAGAATTTAAGGCTCAGGCCAGGACATTTCTTCAAGTATTTGGGACCTAAGTCATGTAAGACTATATGTTAATGTTGAACCTTGAATTGGGCTCAGTAGCATCCTGCCAGTCAGTGCCGTTTTCACAGGAGTGGTGTGTTACGATTCTGATTAAATACACCACTCACCAATCTGGTAGTCACATTTTGCAAAAAATGCAGTTTTCAGATCTTCACAAGGTAGCCCTACCAAAGCTGGTGGTGTAGCTGGAGCTAGACATAGGCAATCCTTGCCACCAATGCCATCTGGATCTCTAGTGACTGTGTTGAATCATGGAGAAGCCGATTAACTATATACCTGCTTCTTCAGTGGGTTATCTAGAGCAGGTCACCTCTCCATGTAGAAGGGAATTGTTGGCAGGTGGCTTGTATTATATTAGAAGCTGTGATGGGGATGATGTTATTAGATCTTCTAATGTTGTGGAGTTGACATGGGGACAGAGGCAGGGTTTGGATCTGGATGTGTGGCAGGGTCTAGTGGCTTGGTGTCTGTTTTATGGCCAGTTGTTCATAAGTAGCTGTTCTAGGTTAAGAGGGTGTCTGTATACAAGTGTGGGCCTGCCATCCAAAGCCTGTGAGAAGAAAGTGTGCTATAGATCATGATATATTTGATTGGTTTTAACTGGGAGCTGAAAGGGACAAGTGGCAATCTGTAGTTTTCTCTTCTAGATATGCACTATAGTAGAATATTCCTGTGTACCAGTTTTGTTTATCTCTTTTTCCATTGTGTTGCATGGGTGTTGGATTCCAAGGAATGTCTGGTGAAAATTTGAAAGTCGCAATTTTCTGTCTGAGTCTGTGAACAAATGCAATTGTAGGGCTTGGCTGTAGACATGTGGATTCTTTTGCGGTGTGTTCTGAGTGGAAGCTAGTAGCTTTCCTATATAAGCTGGTGATTAGATGTCCATCATGGCCTATTCTACACTCTACACACACCTATAGATTCCTATAGATGCGTGTTACTTGCAGCATGGCACTCTGTGGTTTCTCTTACAGTTGCAATAGGAGTCTAATGTAGCGCAACTTGGAAGAGCAGTGTGGCACTTGTTTCATTACTCCTGCCCACTTGAGGTTATTTTAAAACTTTTATCTATTTCTAAGAAAAGTTCCTGGTAATGTCATATATAGCATAATTGAGGTACTTAAAGAAAATGTTGCTGGTCAGTGTGGCTTTGTTCAGCTTATTCCCTTCGTACCACAGTGCTTTCCCTTCACATAGCTGTGAGCAGAACCAATTTAAAGCAGTAGTGCAGCTCAGTTGCAGGATCTTCAGCGTATTTGAAGAGTTCACTCCATATAACACAGATTACCAAACAGAAGTCACTAGGTAGCAAAAACCAGAACATTAAAATTGGAATTAATGTACTTCATGTGGTTAAATCTATTCACCTTGGATTAAATGCACCCTAATGACATATTAGTATCTCTCTTTTAGGATACTATAGTAGTTCTGAATGCTTCATGCAAAGCAGTGTACAAGACTTACTTGCTAAAAATACTTTTCTTCACCTCTTTGAAAAGCAGTAGGGTTCATATATTGGGACCACTTCCTTTCATGCATGCAGCGTACATAATCTTATAATCTTATACCACAGAGGAGGAACAGTGGCGGGTAGTGTGAAGAGCTTTCAAATAGTTATATTTATTTTAACTTTCCTGAGACTAAGAATAAATGAACTGGAGGAGAGCCTCAAAACATGTCACAATAAAGAAATGCCTTAAGTTTCAAGAGATGAGGAATTTTGAAGTAGCTATACTATGTACAACTCAAATCCACTTCGCCAATTTCAAAACAGCCCTTTGCTTAAGATAATGTCTATGTAAAAAGGAAGGCGTAAGTACAAAACTATGAGCAATTATGCAGCTTTACTTCCTTGCACAATCTTTCTGTTAAACCAGAACTGTCTGAAGTACTGCGTGTTTTTCACTTCAGAACATTCATTATCTTGTGTCCTTCCCTTTGGTCTACTTGATTACATACCTGAAATGTGATTAGCAAGACTAATATTTGCATAGTAACCTTGGTCCTAAAGCATCCCAGGGAGTCAGAGTAAAACTTCCAGTTTGCAGAACTTTGGTCCAAAGGTCTTGCATATTTTGGTGCTGTGGAGTATCGAGGAAAGGAATTTAGATTAAGGAGGGATTTGGGGTGAAAAGACTCTCCAAGGTTAGTTCTTAGCCTCTGGGAGAAATGTGTTCCTGTTAAGAGATGAAATTGGTTCAAGAAAATCTATCTTTTCTGAGGAGCATTGGCATTACTGGCAGGGGGTGAAGGTTACATGAAGGCCTTCCTGGGCTTTTCCCCCTTGTATGCATCTTTTTTTTAAAAAAAATATTTTTTATTAAAGATTTTATTGGGTTATAAAAATACGTGCATTGTCTCTATTTGCAACCCTTATATGTATCTTGAAATGTTGGTAGTAAATCTCATATGGGTAGAAATGTAACAGCTTAGAGCAGTTTTTCTAGAAGGCTTTGATATGATTTCTTCCTGCTGTGGGATTGATGACTTGTATAATATGTATTATCTGGCCTTACAAAATGGTATAAGTTTTTACGTAATTTTGGAAGCTGCTTTATTATCATTATTATTTGTTCTGTTTATATCCCACCCTTTATCAAAAGCTCCCAGGGTTGTGTACAGCATTAATAACACATTTTATGAACCATTGATAATAAAAACATAATAAAAAGCATAATAACAAACTAATCATAATAACAGTCAACTGACCTGACTCCCCCCACAAAAAAGCTTTAACAGGCTATTCAGTGGCTAAAGGCCTGGCTAAAGAAGAATGCTTTTGCCTGGTGCCTAATGTAATGATGGTACCAGGTGAGCTTCTCTGGGGAGAGCATTCCACAGTTGGGGGGGTCACTCTCTGAACCCATCAAGGAGGAGGGACACAGAGAATGGCATCAGATGACAAACACAGGGTCCAGGTCACTTTGTATGAGAGGCGGTCCTTAAGGTATTGAGGGGCTTTCAGGGCTTCCCTTATTTGGTTTTGGAGGCCAATGTTTTGTTCTGTTTGCTGTTTGCAGTTGTTGTATGAAGATTTATGCATTCTGTCACAAGTAGTTGCTGTTTGCAGTTGGTGTTTTTGTTCATAAAGACTAATGTTATGTGCTCTAATGTGGTTCTGGCCAACAGCAACAAAGCACTCCTGGATCATATTTTTCCAATTAAAGTAAGCACATTTTGATAAATGGAGCCTGTAGGTGTTTGCTCCCAAATCCAGGTGGGCAGCACATTATGTAAACACACGAGCTGGTGGAAAGGCAGTGCCTACATTGCCAAGTGTTCGGTTTTTTTGTTTTTCAAAGAGCCATGGAGCACTGAAGTGACCGGCTTTCTTTGATGTTTGGACCTTGAATAAAGGTACACTTTGTTTGTTTTAGATTATTTTCCTGTTCATTTCAGAAACTTCCTCACAATCTTTAGTACTGCAATGTGTAAAGGACTAGGTGCCTGATTTGCAAGGCAGCTTTGCTGATCTTGTAGTAGTAAGTTCTTGTAGTAAGTAGTTCGTCCAAAGGAACCATTAACACATTCAGTATTTGCTCCCTCCGATAACAAACTCATGTTGTGAGTGCTGTCATAAATGGCGTCAAAACAGAGCCACTCACAAATAAGAGGCAGCTATTGACATACTCTGGGGAACCATGAGGACCAGAAGGAGAGAAGAATAGTATGCCTTGCTTAAATTCCTTTACAGCTATAGTATATTGGAGAAGGGCCTGGCTGGCTGGTTTGGTAGGAAACCTGAACAGAGACACTCCTAGTAGGAGGTGTTTCAACTGGGCCTGGGTGATGTATAGCGGCTTCACCCAGCAGTATATCGCAAGTGAAACCGACACTGCTTCTGAGTCCCTCTGCTACCAATGCCAATTTCAACATTGAGCCGCTGGTAGCATAGAATCATAGAATCATAGAGTTGGAAGAGACCACAAGGGCCATCGAGTCCAACCCCCTGCCAAGCAGGAAACACCATCAGAGCACTCCTGACATATGGTTGTCAAGCCTCTGCTTAAAGACCTCCAAAGAAGGAGACTCCACCACACTCCTCGGCAGCAAATTCCACTGTCGAACAGCTCTTACTGTCAGGAAGTTCTTCCTAATGTTTAGGTGGAATCTTCTTTCTTGTAGTTTGGATCCATTGCTCCGTGTCCGCTTCTCTGGAGCAGCAGAAAACAACCTTTCTCCCTCCTCTATGTGACATCCTTTTATATATTTGAACATGGCTATCATATCACCCCTTAACCTCCTCTTCTCCAGGCTAAACATGCCCAGCTCCCTTAGCCATTCCTCATAAGGCATCGTTTCCAGGCCTTTGACCATTTTGGTTGCCCTCCTCTGGACACGTTCCAGTTTGTCAGTGTCCTTCTTGAACTGTGGTGTCCAGAACTGGACACAGTACTCCAGGTGAGGTCTGTCCAGAGCAGAATACAGTGGCACTATTACTTCCCTTGATCTAGATGCTATACTCCTATTGATGCAGCCCAGAATTGCATTGGCTTTTTTAGCTGCCGCGTCACACTGTTGGCTCATGTCAAGTTTGTGGTCAACCAAGACTCCTAGATCCTTTTCACATGTACTGCTCTCAAGCCAGGTGTCACCCATCTTGTATTTGTGCCTCTCATTTTTTTGCCCAAGTGCAATACTTTACATTTCTCTCTGTTAAAATTCATCTTGTTTGTTTTTGCCCAGTTCTCTAATCTTTCAAGGTCGTTTTGAAGTGTGATCCTGTCCTCTGGGGTGTTAGCCACCCCTCCCAGTTTGGTGTCATCTGCAGATTTGATCAGGATGCCCTTTGAATCCATCATCCAAGTCGTTGATAAAGATGTTGAATAAGACCGGGCCCAAGACAGAACCCTGTGGCACCCCACTAGTCACTCTTCTCCAGGATGAAGAGGAACCATTGATGAGCACCCTTTGGGTTCGGTCAGTCAGCCAGTTACAAATCCACTGAGTGGTAGCATAGTCAAGACAGCATTTTACCAGCTTCTTTACAAGAATATCAGGGGGCACCTTGTCAAATGCCTTGCTGAAATCAAGGTAGGCTGCATCCACTGCGTTCCCTTCATCTACCAGGCTTGTAATTCTGTCAAAAAACGAGATCAGATTAGTCTGACATGACTTATTTTTCAGAAATCCCTACCAGAGGGACTCAGGAACAGCAGTGGTTTCACCTGCGATATACTGCCGGGTGAAGCCCCTTATACTGCAGAGAGAGGCGCAAGCTGTATCACCGGGCACGATACAGCTTGTTCCTCCCTCGACTTCTTTAAACTGCTTCTGCCCTAGCTCTCTCAGCTGTGGAGTGGGAGCCGTTTAATGCTCAGCTGAGCCGTGCAAAGAAGTCTGAGGTCCCTCTGACTAGACAAAGTCAAATCCAGTTATATTCTATAAGTATATTTTTTCACTGCTCTAACCCAGTAGTCTTCAAAAGAACTCAGTGGCATAAGCGTAGTTCCCAGATTCTCCATCCAGGTAGTTTTTAAGACTGGGCCTGCTCATTTCAATGTACATAATGACTTATTTGTTTCCAAGATAGATGCATCAAATGGCATAGGTGTGGGGAAAAGGCCCCTCCCTCCCTGCACCTGTAAAGAGGCCTTCACAGCTGTTTGAAGACGCTGGTGGCTTGAACGGGGAAGTTGGGTAGCTGAAATTTCTGCCCCACCCACAAAGTGGAGTCTTTCCATATTAGCATATGGTGCAGTTGTCACACAGTGGGGGTGGAGCTTCTGCCCAAAGCAAAAGACAACATTAATGCATTGGGTGTGCATTTGCACTAATGTGGCTGAAGCTACCTCCAGAGTTGCTGTCTTTTAGCCTCATAGTCTGCACACACTGACACCGTGATGCTCCTTCCTGTGTTGTCTCCCCTTCCTCCACACTCCAGACAGAAATTACTACTGCCCCAAGGCTACCAAAATGTAGTAAGAAGCACATTCATGCATTCAAATATTGTCTAAGCTATTGGTTCAGACACTTTATTGTGCATTGGAATGCACACATAAAATGTTAACCCGCAGATCAGTATTCTTCCAAATTGGGTCAGAACTTGTTCTGACACAATCATTAGTGCATGGGAGGAATGTTCCCGTTCACTACAGAAGGTGTGCCTAACTGGGAGTTCTTGTAATCACATCATCACCTTGGTTCTTGAGCTTTAAGAAAGCCTTCTATTACTCATTGACCTTGAAGATCTTTCCTTTAATGGTTTTATCAGAGCAAATGCTAGTCTAGTTTATTATTTACGTATTGTCTGAGCAGTTCTGGGCCTGTGCTTTTTACAAGTATACATGGAGCAAAGTGTTCGTATAAACTATAAAGACATAGCTCGTCAGTGTAGATTCTTTTTAGCTGGTGAAAGACAAGCTTGCATGATGTGTCAATGCCCAGCAAAGCTATTACATTTGATACTTTCCCCTATTAAAAGCACTAGTATTGAAAATGTTTGCTACCTAATGAAAAGGTCATCTGTGTACAGTATATAAATATGGATAGAGCTAATAAAGGGCCCCATTTATCTTTGTGTTGCAACTTCTGAAATTGGAAAATATTGAAATTTTTGCAATACAAAAGTGAGAAGCGTGGAGGGGGTGGGATCTTGTATCAAGAGGGGATTCCAGTCAGAGAACGTGTGGGTAGAGATATGCACCTGCCTAATAAGGAATACAGAGCGAGTGTCTTCACGCAGGATAGAATTCTGTTGCTCTTCTGCAGGAAGTTTCATGTACCCAGATGTGTTTAGGCATTTTTGTCTCTGGTCCATGCAGCAGGAAGCCTATTTTGCAAATAATTCTTGCAGCATGCACACCTCTCAGAATATAGAGACACAATTCTCCCAAGCAACATGGTGTTTGAATGGAATTTCCTACACAGAAGCAATGTCCGGGTAGCAGTGACCTATGTAAAACAGCTGTCATCTTTCGATTACTTGTTTGTAACATTCCAACTTTGGGCTAGGAAAACTGTAGTGTGGAGTTGAGATCAAAGTAGCGGAACTAAATGGCATGCAACATCTTCCACTAATGGCTCTTAAGTTCTGATAATTAAGGTGCAAACTCCCTGTGCAAACTTACTACTGTTTTCTTGAAAGATTGCCCCGCTCTATGATGATACATCGTTTGATTTCTTCCTTTGTTCACATACTTTTATGACTCAGTAAAGATATAGGGTATGGGGAGTGAATGACCTGGAAACATTTAATGCTGTGGCACTGCTGAAGCCAGGAAGTTATAAACTGTTGCAGAAAATTGGATGGGAGGCTCCTGGGAACTCCATGTAAAAGCGGAAAATGATGAAGACATTGTGGGTGTGGGAGGGTCAACAAAAGCCTTGACAGAAAGATTGAACTGGACTGGGGCAGAAGCTGGAGAATTTTGAAAGTAGAGGGAGAGTGCTTTGGGCAGTTGGGCTTCAAGTTTCTGAAAGGCTTCATGCACTAGCCAGATGACAGAACCTTAGTCAAAGGGTCATCATGAAGTTTGTCTTCACCTGCTCATTGACTCTGTGTGTGTTTCTCTTACAGGTACCAAGACTAGCAACAATGAATCTGGTGTGAAGGATTGGTGACTGCACGGCTCTGTTTAGCTTGCTGGGCCCTGGATCTCTTTTCTGGCTACAACGGAGTACTTGGCACGTGCTGAGAGAATGACTCTTGGATTTATACAGCTGTCCCCAATACTGGGGAGGACTTTGCTAGTGCTGATGGTGACTACTACTGTTAAGTGCCATTGGCCTAGTGAAGCCTCAGAAGTTGTACGGGACTGGGAAAACCAGTTAGAGGCCTCCATGCATTCGGTGCTTTCGGATCTCCGAGAGAATGTGCCAGCGGTGGTGGGGATTCCTGACAGCTCTGCTGTAGTGGGTCGTTCCTTCAGAGTCACCATCCCAACAGAACTAATAGCTTCTAATGGTGAAATTATCCAGGTGAGAAGTTGGGGCTGTAATATCTTCTGCCGTGTATTTACTTCTATCTTACTAGTCTTTGTCTTCTCTCTCTCCTTAATGGGTGTGCTTAGAAATTGACTTTTACATCCAAATGTCACAGAGACTAAGATCAGGATAAGTATCTACTATACTAATTTGTCTAACGTGATCCTATTTTGAAATCTGGGTTGACTTTTCATGGAATTTGAAACTTGATGCCAGGGGAAGAGAACTTGTCATAAACACGCTCCAAGCATAATCACTTTCCTAGGCATAAAACTTTTGCATTCCTCTTCTGACTTTGGTAGGAACAGGCAGCCATGATGTACTTTCCTGGCCTTAGGATGCTACAGTGCCTGCCAGACCCAGCTTTAATTTATTAGTTGTATTATAATTATTTCATTATTGCATATTGATATTTTTTATTAACTTTTTATTTTTAAATGTAATCTTATTGTTTATTTATGAATCGCTTTCCATGAGACACCCCAAAGCAATTTGCAATATAATAAAAACGTGCAAAACACACACACACAAAAACAACTTTAAAACAATTATTTTTATAAGGACAGTTTAAAAAGCAACAGCACATACAGTGGTACCTTGGTTTGCAACCGCTTTGGATTACAACTGTTTTGGATTACAACCATGTCAAACCTGGAAGTGCGTGTCCCTTTTTTTGGATTACAACCCATTTTGGGGGGATTACAACCAATTTTTTGGGGAGGCCCCATTGACGAAAGCGTGCCTTGGGTTACAACCTGTTTTGGTTTACAACCGGACCTACAGAACGTATTGTGGTTGTAAACCAAGGTACCACTATATATCAAACCAATTCAAAAACCGAGATAAAGATTTCAGAAGGCTTATTGAAAGAGGAATCATAGAATTGTAGATTTGGAAGGGGTCCCAAGGGTCATCTAATCCAAACAACTGGCATGCAGGAATCTCAACCAATTCATACATGATAGATGGACATCCAACCCCTGCTTAAAAACTTCTAAAACTTTGCATGCTATGTGAGGCTTTGTACACCCATACCAGCACCTTGAACTTAGCCTAGTAGATAACTGGCAGGCTGTGTAATTCTTTCAGCACCAGCATAATATTCTGCCCTGGTGAGCAGTCAAACCATTCTGCACCAGCTTCTAAGTCAGTCTATCTATTAGTCAAACCTGATAAAAGGCACTGTTAACCATCCAGGTCACCTGGGCCTCTAGCAATAGAGAGACATCCAGACTATAAACCTGCTCCTTCTGTATAGCCCCATTCAAAGCAAGCAATTAATCAGTTATCCAGACTTGGAACTGCTCTCACACAGTGCCTCCATCTTGAAAGAGTCAGTTTATTGACCCTCACCTAGCCCACCACTGAGTCCAGGGCTTGCATGGCCTGTCACAATTCAAATGTTACAGACAAATTATCATTTCTCCACTGTGGTAGTGATGTGAAACTTGCTGTTCTGGGGGAAAGTGTTGCAGTGCCCGAAGACATAAATTCTGCCACTAGTCAGCCAGCCTAACCAACAGCTTTTCAGCCAAAAAGTTGAGGCTGCATTAGAAGGAACCTAGAATCATTTATGGGATACATTTATTTATTCCTGTAAATAATCAGGAAGTACTTGCTGACTTTGCACTCCTTCCTGCCCCTTCTTCCTTGTTTTTAGTTAAGGAACCACTTTTTTATTTCTATTAAAAACAACAACATTTAAATGCAATAAAAGCAGTGAAAGAGCCACACAAAACAGCACAGGAAAAAACGAATACAGCAAACACAAAAAATTAACCACAGCAATTTGTACCAGAAAGGGAGCAACCATTTATTGCCCAAAAGCATTCCCCCAAAGGGAGGTTTGGACCATCTTGTCACTTGCTTGCCTTTGTGCTGAAAGAGCCTGTGTCTTTGAGTGGAGGAAGGAAATAAGGCATATATGAGTAATTGACTGCACTGGGATTGTGGAGAGTATGCAGAAAGTGTTAGTTAAAGGGTTGGTCAAAGATGTAGAGTCCCCCTTGCTGGAACCTCTCAAACAGAGATAATTCAGAGGTGATCATAACTTTTTTTGTGCCCTGTGCTTTAAAAAAGGTTCTTGGCATGTAGTCAACTGTCTGGTTGCCAGGCCTCAACATGGGCTGGCAAAAAGAGATATCATTTATACTCATGCTCATTCTTTTATGTAGTTTAGTTACTGAGGCTTCGTTCTCAGTTTTTGCGCAAGAACTGCTTTGCTATCCTGTGCTGGAACTAGTGCTTTGCTAGCAACATTGTTGACATGGTACATTCATAGAAAGCCAGATGGGTGTTGCCTTACAGAGCTTGAAGGTCAAGAGAAAGTGATAGGTACTGATAACTGAAAGTAAGGGGCAAGAATCTGCTTGTAATCTGTTAAGTAGTTCCCAAACTGTAAGAGCAGTTGTAGTCCTGCTTCCCTTTTAGGATACTTAGTTTTAATCACTAAGATGCTCAGAGATCTTGAGATGCAACTTATTTTAGGCAATGCCAGAGGTGTGTTAAGCTTGGACAACCTCAGAGGGTTCGCAAGACCTACAGAACTACAGGCTGAATTTCAGTGCAGGATAAAGGCAGCCTGACATCTTCTCAAAAGAAGAAATCGTATCCTGCCCAAACTTGCTATGCTGACTGTGCTAAACGGCCAACCTATGCTTGGAAACGTGCAAAATTATTTTATTCATCTTGCTTTATGCAGCATCCATAGGATTTAAAAACCAGGAGGACTAATAACAGTTATGGCCTGTAATCTGCATAATACAGGCCATAATTCAGTAACAGAATTAGTAATCAGCATAATCTGCTCTTCTGTTTTACAAAAGACTGCTTTTCACTTAAAATCATGGGGTAAAAAAACCCCAAACTACTTCCTTTTTTGGTTAATCAGCCCCATGCCCAAGTTTATGCCTTATTTTGCAGTCTTATTTCTGACATCCATGACCTGCTATGTGCCTCACTTACTGTATTTTTCTCTCTATAAGACGCACCAGACCATGAGACACACCTAGTTTTTGGAGGAGGAAAACAAGAAAAAAAAAATATTCTGAACCCCAGAAGCCAGATAGCCGCGCACAGCCTCTCCCGGGCAGCGGGATGAAGGCTCCCCCAAGAGCCGTGCTCCCTTTAAAGAGCGCGCGGAGCATGTGTGCGGCTCTTGGGGGCTTTTCCCCGAGGAGGAAGAACACACGCTCCACGGGGCTCTTTAAAGGGAGCGCTGAGCAGAGCCTCCCGCCTGCACTCGCTCCATAAGACGCACACACATTTCCCCTTACTTTTAAGGAGGGGAAAAGTGTGTCTTATAGAGTGAAAAATACGGTAGATTAGCTCTTTAGTGCCGAACACTTTGAATGCATGAATATACCTAATCCCCACGGTCTTATGACATCTAAACCTTTTGGGAAGTTCTGACATGTTGAGCTCTCCACACTTTTCTGGGGTAGTATTTTCAGCGTTTGTTTTTTAGACATGTGAACCTTCAAATTGGATATGTTACCTTAGATCTCCTCTGGTCCATGGGGTCACGAAGAGTTGGACACGACTAAACAACAACACCTTAGATCTGTAAGCAAATACACAGAAATTACTTGCCCATAACAATTTCTTGTAGCCTCTTTGCCCCATCCATGTGGTATTAATTGTATTCTACCAGAATACAATACCAGAGGTATGAAAGGAAGAGAAAATAATCAACACTTCTCTTTGCTTTACAAAAGCTTCTCTCCTTTGTCACCTGGAGGAGAGTCTTACTAACTGCAGGTCAGATAAATGTCTGTTTTCAAGCCTGCATTGTTTTGCTATCAAGGTCACAATGCCATTTTTAAATAGTTTCTTCTACCCTACATGAGCTTTAAGAACTGTGTTAGTCTTCTTGCCAAAAGGGTGCAGTGTAATACTTAAGGGACCAACAATAATTAGCAAATAATTACTCTACCTTTTTCTCTGGTCACACTGCTGAGTAAAATCTCAACAATTATTCTGCAGAGCAAAGTAGGTTCCTGCTAAACAGAAGAGGCAATTATTGGGTATGTTGGTGGTGATCACTTTTGTTGAACACTCTTAAATAGAATCCCCCCCTCCCCCCAAAAAGAAACCATGCTCAGAAATAGATAAACATTTGGCAGCAGGTGTTTCTGTAGCAATCGAATGAAGGACCAATCTGGATCTGCCTTGGAAGCTACAATAGTTAGGTTCTGTGACCTCCAACAAAATGGAAGTATGGGAAAGTATTTCCTTTGGAGGTGGAATCTCCTTCCTTTCAACCTCTCTGCAGTGCTGTACATACACATAACTGATGCAAAGATGGTGCCATGTCAGTGAATTGTCAAGAGCAAAACCAAATCCATTTAATCTTTGGTTAATTGTTGACTCCATTTAAATGGTGTTTTCTGTGACTGACGGACTAGTTGGCAATAAAGCTATGCAAAGCTGCTTTGCTTGCACGGACTGGAGACTTCTTTTCACAAGTCCAATAACGATCACCATCTGCTGGAGAGGCTTTTATTTAACAGGTTTATTTAACAGGTTTATTCTTATCGGATATTAAGGAGATTTCGTCCCACAAACAGGATCTGAGCAGTTTTGTTCGGAGAAACCAAACCGGCTCATTATCAGCTGTGAGTGGGGTCACATGGACAGGGCTCTGTCCCTATTAATGCAATAGCTGCACTGTGAGAGACATTCTTCTGAGGCATTTGGATGTAGCAAGGAGTTGCCATCTATGCTGCATTTTTCTCTCCTGGCCTTCTGTTAAGAAGATTAACACATGGATTTCTAACTGAACATGAACTCAAGATTAGGGTCAATGTGGTGCAAAGAGCACTTTCCGTGAAAGCTTCAAGCTAATGCAGTGGGAGCACTTGGCAGGCTGCCTGCTAACTAATGGGTTGAGAATTGTGCATGCCTGGGTCTGTGGGAACCTAATGCTGTTTGCCGTACATAGTTGCAGTAACATCTGTGGACTCCCAGGATATAAAGGGATTGTCACAGAGGCATGTGCTAAGAGACTCAAAGAAGATCTTGTCCAGTTTTTCACTGGTGCAGTCATGTATGCCTCCCATTGTGACGGATTTTGGCCTTTTAGCTTCCAACAGTGGGTTCCACACTTGGAAGATATGACTCAGTCTAATTACAAACAAACTTTTCACACTGACAGTTCCTTGTCTCTCGACGTTGCCGCTCCTGAATAGTGTCCTCTAGCATTGAATTTTAAAGAAGGAGAAGATAACCAGTAAGTAATTGTATACATGGTCGGCGTGGCTTGGATGAAGGTCACTAGCAGAAGTTTTAATCCTCCTGCCAATTCAGCCATCAGGATATCTGCTGGCTGGGGAAATAGCAGCAAGTGGTGATTAGTTGGGAGTCCAAAGCATCAATATGCGCCTAGCATCTGGTGCAAATGTTGTATCATAGATTCTTTTTCCTTTGGCCTTTTGCTTGCAAAAAGGTCATGTGTGGAGAAGTGCCCTCTTTCAAAATTTGGCATTCTGCCCTGGGCTGTGAGCAACAAAACGCAGAGCAGGATTCAGGCAACAGGTCCCTTGTTCAAGCACCCTTCTAGACTCTAGATTAAACGAAATGTTTTCAGACCAGCAGCATTTCATCGGACAGTCAGTGTTTTGCAGTGACCACCCAGTGAAATTACTGGCATGCCCTCTTGTCATATGAGAGAGGAAATGAGTTGTCCTCTGAATAGTTCCTTTATAATAAATATGGGCACATATGGAAATGGAAGGCGTTACAGTGGGAGTGGCAGAATGGTATTAGATGGAGCAGCTGTTCAGAACTTTGCTGAGTTTTGAACAATGTGATCTCATAGAGAAGTTGTTTTTTGCAGACACCAAAGACAAATGTCACTTCAAATACGGGTCATTTCCACATCTTTAAAATGGATCTTGCCAGGGTATGGTTAAATGTCTGGTATGCATAGTGGAAATATTCTAATTGCCCACTGATTATTCAGTGTTTCCATTTTCTCCAGATGAATATACTGAATGTTTTGAAACAAGAAATTAAAAAATGTGCCTTCAATTTAGCATCTGGTATGCAGTTCCACTGTTATACTATAACCAGACATGTGCCTTACATTTTTTTCATTTTACCGTAACACACCTAGTTGTCAGTACTACTTAGTTAGTATTCTTGAGTGAGCCCCGTAGTTCCCTCTAGTGGTTACATTGGATGTCTAGAGTTTCAGATGCTTGACTGGTGTTCCTGGGTGGTCCCAGAAGAAGGCATACTGCAGAATGTTCACTGCATATCCAAAATAGCTTTCTCGAGGTCAGCATTTGGTTTTATGCAGCTTTTGTCCTTATTTTCCAGGATAACAATCATAGTGCATCTTTTCTTCTTAAATTTCTGACCTTTGAATCTGACTCTCTTAAAATTCATGATCAATAAAATACAGCTGTGACTAATAGGTCCCAGATGGCTTGAAGTATGTTGCATTTAGGTCTTGAACAGATGCAAGGGAATTCTAATTCAAAGTATAATAATGAATTGATCACTACAAAATGTAGTTATGGCTACTGGTTTAGGTTTATTTTTATTTTAAAAAGGGAACATATAAACACATGGAGAATAGATCTCCCAATCAATATTAGAGCTTCCATATTCAAAAGTAGTTTATCTGATTGCCAGATGCTTGGACAAATGGTGGATGGTTAATTGCATCATGCCCTTGGAGTGAGTATCTTGAGCATTTGGTTAGCCAGTGTTAGAAAGAGTGCTGGGCCATGTAGACTTTTGATCTTACCCAGCAAGGGAGTTCTTTTGCTCCTAAATTTAGAATTGAAGCAATCTTCATGAGTTGCAATCTGCTTTTCATTCACTGACTATTCCTTGTTATGCTGAGAAGTCAAAACCAACATGGCTTCAGCATTCAAGCTTGGTCAGACGGTCAAATTTTCAACTGAACATTGCCTGTTTCAGTTGCCTCCATTGTTTGGGAGGAGGAGGAGACGTAGCTTGACCCTTTGCTTAGAGCAGGGGTCAGCAACCTTTTTCAGCTGTGGGCCGGTCTACCGTCTCTCAGACCATGTGGTGGGCCGGACTATATTTTTTTGGGGGGGGGGGGAAATATGAACAAATTCCTATGCCCCACAAATAACCCAGAGATGCATTTTAAATAAAAGCAAACATTCTACTCATGTAAAAACATGCTGATTCCCGGACCGTCCGTGGGCGGATCTAGAAGGTGATTAGGCCAGATCCGGCCCCCAGGCCTTAGTTTGCCTACCCATGATCTGGTCAATCAACATCAAAACCCAAACATTTCCTGGAAATTATAAAACATACTTAAGCAGGCTTTCAGTACATTTTCCATTTTACTGCCCATTCACTCAGTTTGGAGAGGTCCTTTTCTTTTAATGACTGAACAATTGAGTATCATCAGCAAACTTGGCCACCTCACTACATCCGTTTTTCAGTTAAATCCAGTCAGGGTGAGGCATCTGCAGTCGAGACAAACAAAAATCTTCTGAAAATCTTCAGGAATTAAAAAATTATTCTGAGGGGAAACATTAAATTATAGCAGTAGTATCCAGGATACTGGGTGTGGGGCTTGTAAATAATGGATTTCAGCATGAATATAAGCCCCAGAGATGGAGTACAAATTAGTAAATTGGGCAGTGCATTGAAAGGAAGTAACAGATGTGCTGTGGATCCCAAAAACTGACAAGATCAAATCCATTCCAGAAGCAAGAAGTTGGCGTTGAGTTTTATAGATGGCAGGGGTGAAGGTGGTCTGTGATTAGGGTATTAATCTACTTTCAAGCATTTGTTGACACTAGGCATTACCTCATAAATAGCTTGATGGCAATTTTAGAAATCTAAATTGTTCTAAATCACTGTTGTTCCATTTGGAGTACAAATTACTTTTTTGCCATGAGTCATAGGAACATGATCATCTTCCATGAAAGCTGCTTGAGATATGCTTGTTTGTAATAATTGGAAACAAAAGCAGGCTTTTTCTTAGCATCCAAGGAGATATTTCTGTCTTGCATCAAATGGCAGAGTTCACAGACGTGCTGATGATAGTGGGCAGGCAGCGCTGAACATAACTGCTTCTCAAACTGAATTGCTTGAGGGTTTGAAATACAGGATAGCATTAATATGTGATAACTAAAAAAGTTACTTTGGGGATATATTTGAGTCCAAACACCCTAAACACTTACTGCTGCATCTGCACACTGACATTCCCGCTTCTGGCTTCACATAGCCGCTCTTCTGTATCAGACCCTCCCTGCAACTGCTTCCATGTTCTGCTTTGTGGTGGCTTCAGTTGTTAAGATCTAGGAATAAGCACCTCCCAGCAGTCAAACTCCAGCAGCAGCAAAGCTGTGGGGGAGAGGGAGTGTGAGGTTTCAATACACACATCTATTCAACCCTTTCCCAAGAAAATTGATCACTTTTATGAACTAAGATGCTTGCATTCAGTAATTAATTTCATTTATTTGGGTTACATTGTACCGTTCTAGGGGCTTACCCTTTACAATAGCAAGTAGCCCACTATTTCCTCTATTTAAGGTCTCATAGAGAGAGTGGGTGTGAGTGCAGGGTTCCGAATCACGAATAGAGCCAGCATATGTTCAGTAGGTTTCCCCTATGCAGACAAGCTCCCCATTGCATGGATTGGGGAGGGGGGAGCATAGATGAGCAGGCTCAGCATGCACATCCCTACCCTCTCTTCATGCCGTCTGAATGGCGTGGAAGAAATAATACTTAAAGGAAGAACTAATATGTCCCTCCTATTGTTTGTTTGTTTTACTCCTAGAGTAACTTACATGGTAAAAAGGTAAAGGACCCCTGGATGGTTAAGTCCAGTCAAAGGTGACTATGGGGTTGCAGCGCTCATCTCGCTTTCAGGCTGTGGGAGCGGGCATTTGTCCACAGACAGCTTTCTGGGTCATGTGGCCAGCATGACTAAAACCGCTTCTGGCACAACGGAACACCATGATGGAAGCCAGAGTGCACGGAAACGCCATTTACCTTCCTGCCACAGCGGTACCTATTTATCTACTTGCACTGGCATGCTTTCAAACTGCTAGGTAGGCACGAGCTGGGACAGAGCAACAGGAGCTCACCCCGTTGTGCGGATTTGAACTGCCAGCCTTCTGATTGGCAAGCCCAAGAGGCTCAGTGGTTTAGACCACAGCGCCACCCGCATCCCTTACATGTAGCTTACATGAAACCAATACAAACCTAGATCAATAAAAATAGCAGTCACTTGAGCAGTAAAATCAGTAAATCAGAACAAAATATATGAAAGGTTTCTTACAATGTCCCTTGCCCAGACCTTCTTAAAGTATGCACTTGGTGCCAAAAATAAAAAGGCAGCACCAAGCAAACCTCTCTTGGAAGGGACCTCCATAACAAGGTTGGAGTGTCTCAGGTTACCACTTCCCTTACTTCACTTGGCAGGGAACATGGAGTCGGGTCGCGGAGGCATTTCTGAATAGCTCATGCTCAAGAGGATGATCTCTGGGGATGTCTACTTTGAATTGTGCTTGGATAGGGCCTGCAGCCAATGCTGCTGTTCCAAAGCTAGTATAATAGATTCCCTAAGTCTTGTTGCTTACTGTATCTAGGGCTTTTTATGCAATCAAAAGCAGGGAGGCAATATGCTTGTTAACAGTTGAACAAGTTTGTCTGCATGTCATTTCAGTGTGTGGCAGAAACAATGTCTTGAGGAGGAAGATGTAGGTTTGGTGACTTCACTAGACAACTGAATGGATGAAAGCAGAATGGTGACTGAGAGAGTCAAAAATGCTTGGCTTTTTCTGGTGTAACTGACTAACCTGATTCTCTTGCATGGTGAACATTGCAATTTTTCAGTTACCGTATTTTTCGCCCTATAGGATGCACCGTCCCATAAGGCGCACCTAGTTTTTTTGGGGGGGAAATAAAGGGGAAAAAATATTTCCCCCCCAGGCGCGGGGCTGGGGCGGGGGAAGCCCGAGCTTCCCCCGACCCCAGCCCCCAGAACAGGCAGCTCTCTGCAAGCCGTGGGAGCCCAGCGCCGGCTCCCGTTGCTTGCGGAGAGGTGCACAAAGCCTGGACGTGCTGAGCTCAGCACGCACAGGCTTCAGCATGCAGGCAACTCTCCGCAAGCAGCGGGAGCCCAGCGCTGGGCTCCTGCTGCTTGCGGAGAGGTGCGCGAAGCCTGGAGAGCGAGAGGGGTTGGTGCGCACCGACCCCTCTCGCTCCCCAGGCTTCAGCGAAAGCCTGCATTCACCCCATAGGACACACACACATTTCCCCTTCATTTTTGGAGGGGGAAAAGTGCGTCCTATAGGGCGAAAAATACGGTAGTTCTTCAATAGCTTTCAAATATGCAAATAACACGCTTTTCAAAGCCTCTCCTTTCTTGTTTTGAGAGGACTGTATCCTTCAAAAACAAACCCTTATTAGTTTGTGTTCAGAGCTATAAGTTTTCAGAAAAACAAAATTAGTGGTAAAAGTTCTTTCTTAAAAGTAGCCAGCTGTATAGGAGTCTTGATATGATAATCTGAGAATCATGCAATCTGCTTAGGTTTTAGTGACCTGACTCTCTGCCTTTTAGCTTCTTTTCCCTTTCTGCCTTCTTTCATCTATCCATCTGTAGTCATTTTAGGCTTGAATATCTTTCTATTCTGCTAAGATAGCATGGGGAGGCAATATCACAAACACAGCCATGCACTTTTTAGGAATTAATGTAGCCACTTGTCTGTACACACCGAAGTGAGGCTTTAACCATGGAATTTCTTCTAGATTCCACTACATATTCTGGCCAATATATGCGGTATGACTAGAAAAGTGTTTCTTGGGTTTATATTTGTATGTGAAATCTTAGTAAAAAATATTGTGGCTGTCAAAGCCATAGTCTGACTGCTTGCAAAGTTTACTATGTGTGAGGATGCAATTACTGTATATGGGATTTGTTTGTTTGTGGAAATCGGCATTAACAAAATAATAGTCCCTTGACACACAGATGCATCTGAAGCACAGAGTGACAAGTAGATGGGCAGCTGGTCTGATCCTGCAGGGGTTTTCTTAAGTTCACAGCTGCAGCATTGGCAAGATATTATGGAAAAACTAACCCTGGTTTACACTTTGGCAAAATTATGGTGCTAGAAAGTTATCTTGCACTTTTCACTATCTGAGAATTGGCTTTGTCTCCCATCTTTGATTATCGGGGAAGGAGTAAAGAAAAGAAACTGAAATCTGTATATATTTAAATAGGCATAAATTGTCAGTGATCTGCTACACTTGGGGCAAGGATGAGCAGTGAAAGCCATATTGAAAAGGGCACCAGTCCCATACATAAACAGTGTCTGGTGCATAATCCATACTTGGTATTCTTTTTACTTGCATTTGCCTTTTGGAGCTCAGTTACATAAACTGCACTGGTAGTGGTTAGCTTGTTTCAGATTCTGTCCAGAGTTATGCATATTATAGTCATGCTTGTGTGGATGCTGCAGGGAAACGTACTTTGTGGTTGTCATAAAGGTCTGGTGTTAGAATTTTGGGCTGCATGTCTCCTTTTTGAAGTTAGAGGCCGTAATACTATACTACATAGTATGAAATGCACTTAAAGAAGCTAGAGTTAACTTTATTTCTTGAACTCTAGCGTGAGGAAGTTCTGCAAAGCTGCTTTAGTTTTATGAGGGAAGCAGCATACTGTGTCTTCATTCCTGTTTAGCATCATGCGGGAAATATTACTCATCTTTGTCCCTCAGATTTGAATACTTCTTGAAAATAGTACTAATCAGCTGAAGCAGAAATAGTATGTTGTTTTTGTTGTCATTTATTTATTTATTTATTGGCTTTATTATTCAATTAGAAATTGAAGGTGTGTATCTGTCTTTGATCCAGTTCACATGTAACACTAGATACCTGCAATTCGTAGTTCCTTTCTTGTTCTTAACTATTGTATTGGGCTGGGTTAGTACCAAAGTGCTTCCCCCCCAAAAAAAATCATTTGCACCCCTCCAGTGATAATGTTAATACTTGGAAACCATGGGGGATTCATTCTCCTAGTATTCAGCTTTAGTGCCCACAGGGCACTCTGCCAGCTTTCATTGGCTTTCTTGCTTCTCTTTCCCGAAGTCTGTCACAGATAAAAGGCAGAGTAGAGCTCCAGCGGCAATGGAGAGTTTCAGATCTAAGGATGTAAGTTATGCACTGGAAGACTTTGCCTCGGCTATTCACTAGTAGGCCTCATGCAGATCACTGCTGTTGACCACCACCACCACCACAACATGCCCTTCACCTTAAGGTCCCAGGGCAGGGTACAATTTAAAATAGAACAGTAAAACATTTTAAGAACTTATAATTACAGAAAATACAGTAGTGTGGATAGTAGCAATACTGGCTTACCTTTGGTACCCACTGCAAAAACTAAGAAGCTTCACATATATTATTGAAATATTCAAAGTGCTGTAAATATGCCAAGTATAAAATCTTTCTATGCAGTATCACCTCGAGACTTAACTACACGTCTGCTTGTGAGTCAGGCATATCAAATTCGTGTTCTTTCATACTTCCACCTAGTTTCTAAAATGATAGCCATTTAAAATCTGTCCAGTACTGTGTCTCTTCAGTTGGCAATGTGATTTTGACAGAATTGAATACAAGCATTACCTCAGTAAGGTTTAAAGTTGCAGTAAGGAAGTGTGAAATATTCTATAAGCACTTCCACATATGGTACCTTGACAAGGTAAGGGGCTTAAATTTAAGGTGTGGCTCACACTGTCTGACAGCTGGTCTCGGCTGTCATTCTGCCAAGCTGGAGTTTACTCTTGCTGAAGAATGTTAAGGTGGCAAAATTTGGGCAGTTCTGTTCTGCATTCCTTGCTTTGTTGAACTGATTCAGTGACCCAGTGACTGCAGTGAACAAAAGAGGAAGGCACATGGTTGAAACATTTCTAGAATTGGGCATACATTTTGAAATTTCTCCTTACTTAAAAATTCATGTTAATAGTGGTTGTGAGTAATAATAATAATAACAATAATAATTTTAAAGGCATTTCTTAAAATGGATTTTTTTAAAAAAAACATGAATCCTCAAAAGGGAGCAGTATATTCAGCACTTAGCAGATACTGTCCCCTGACTGAAGATGTTCTCAGTGGGGCTGCCTTGCTGTGATATCACAGAATGTTCACAAACACTTTTAACTACTCAAGAGAAAGCTGTTAATATCAAGGACCCAAGACAGAAGGAGCTAGCATAGATAGCATTTTGCTTACTGAGATGTTTGCACCTTCAGGTGGTTGGCAGTATTTGTAGAAAAACGGGGAATGATCTGGCCAGAAGTAAACATTTTTTAACTCATGAATTTTAGCATTTGCTTAATTTTCCCATTGATGTCAGTGGGACAAAAGTGTTACACTCAGGCTGCAACCTGCTTTTATAGAGTAAAATGAAAATGGCTTTCTTCTGAGTAGACACATAAAGGATTGCACTGTAAGTTTTCTGAGAAAACGAACTTTTCCATTCACCTATCTGTGGTATTCATCTTTTTTCTTACCTTACCTTGTTAACACACCACTTACCAAAAATAAAATCAAAACTGCTGGTCGCAATCAGCTTATCTAAATTAAATCTAAACCATTATCTATTGTAGTGATTCATGTAATTTTTCTCCAAAAAAAGTATTTAATTGTTCCTTTTGTAAAATGTGTTTGTGTGTTGTATAATGTTGTTGATATTGAAATGTAATTGTTTCCTCAACTTTAGCTGTTCTGAGGGCTAAACAATACTTGCAATTTGCCAGAATGAGAGAGTATTTTCATAATTTAGGCTCAGTTTGCATGTATCACATTAGTTAAATGCGAACCATCTTAAGGCAGATACAACTGAGTTACTATTATTTACACTGAATATTTCCCCAGTAAATGACTGTACAGTCTGAAACATGTTGGGATTGGGATATCTATCTGTTATGGGAGTAGTATTTTTTTTTTGGTTCACCTATTTTTTTCTGTTCACCTATTATGTTTCCCCTTTTGCTTCCTTTTTTTTAAAGAGGAGGGAGGTACAGTACATATGCAATGGATCCATTTTTGCTGTATGGCAGCAAAGTATAAATTTGAGTTTTGGCAAATCATGAAATATATATGAATTCTACAGACCTTTAGAAAAACAAAAATGTCTTTTACTCTGAGAGCTTAATCACAGCTGTGCACTAGACTGCAGCAAAGTCATTTAGAACTGTACCTAGAAAGACCCAGATTCTACCCATGGGCTCAGAATACCTTGTAATGCAAAAAACAAAACCCCAATAAAAAAAATACATTGGAATGCAAAAAAACCAAACCTCAATAAAATAAGATGACCCTGTTGTTGGATACAGTTTCTAGACACCAAATCAACATTGCTACTTATTTTAAAATATTATTTTAATACTGAAGGTGCACCATGCACTGTAAAGATCACAGATAGAACAGTCATAAAATGTTTTGCTGCCTGAAATGGAACCAAAATGGTGCCTCCTCCTCCTGCTAGGCAGGATGGTTGCTGGGACTCTCTTGGTTTCAAAGCATACAGGAATTCACACAGAAATAGATTTTATATAGCTTTCCCATCTATTTTGAAGAAGGAAAACTCAGCTTGGCATGCTATCAGATAGTTACTCTGATAACAAATGGCTATAGAAAAAGCAGGATCCCAGTAAATATACAGTCTGCTAACTGATATTTTGGGTCCCATGGTTTCCCATGAAACCAACAAAAGTATACAGGTTTCATCCATGCCTCTTTTCCTTCCTTCCTTCCTATCCACAACACCAAGAAATACAGGATTATAACTGAAAGCTATATAATTGAGGGGAAATGGAAGAAATAAGGAACAGAAATCAAAGAGGAGGAACTAGGTGCAGTGACTTCTAATAAGATCCTTTTTTGACATATGGGAGTGCTTTTTTCTTTTTTTTCTTACATTAAGTTTCCACTTCCTAAAGTAGGCCAGAGGATTTTGAGCATACATTCATATATGTAATTGGACTCTGAGAACTAACCACTGCCGCATGTCATGCAACAGAGTTACTTATGAGAAAGTATATAATCATGTGTTCTGTTCCTGAATACAAATGTCTCAGGAGACCTTAGTACACTTGAATCCTTAACTGGTGTCCTTAAGTTTCGGCAAAAACTTTTTCTAGAGTGTTTCAATTATGTATATTTGAAGCAATAAAGCTGGTCTAACAGAACCACCAGCAGGAAGCTTAAAAGGGGACTCTTGTTTGTTCTTTCTGGCTCCTGGTGGCCCTTTGGCACAGAACGTATCTTTCCACTTTTCTGGTAGAACTTTGTGTTCGCTCATGTTGCCCTAATGAAAATGGCTGGGCATACTGTAAAGAAGCAGTGAAAAATCAGGGTCCTCTGTCTACATTGGAACACACTAGACACACTGAGTGCATGACTTAAGTACCACTTTCAAATTTGATAGTTGAAGAGTTTCAATTATGTGTTTTCTTTTTATTAGGAAAAACCTTTTGGTACCTATTTGACCGTCCCCTTTCAACAAGCCTTTTCAGTTAAATTTTTTACCCATCTGCATCTGTCTTGAAATTGTTTTGAAGATGCTTTTATGGTTTTATAGTGTGTTTTACCACCCTGGGCTCCTTTGAATATAATTAATTAATTAATCAATCAATCAATCAATCAATCAAATTATTGAGTCAAAAAGCAAAAAGAGCCAGCATTACCTTTAACAAAAGTTTCTCTACCTAGTCACCTGTAGGTGACTTGGGCTCAGCCTAGGCCCTAGGCAACCAAGTGAGTGTCTGTTTTCAATCCTGTTTTAATTTATTAACTTGGTTGTTTTCATTCTCTTTGACCTAAGTTGAGCTACTGCTCAAGATTTACATTCCATGTGTACTTGCTGGAGGGGTTCTTAAACGCCTGTTGCACAAACTTTAAAGACCAGAGTTTACTGTTATACTTATTTCTAACGAATGTTGTAACTACCTGTGACTGTTTCTTTCTTTCTCTTTCATAGATTACCGAAGCTGGGAAAGAAACTTTGCCTTCTTGGTTGCATTGGGAACCAGAGAGTAGCACCTTGGAAGGTCTCCCGCTTGATACAGATAAAGGCATTCATTATATCTCAGTGAATTCAATGCATCTGGTATCTAATGGAAGCTATGTGCCCCAAACCACCAATGTCTTTTCCATTGAGGTTCACCCAGAAGATCATAATGAACCTCAGTCGGTACGGGTGGCTTCACAAGATGTGAATGAAGTAGCACCGTTTGTGTGTAGCGCAGAGGAACCAGTCACTATTTTGACTGTAATTTTGGATGCTGACTTAACAAAAATGACACCAAAGCAGAGGATTGAACTTTTAAACCGAATGAAAACCTTCTCAGAAGTGGAACTTTATAACATGAAATTGGTTCCCGTTGTAAATAATAGACTCTTTGACATGTCAGCCTTCATGGCTGGCCCAGGGAACGCAAAGAAAGTGGTGGAAAATGGAGCCTTACTATCTTGGAAACTAGGCTGTTCTTTGAGCCAGAATAGTGTCCCAAACATAAGCAATGTTGAATCTCCAGCTAAGGAAGGTACAATGTCTGCTCATCTTGGCTACCCCGTGGTTGGCTGGCACATTGCGAACAAGAAGCCTAATGTTCCAAAGAGAATAAGGCGGCAGATTAATGCTACACCAACCCCTGTGACTGCTGTTGGACCTCCGACAACAGCCCTCCAAGAACCGCCAATTAGAATTGTTCCTACACCCACTTCCCCAGCCATTGCACCTCCCACTGAAACAACAGCTCCTCCAGTAAGAGAGCCTGTTCCATTGCCTAGGAAACCCACAGTTACTATTAGAACAAGAGGTGCCATTGTTCAGACACCAACCCTTGGACCAATTCAGCCAACCAGAATGATAGAAGCAGTTTCTACTACCCCTGTCCAGATCCGGCCAACAATGACTGGGCAAGTTGAACCTACTGCAGCAGTTACACCGCCCACGACAAAGAAACCAAAAAGAACCACGCCAAAACCGTCCACACCATCAACCACCGATACGAGCACGACACGAAGAACTCCCAGACCCACCAAAATTCCTCGACCTCCAAAGACTCCCGGGACTACTAAATCGCCTTTCATTCCACCAGAAAGAGTTTCGCCACCAACTCGCATACGCACCACTACAGTTGGAACTCCCCGTGTGCCCAATGATCCGCCAGAACTGAAAAACCACATTGACAGGGTTGATGCGTGGGTGGGCACGTACTTTGAACTCAAGATACCTTCAGACACTTTCTATGACAAGGAAGATACCACCACTGATAAACTGCAGTTGACCATGAAACTAGAAGATGAGAAGCCATTGGAAGAAAACTCGTGGGTGCAGTTCAATAGCACTAGTCAGCTAATGTATGGACTACCCAATCGCACACACTCAGGCAGGCATGAATTTTTCATGCATGCCACAGACAAAGGGGGCCTTTCAACAGTGGATGCATTTGAAATATTTGTCCATGGTCTTGGAGCCGACGAGGTGCCTCCCGTTAAATTTAAAGCCGCATTAGAGGGAGACTATACTACAGTTGTCAATGACATTCATAAGAAAATTTTGTTGGTGAAGAAGTTGGCTTTTGCCCTCGGAGACAGAAACAGTAGCACTATTACCATAGAAAACATTGTCAACGGCTCCATTGTAGTTGAGTGGACAAACAATACTCTGCCTTTGGATCCATGCCCCAAAGAGATGATTCGCACCATGAGCAGAAAAATTGCTGATAATTCTGGCAAGCCAAGCCACGCTTTCAAGAATGCCTTAGCGCCAGAGTTCCCGGCTAAGAACATTTCCGTTATTGGTGCTGGTAGCTGCGGACGCATTCAGTTTATTCCTTTCTATAGAGAAGGACTTCCTACAACGGCACCGCCTACAGTTGTGCTTCCACGGGATCCAGAAAAGACGAGCGAAGACGATGTGTACCTCCACACGGTCATCCCCGCTGTGGTGGTGGCAGCAATCCTGCTGATTGCTGGGATCATTGCTATGATTTGCTATCGCAAGAAGAGAAAAGGCAAGCTCACCATAGAAGACCAAGCCACCTTTATCAAGAAGGGAGTGCCCATCATCTTTGCCGATGAGCTGGATGACTCCAAGCCTCCCCCTTCCTCCAGCATGCCGCTGATTCTACAGGAGGAGAAAGCCCCTCTCCCGCCCCCAGAGTACCCAAATCAGAATATGCCAGAAACTACCCCGCTCAACCAAGACACCATAGGAGAGTACACGCCACTGCGAGACGAAGACCCCAACGCACCGCCCTACCAGCCACCCCCTCCCTTTACAGCACCCATGGAGGGCAAAGGCTCCCGTCCGAAGAACATGACCCCATACAGGTCTCCACCTCCCTACGTCCCCCCTTAATGAACAAGAGGCGCTTGCGGAGATGGGGCCTATAGTTCCACACCAGTGTTGTCTGTAGGGGTCGGTGGCCTGCGAATCCGTTACCAATTAGGACACCAACATACATAAGCTCAAACGTAGCCCGGTCCCGGCAGGCCCTCTCTCCGAATGCGTTTGCTACACCACAGTGCTTGTGGAATTTTCGGGACACTGATTTTATTTTTGCCTAACAGCTTTTGTTTTGTTTATTCATAGAGGGGGGGGGAAATCTACTTGGCTCAAAAAGTATTTCTGACAGCAGGCGTCTCGAAGCATCTTGTGCAAAGGGAGAATGGCTGGACATGCAGGCAGCGCTAGGGGTGGCACGCTGGGTCTCTGCTGTTTGCCTTTAAAACTAACTGTACTGTTTTTTCTATTTCACGTGTGTCTAGCTACAGGGCATAACATGAAATGTAGCCTAAAAAATTAAAACCGGAGGACTTTCTGAGGTCAATGTTAAGTTTTTACATTTAATTGCTGTTACCTAAACTTGTATGTATAGAATGGGGAGGGGGAGGGGAAATGCTTTACTACAAATAAGCTCCAGGGGTGTTTCCAATGCCAGTCAGGCTGAGGGACCGTCTTTTTTAATCAAAGGAATCCTATTTTTTCACACATTATACAGTTCAGTCATCAGCTGGGGTCCTTTTTGCAAACTGTAGAGCGAGCTCTTGTTGCTCCAGCCTGCCATTGCTGGACCGATGCCAGGCCGATAGCCGTAGGTTTCTGAAAAAGGGATGGAGTTTGGAGAGCTCTTTGCAATTACCGAAAAGAAAAAAGAAGCGAGAGAGAGGGTTGAATCTAGCTATGTAGCAGCATTTGCTGCCTTTCGGAAACTGGGGCCCCAACAGTGGTAGCTACAGGCTGCAAGGGTCATGGTGCTGTGCTGAGATTTTTCATCTGGAAGGCATCCTTTGGCTTTCGAAACACTCTTGAGATATTTTGGTGAAGATGCAATATTTTTATGTAGTGTAATGCAGTTTCCTCACATCAAGACTCCTCCTGGACCACAGTATTGGAACAGTCCCTCTTCCCCCCCGATCACTCACTGCTGTCCTCTGCACACACACAGACGCAATAGTAGCTGTCTGGCGGTTGGCAAAATAAAATAAAAAACTCGTGCGCGCCAGAAATAGTTCATAGCAAAAATCAGTGAACTCTCAGCTCTAATTTTTTACTAAATTTTTGATACAGCCTCAAATTGTTTTATTAAAAAAAAGTGATTAAAAATGGTAATGCTGCCAGCAGTTTGTATGAGCTTAGCTTCTTAGTATCAATTCAACGGGACTGACTGCTTTGCTCATTTTGGGTTTTTTCCCCTTTCTTTTTGGTCTCTCATAGTCATTGTTTTTAAATATTAGAGCCATGTCTAGGTTTCTTGCCTTTTTAAAAAAATGAACTTCCACATGTCTCTCCTGGGAAGTTGGAGTGACTGTCAAGGTCACCCCCATGCCTTTCTCCCCCCCTTTCAACAAAATGATTTTAAGCATGAGTTATTAATTTTTCTTGTCCATTTGAGACTATTTTTGGTACATTAGAGGGAGGAAAAGCCCTTTGCAATAATTAGTCCATCCCCTGGCTGGGGGCTGGGCAGCCTCTGGCTGACTTTGCACACAAAGCAGACACTTTTAAGCCATATTGACTGTTTTGCAAAGTATGATGGTGTGCTGACATGGCCAGTTAACACACTAGTGGATGAATGGCTAAAATGGCCTTCACCTCTGAACTTGCTAGGGTGGCATTTCCCATCAAGCCTTTTTTTGACTGATTGAATAGGATTTTGTCTATTAAAACAATTGTTAATTTGACTATGGCCCCATATAGTTCTGCACTCTGCTTCTGCCCCCTGAGGTGGGCTGGAGGGGTTTGTGTTGAAGTGAGGGTGACTGTAAAGAATGCTTCAGGTTTAGCCTTTGTCTAGTTTGACAGGTATAGATTTGCCCTACAAAGTTTTTTTTCCCTTAAAAAAACAACAACACACCTCTCCTCTGTCCCTTCAGTGCTTGAAAGTTGGTGTGTGTCTCAGATGAGGAGAAGCGATGGATTCCGCTCCACACACAGGAGAGCTGGTTGAAGGGAAAGGGATTAAGTGGCACCACTTAGGGCAGACTGCTTTTGAACAGACACTAGAAATACGTTTGTAAGAATGCCTCCCCCCACAAGCTAGCGACCATGGCAGCACAGTGCCAAAATCTATACTGGCAGGCCTGCATTTCAGATGTCTCCAAGTTATCAACACACACAGCCTCCTAAGCCCAAATGCTGCAAGTTAGAAGGGCCTTCCAAACAGTGCCGTTGTCCCTAGCAACTGATGCCACTTTATAATGGTCATGCGCAAGCGCAAACGGTTTCAGGCCTGGGCCTACCTGTCACCATAGAAACTGGAGGCGAAGGGGCAGTGAACAGAATAATAACAATGGCATTCTCATCAGCCGCCTTCCCCCTAAGCACCAGTGCTGTTTATTTATGCCACTAGACACTGTAATGGTGGGAGAAAATCTTGTATTAAAAGTGTTCACCAACCACTGATGTGTTTTTATGTCCTTATATAATTATTTTAAAAATGTGTTTTCTGCATTCTGTAAAGAAACATATCAACTAAATAAACCAGTGTACTTTACTACAAACGCAGAGGCTAGTGAGCTCTTCCGTTAGACCCCTCTGGGTTCCCAGCACACAATATTCCCATAACATAGAAAGCTCAGACTGGAAAAGAAGCTGTAGAAAGTGCAGGAGAAGAATCCCATTGATCTCGAGGGTGCTCTGTTGAGTGCGGTAAGTGAGCTCCATTCTGCTTTGCATAATTCAAGACTGTATACTCATTACTGGCTTAAAGATTTTACAGTTTAGGAGATGTGAGAAACAAAGCACAATGATATCTGCTTAAATCCTCCCCGGTGATGAAAGAAAGATTTATTTCTCCATTTTTTAAAAAAAGAAAAAGGTCAGAGTGAAGTTGACAAGTAGTACAAAGGTTGCGTTACTGGAAAGAATTATTTTGAGTGTCAAACCAATAAAAGCCTTCAAATACCAAGGCACCGTTCTCCATATACGTTACAAATATATGTTATGTTGTTTTGTCAAGTGCGTCTCAATTCTTATGCATCCTCATAACCCTATTTTGTAGCTCACTAGGTTCCATTTTACAGATGAGAAATAGAGGTATGGTGATGTACATGATAAGTACAATGGGGCTTACTCCTAGTTAGGTGGGTATAAGGTTGCAGCCCTTCATCAAGACAACCCAGTGTGTTCTTGACTGAACATGAATTTAAATCTCTTAGTCCAGTAAGAGTCCCAAGTCATCAAAGGACAACTGTACTGTGTAAAAGCAATACTGGATGGTGTTTTTGTTTTTTGCAGTTTATGGCCTCATACCTTTGCTTGCTTTCTGCCCTCTTAGCAGTGGAAGAATGGGCTTCTCCCTGCCGACTAGAGCAACAACCTTAGTAGAGATCTGCAAGATGCTTAGGCTTAGGGTAGGAGAGAATTGGACTTCATAGCCACCTTTTTAATTTATATTGCTTCATAGTGAACATTTAAACTGTCACTCCTTTGATTCAAGGTTTACAGTTTTCCTGTTCCCTTTCTATAATTCAGACTGGGAACACGTCTGAAACATCTATCCATTTCTTTAACATCTCAATTGCTGTTCTATACCCTAAAATTACTAAGCTAGAGTAATAAATATCAATAAAATGAGATGTACTAGAGTATTAACGTACCACAGTTTCAATTCTATAGGAAAGTGGTGCTCCCTGCACATAAAAGTCACCAACACTTAGCTGTTTGTATTTGGTTTTACTGGGTTTTTACCTGCACTAGCTAATATTTTTCTACATTGTTAAGGCTTCAAGCCTTATTGCGGAGTAAGCTTCATTGAACAAAGTGAAACTGAGTACACAGGAACACACTATGGCTGCAGACCAGATTTCACTTATTAAAGAGTAAGTCCCTTAGAAGATTAAAAAAACAAAGCAGTGATAGCCACCAACTTGGATGACTTTAAAAAAGAATTAGCTTTATCATGCATGAATCTGCCTTATCAGTGACTGCTAGCCATGGTGGCTATGCTTTGCCTCTATGAGTGGCAGCAGTTTGCTTCTGAATACCTGTTGCTGCAGAGTCTAGTTGGCCATGGTGAGAACAGTTGGATGGACATTGAGCAGCTTCTTATGTTCTTAAATATGTATATGCTGCTTGGTTAAAATTACCGTATATACTTGCTCACTTGGAAGCAAATCTAATTAAACCCTTTGTGGGATTTACTTATGAGTAAATGCATAGGATCAGGGTGTGCAAGGTTATAATGCACAATCCATTTATGTTCTGGAGCTAGTGGCGTTGTTGGTTACATCCAAAACAATTTCACTGATCTCAACTTCCGTGCTTTTCATTCTTCTTTAGCTTTCAAGCTGTAACTAACATTAGCCACACTCCAAGGAAACCCATTGAAATCAATGGACATGGCTAACTTGGGACCATTAATTTCAATTCTCTGAGTTAGATACAACCCATAGAACAGTATCCAGTGCACTTGTTCCGTCAGTACAAGGATTTCTGCTTGCATGGTGGAACTCCTTCACTTCTTCCCCATGTGTGCCCTCTCCACATCTGTTCTGGAGGGTTGGGGGAACCCTTAGAACAGATTTAGCGGAGGCATGGTGGGCAAAAGAGAGGGGAAAGTTCAATTGTGCAAGCAGAAATCCTTGCACTGACAAAACAAGTCCCATAGCTCTACTTTGGATACAACCCATTGCTTGGTTTTGCATGCTTGTCCTACAGACACACTTTAAAGGGCAGGTGTGGAGGTGATCATGCCTAGGGGGATGCCAAGCACTATATTTGGAGGAAAGGGGAGGGCAGCATGATCTTTGGAACCGTGGTGTGGCAGGCAAGGGTTAACAGAGAAGCGGACACGGAGCAATGGATCCAAACTACAAGAAAGAAGATTCCACCTAAACATTAGGAAGAACTTCCTGACAGTAAGAGCTGTTCGACAGTGGAATTTGCTGCCAAGGAGTGTGGTGGAGTCTCCTTCTTTGGAGGTCTTTAAGCAGAGGCTTGACAACCATATGTCAGGAGTGCTCTGATGGTGTTTCCTGCTTGGCAGGGGGTTGGACTCGATGGCCCTTGGTCTCTTCCAACTCTATGATTCTATGATTCTATAACCCTCTCCCTCCTGTGGTTCCAGTTTTGATCCACACAACACCAACCTACTTGTTTGACCCTGAGTGAGATTTAAACATGCTCATAATTTTAAAATGAACAACACCAACAGGACAAGTGATGAAGAAATTAGCTTGTGCTCAGATGATTTTTCAGATATGTTTATCCTTGAGGAACAACAACACATAGAACAGGTAGGACTCTGAAATGATTTAATGGCGATAGTAAAGCAGTCACAGAAATGAGCCAAAGGTCAGTTATGGAGGTGTTCCTGTGTGACAGCAGTTGCACACTAGCCATTCAACTCAACCACCTCTAAAAAGACTGCAGCATGAAATGATTCATGGCAGCACTAGCTCTTACTATTATTATCCACAAAACTTAATGCACAGTTGTTGTTAAAAGTCACCAACCTCCTTTCATCTTTTTTGAACCAAGAACTTGCCTTATTTGTACTTGTTTTTAAACCAGTGGTGAAAGCTGCCATGGTTAGCCAGGTGCAGAGTACTCCCAAAACATTTTAACCACATCACTCAATGAGTTTAAGCATACCAGCAAAAGATGAGGGAATTCTGGCAAGATGTGCAATCCATTTCCATCACTGGTTTGCACACCGTGCAAGTTAAATCAGTTTCTGCAAATCTCTCTGTGACATTTAACCTAATTGGTAGGCATTGCCGTTCCTTTGCTCACAAATGCAAAATTCATAATGGTTCAAACATTGCTGATCCTCAGAGGAACCTGAAACAATACCATGTGACCAGAACTCAGCTTGCAGCTCAAATTTCAAATGCTCAGCTGGTGATAGAGCAAAAAGCTGTGATGATTTATACATTTTATGTGTAGTAGGTATGGACTTGCAGTCAGTAAGATTGACATTTTATTGATTCTGTGTGCATCTTGCTTTCAAGCACTGTTCTGGAAACTGGTAAACTTTATTGGCTTGCTGGATTGAAGTGAATCTAGTGCTACAGTCTACTGTGTTACGTGTCCTTGCAAGGCCCTGGATATGCCAAACTGGACTGCAACATACAAGCAATGATTCAGAAGTTCCTTCTAAGTTACTATTGGTGGTTTGCTTATGTATTGTTAGCTACTCTGTTTACTGTGTTGCTATCTTCCTAAAATGTGTCTGGTTTTTGGTGTTGTTTTTTTAAAGTTAGACATGATTTATTAACTAGTAAAATGCCTGTCACAATAATGGGTATAGGCAGGGAGGGCGGGTGCTTGCATATTATAAAGATCCTCCCTGGATATAGCACATCTCTGTATTCTGCTCTGCTCACAGAGACGCATGGGATGTGTGGAGACGCCTCAGGCCTGGAGGCCAAATGAGGCATCTCTGTCTGGTCTTTGGGCTCTTCCTTGGACATGCTTGTCCTCAGGCCGTACTTGTCTCCAATCCTGCTCCTCCATACCCTCCCTTGACCGCCTTTGCCTGACTGGAATGTGCCTTGAACTGTGACTGTGCCTCTTTTTTCCCTGGCTGGAAATCTCGGTACATGCAAACCTCTGATTCATCCTGACCTCAAGTGTCCAGTGCACTAACTGCTTTTTTGCCTTTGTTCCCACCCACCACTGGCATGAAGCCCCACAAGGGAATGCAACCCTTGGGCTGAAAAATTCTTCACCCGTGTTACACCCACACACCAGGAATGTTTTATCATTATGATTTTTATTTCTATATTCCACCTTTCCTCCAAGGCGCTCCAGGTGGGGTACACACTTCTCCCCATCTCCATTCTGTCCTCACAACAACCCTGAGTAGGGATTTGAATCTTGATCTCCCAGATCCTAGTCCAGCACTTCCCACTCCTCCTCACTGGCTCTCCACACAAGGATCCCTCTTACTGCGAGAATGGATCTGAAGGCATTTCTTTATCACGTTAAGTGTCTGGACGAATGTTCAGAATTGATTCTATGATTATGTTGTATATTGGCCTTTGTCAGCCTAGTGCCCTCCAGGCATATTTGGACTTCAACTCCCATCAGCCACAGCTAGCTTGTGCTGATGGGGGATTATGGGAATTGTAGTCCAAACCTACCTGGAGGGCACCAGGTTGGTGAAGGCTGCTATATAGAACACACAGGATTCCATCTTCCCTCCTGGGGAGCCCAGGCCAGTGAGTGTGTGGGGTTTTCATCTTCATGACCCTTGGGTGTGATATTTTCTTTTCTTACTGCTATTCTGACCAGCCATGTTAATGTCACATTTTTCCAATTTTCTACATCCTTTTTCCATTTTCATCATAAGTAGGACAAAATTAAGTTTTTAATATTTAGATTTTTAAGGCTATGTTTACTATCTTCACAAATTGAAGATTAGACTACACAATCTTTGTGATTTATCACTGTTAGTAATGGAATGACTATTGCACTTCTTTGCATTGCATTTCCTCTGACCTCATCATTTACCATCATCACTACCCCAAAAAGAATGTATGTTATCCTCCCTTCACCACAAAGTCCCAGGGCAGGTTACAGCAAGAGAAAAATACAAGCTTGAAATCAGTTAAAACATGTGCCTATACCAGCCACTCAGGAAAATCTTCATGCATTCAATGAAGTGGATGGACTCTAGTCCACAAAAGCATCTGCCACATTGCATTTGACATTACGTATTTAAGGTGCCACAAGACTCTTTGTTGTGCATTAGGCTCTTGCAGAGAAAAAAACGCACACCTGGAAACAACAGATTGATTCACCTTGAACTTGCCACAAGCCTTGTTTTAACTCCAGCAGTGCAGACTCACAGGTCCTACCTTAGGGCATGCTGCAAGCCCAGGATGGTTTGCATGCATCTTTTGGGCAACTGATTGACATGAAGTATAGAATGGAGCCTGTGGTTTGTCTTCTCTCTCTGGAAGGCAAATCGGCCTCTGTCAAGGTGGGTAATTGGCAGCACTGTGCAGCTGCTGCCTTCTTGCATTCAGCAATTGCAAGTTTGAAACTTTCCTGCTGCTATTTTTGGTGTGTGGCTCCTGCTGCACCCTAAGGCTATGAATTGGATTGTTCAGCCGTGTGTTAATCAGGCCGCATTCAGAAGGAGAATGTGGAGAGAATGAGAAAATGGATGCTTAAAAGCTTTCTAGCATCTCCTCTGAAGAGGCTGAGTGGCAGGCCTCCATGTGTTCCACCGCCAGCCGTACCCACTACTGTCAGAGCAGCTCCCCCCCCCCCTTCTTTCTTTGGGAGTCTGTGCCATTTGCTAGTCTTGTGTATGTGCGTGCCTGCAGAAAGAGAAAGGGGAGCACATGGCGCCTCTGATAAGATTCCCAGCCCAGCCTTGTTAGCTTTCCTGCTGCAGAAGGCCAGGAAAGCACGGCTAGGCTGTGTGCTCCCTCCCTCCCAGTCCCTGTTGCTGCTCCAAAGCTTTTTTGCTCCAGGCCTCGCTTTGGCAAGCTTACAAGCAGTCATTAAGCCCATCCCATCTATTTTAAACTCTGCCAGGATGGGAGAAGGGAAGGTTCTGTAAAAGGCCTTCCCTATTTATGGCTCTCTTAACAGCAGAAGTTTACCCACATCACATGGCTCCCTCCCTTATCCAGACTAGCTACATTTAAAGAGAAACTTGCTCAGGAGCTCCTCACCTCACCCCAGGCCGCTCATTATTTCTTCTTTAATAAAAAATAAAAAATTATTTCATTTGAGAGGCCCAGCATCAAGCCTGCCCCAAACTCGCTGGGGACAAACAAGCAATTTTTAGCCTTCGTGGGTGGAGCAAATTTTATATTTTGTAACTTGACTCCAGCAGCATTTGCTGTAATTCAAGGGTGAGGCACAGAAGGCTTCAGTGCTGGGTTTTGCTTCGCTGCTTCCGCCATAACGCCGAGCTCTGCCTTCCTTGGGGGAGCATTGCCTCCCAGGAAGTTCAAGCGTGGCCTTGGGGAGTTTTTCTGGAGGGCTTTTGCCCTGAGCTGCTGTTGGCTGACGATCCCTCTCCTGTGGTCTGATAAGACAGTGTTGACCTCCCATGTGCTGCGGACGCCTGTTCGCTTCCCTGCCGCATCTGCCGCTCTGTACATGTCATCCCAAATTGTGTCTCTGCAGCCAGTGACAGCTTCCACTAACCTACTTCCTTGATGTGATTATGAATACTGGGAGAACAGTCAGCTTGTGCTCTACCTGTCTCTCATGATCAGGCAAAGGGGGTGCAGGGAAATTACCAACTCCCTCGGGAGCTTTCTGCAAGATTATGTGATGGCAGCTCAATAGCTCTGTATGCCCATCACGGTCACTGTTAGGCTTTCCCTATTTTTGGTTCCATCCGAGCCTCTCTCCAAAGTTTAGTGGCAGACCTTTTAAAAACTCTGCCTCCTGCCGTGACGGCAAGGGCACAGAGGAGCAGCCTGAGCTGCTTTGTTGTGAAAGGCCTGGGTATTTCCCCACCCCCCACCTTGTCGTCGTTCTTCAAGAGCAGAAGAGGCTTCCCTTACCCAGCAGAAATATTTGCCTTTGAACCACACAACTGAAGCAGAGCCAAGTGCCTGTCTTTTCCCTCTCTGCCCCCGCCCCCACTCTCCCCATCTTGGCTTTCCCACTCCTTAGAGTGTAGCTATAAAAGAGGCACAAGCCAGACAGGAAATTGCCGAGCAGAGCCTGGATAAAGGGCAGGTGCAAGAGGAGTCGGGCAGGGAGTGGCCCATGATGCCAACGGTTAAACTAGGAGTTTAGGAAGAATTAGGAGCGCAGAATTGCTGGCTGCATAGGAAGGAGCTGAGTCAATAGATTAGACTTCTGCTACTTACTCAAGAACAGTAAAACTGAGTGACTTTTTAAAAAGTATTTGGCAAATTCATAGTGGGTAGATCTGTCCCACAATGGATGTCCCCATACAGTGGTACTTCAGGTTACATACGCTTCAGGTTATAGACTTTGATAACCCAAAAATAGTACATCGGGTTAAGAACTTTGCTCCAGGATGATAACAGAAATCGTGCTCCGGTGGCGCGGCGGCAGCAGGAGGCCCCATTAGCTAAAGTGGTGCTTCAGGTTAAAAACAGTTTCAGGTTAAGAATGGACCTCCAGAACGAATTAAGTTCTTAACCCAAGGTACCACTGTTTTCCACATCCAAAGGCAGCATATCCTTTGGCTACCAACTGCTGGGGCCATATGGGAAGGGGCAGGTGATCTCCATCATGACCTGCTTTGTCAGGAGCACTGGACTAAATGCAGCCTTGTCAAGGAAACCATTTTTACAGTCACTACCTTGAAGTGAAGCTGGCTTGTACATGGCTAGTCTTTAAGACTGTAGTTGATCAACTGTTCTGCATGCAGCCCAGTATTATGCACATTTACTTGACGGTAAACCCCACTGAGAGAAATGGCCTACTCTCAAGTAAGTATCAGAAATCTTATGATCAACAAGCCTGACCATGTAATCTTGTGAATGTCTAGAGTAAAGGTAAAGGGACCCCTGACCATTAGGTCCAGTCATGACCGACTCTGGGGTTGCGGCGCTCATCTCGCTTTATTGGCCGAGGGAGCCGGCGTACAGCTTCCGGGTCATGTGGCCAGCATGACTAAGCCGCTTCTGGCGAACCAGAGCAGCGCACGGAAACGCCGTTTACCTTCCCGCCAGAGTATTACCCATTTATCTACTTGCACTTTGACGTGCTTTCAACTGCTAGGTTGGCAGGAGCAGGGACCAAGCAACAGGAGCTCACCCCGTCACAGGGATTCGAACCGCCAACCTTCTGATCGGCAAGTCCTAGGCTCTGTGGTTTAACCCACAGTGCCACCCGTGTCCCTTGTGAATGTCTACTCTGAACTAATTCCCAATGCATTTGATGAGACTCCCAGGTAAGTGTGTGTAGGAATGTGGCCTTAATGCACAGTAAAAGGCAGAAACGTTTCACTCACTGTGTATTTCTAAGTGTCAAGTTGAACTATGTGTCATCATGTTAGGATCATATTAGAGATTCCTATAGAGTGTCTCAGTTCTGCACCTTAGAATTAAACACTGTTACCCTATTTAATATGAGTCCAATAGGTAGAAATCTCATTCTTAAAGGAAGTACAGTATGTTTCTTTCTGTTCAGCTACAGTATCTCTCCCTTGGATCCATTTCCTTTTTTCACCAAGCTGACTAGCAATCTGCTTTCAGGGTTAAGTAATCTGCTAGTCATACATCCTCACAATATTCTTTTGAATAAGCCAATACTGGTTTTGTTTTTAACTTTTAAAAAAGATTTCTAAATCTAACAATTTCTATTTATGTTAAATGATGAGTCTAATATTTTTCCAGGAAACTACACCACTGAAAACCAATGAGGAGCAGCCACAACAGCCATCACATCATTACACATATTTTCATATGAATGGACATCATACATGTCCATACTTAGCCTCCGTTTTCTTTGGTTATCAAGCCCAGGATATCCTTCCATGGTAGTCTGTGCACCATAAAGCAATACCATACTTCACAGAAGTCATCTCACACATTATTCAAATACAGTGGTACCTTGGGTTACAGACGCTTCAGGTTACAGACAACTTCAGGTTACAGACTCCACTAACCCATAAATAGTGCTTCAGGTTAAGAACTTTGCTTCAGGATGAGAACAGAAATCGCTTGGTGGCGGTGGCACAGCAGCAGCAGGAGGCCCCATTAGCTAAAGTGGTGCTTCAGGTTAAGAACAGTTTCAGGTTAAGAATGGACCTCCAGAACAAATTAAGTTCTTAACCCGAGGTACCACTTATGTCTATGTGAATGTCATTCAGGCCAGTTTTCTCCATACAGCTGCAGTACACAATGCTTAACATTGCTATGGATGACATGAGCTTTATGGTAGAAGTATGATAGGCTATAGGCTACCTTAATTCTGCTCCATAAATGCCAACAGCAAAAAGGTATCATTGATTAACAGTAGTGGTGGGGAACCTATGGCTCCCCACCTGTTGATGGGTTACAACTCCCACCAGCCCCAGCCAGCTTAGCCAAAGTGGGGACCTGAGACCAGCAACACCTGGGGCAACAGGTCCTTCCCCCGTTGAACAGGGCCTCAATGGAGGAGTGAGAGGATGGTGTGTGGGAATTATGGGTGTTCAGCCTTTGAACTTGGTGTAACAGTCCAGCAGAGAGGCTATCAATGATGAGCTAGATCTGGCAAGTGGCAATTTAGAAAAGACATGGGTGTGTCAGGAGAGGCCATATTGTATGGGAAGTTCAGCAGGGTGATGAACGGGACTGGAAAGATAGCATTGCAGTCAAGGCTCCTGGCCAGGTTTTCTGGGGTGGGTCTCCTCCTGGGTTTACCCGTTTGGCCTGCTGTCTGCTACCCACACTGAGAAGATTGTTCTACAGGCAGCTGTTCTCCAGCTGATCCCTGACAACAGAGCTGTGTCTGAGATCCATCTCTGAGAAGCTCTGAGCTTGGTGGGAAAGGATTACCCTCTGGCATTGGGAACCCAACATTTGTTGCAAACACTGCTCCAAGGAATGGGCTTGGAAAGACAAGCAAGGGGTTCCTAACAAGTATGTCTTTCCCCTAAGCTCTTTCTGCAAAGCAGGCCAGAATCCTACACAGCAGCTGTTGCAATCCAGTGCCAATTCCCAACAGCTCTGCCAATCCTCCAGTCTACTCTTTGTATGCATCTTACCCCTGCACTAACAAGGGGCATGAACCAAACAAAGTTAAGCAAATTTAGGCCCTGTCGAATTATATGAAAGAGATGTTTAGCTCCACATTGAACCTAATGGACATACATGCCCCAATCCAACCATTTATTTATTTATTTATTTATTTATTTATTTATTTCGAAAAGTAAGAGATGAAGATTTGTACAGTAGAAAAGGAAGAGGGTCTGGCCTTGGTCTAACACAGCCTGTACACAGTAGCAGGCTGCACAGTTGCTCTTGAGTGTAAAAAATTATGCCAAACTCATGGCCCCTATATGAGCTTAGACCAGCCTTCTGCAACCTGGTGCCCTCCAAAGGTTTTGAACTACAACGCCCATCATCCCTGCCCATTGGCTGTGCTGGCTGGGCGTTGTAGCCCAAAACCTATAGAAGGCTGGGCTCAAAATTGTTTACCTACTAAGGCAGAAACACAGCACCTGAACTTATTCACGTGATGATAGGTGGTATGACAGCTGGTGTCATATGTTTGGCAGTATGTCTAAGGTCCAGATCCAGAAATGGGCAATTCTGGGTGCTGGATGTGCACCCTCTTGTAACCTTCTTTGCTCATATGGCCTGATCCAGAATCTTCATTTGGTGCAGCAATAAACTTGCTAGCACATTTGCAAAGCTAAGCAGGGCCTGGTATGGCTTCAGTTTGGATAGGAGGACCGTGTGTTGAGTTTCCTACATTGCAGGGGGTTGCACTAGATTACCCTCGGGATCCCTTCTAACTCTACAGTTCTATGATTCTATGAATTGCCATCGCTGAACTATTTTATAATCTCTCAGCTGTCAATAATTCCAACAGAGTTTGCAACTAGATGATCAGCACACTTCTATGTCTACTCAGAAATTTATCCCATTAAATTAAATGGGGTTTACTCCCAGATGAATGTATAAGATTACAGCCTAAAGCTGAAATCCTATATTTATTTACCTGGGAATAAACCCTATTGAAAACAAGAAGTCTTTCTTCTGGGTAGACCTGTATAGGTGCTGCAAATCTTGAAAGAGCACAAGTTATAAGAATGGATTGGTTTCCTCCAAATAATTTAAATCAACAGGACTAATGATAAAAATTAGAGACCAGGAGAAAAACATTTCTAGTCAGATCTCTTAACATGTACAAACCAGAGATGGCAGATGAATACCCCAAAGTGACAAGGAGAGGCTTACTCTTCAAGAGGCATAGTAACAAATCAGATATTACACTTACATGCAATAGAAGCGAGCCATAATTTATCTAGAATTGTTATTAAGTTTAGAGTTGTTCTAAATATAGGACAGTTTGAAGGATTAATATGGAGCAATGGCAGAATGAATACTGTATAATGCTTTGCACTACCACATATTCTTCTGCAATTAAGCTCCTTCAACTTTCAGACAAGGAAGCTGTTTCACTGCATTCCTAATAAAACCTACTGTTTGGATACCTTTTAGATCTCTGGTGTAGTGTGTAAGATATATTTTCCAGGTCTGAAAAGCCTAGTCCTCTCTCATTTAATTTAATTTTCTGGTTGACTATAGGGATGTTTCAATTAGTCAGTGAAAGACAGATGCATTTTACAAAGAACTCTGTAATCAATATAAACATACAAAGTTGGCTTCTAATGAAATGGTTCATTGGGCCATCTAGCTGCATTCTCTTTACTCTGACTTGGAACATCTTGGGCAGAGGTCTTTCTCAATCGTGATATTGGATATCTTTCCCAATGAAAATCAATGACTAAAGCTTTGCTGAAGATGCCAGAGGACTTTTACCACTTGATTCTGGACGGTTACATTTCCCGCAGATCCACTCCAATAATAACTGAGGAGGCATAGCTCAGCAGGAGAGCAAATGCTTTTCATGCAGAACATCCCAGGAACAATGCCCACCATATCCAGTTAAAGTATCTCTCGTAGCAGGACAGAGGGGAGGGGAAAATGCTGCATGGGATGTGGAGAGCTGCTGCTGAGCAGAATAAACAGTGCTAAGTAGACCCATGGCCTGACAGAATAGGGCAGCTTCATATGGGGAGAATATGGTTAATAGGCCTACAATACTAGGCTTAAACCAAATGCACTGCCTAGGATGCTTTTTAAAAAATTAAGTACAACACATAAAAATTGTTTTTAAGAAAAGCGAAGAAAAAAAATGCTTTAATGTGCATTAACATATGGGTGGCTGTTTTGAGAGAAGCTAAAAAACAGCATGTCTGTTTCTGCACACATGACACCATGAAATATGATAACAGATCTATAAATCCACTCTGTTGGTTTGCATGGCATTTCTTTAATTTGCACAAAGCAGAATCCTGTACTATTTTCTATGCACTGAATGTGGATTTCCTTTTTTTTTTTTTTTTTGTATGTATGTATCAGGATCCTTTAAGTGAGGAATGGGAAAACTGTAGTACTTCCTATATTGTTGACCTCCAACTCCCAGCAGCTCCAGGAGCATGGCCAATGGTCAGGGGTGATGGGAGTTGCAGTCCAACAACATCTGGAGGGCGGCAGGCTGGCCATCCCTGCCATAGGCAATGACATTTGCAGAATAACCGTTCCATATGATACTGTGCACTATGGCTCTCCTAATGTTGTTAAACTACAACTCCCATCATCCTTGACCATTCCTGCTGGCTGTGGCTTATGGATGTAAATTCAACCACAGATTCCCCACTTATGCCCTACCACAAGAAGAGGAGGATGGCTGAATCAGGATGATAAATGTTCTAAAGTGGATACAACCAAATTAACAAAAGCTAAATATTAAGCTTAAAATGTACTTCACGCATGAATCTTCTTTGCTCAACAACAGCTTCAGACTATTTGGCATGTATGCATGAGTCATTATAGATCAATTGCCACAGTCAGGACTTTCATACCACTTTACATTTCCTCAAACACACTGCTTTTCAGTAGAGTCAGTTGATATATTAAACTCTGATTGGCTGAGTGCTAAGCTAAGCAGTCACATGATAGATACATGCATGTGTGGGCTGGCTTTGTTCAAGTGCAGGCGGGGAAATAAACTTTATCCAAGAGTACAATATCAAGGTGAATAATATCACTGGCCACATTGTAACCAAATAAAACAATAAAATGACGTGATAGACACGAATTATTAGAAAGCTACTAACTGCCAAACTGAAAATCACTGAACTGCAAAAAAAGGCTATACCCATGTGTATTCCTTTGCATATGGGAAGCGATTTGCACCCAGAAGTAAGTAGATGCCCTGCACTGCCACCAACCTCAAGTTTTTGGATATATGGAAGTCTTTATGAAAGCAGGCTTACTCCTAGCACAAGAACAGGAGTGATTTAGCTCACTTCAGAAAGTAATTGTAACTCTTTAGGTATTTCTGCACACCAATGATACAGCTTTGTCTATTCATAAACCAGATGAAAGTAGTTTCGGATGCCTTATCGTCTTCCAAAGCAACTACTCTATTCCCAACTTAATAATGAAAAGCAAAATACCAATGGACAACAAAAGAGGTTTAAAGACACTCTCAAGGCAAATTGAAAAAAAAAAGTAGTATAAGCTGGGAAGATAGCTGGGAAACACTGGCCTGTGAGTGCTCCAACTGGAGAACACCTTTACCAAAGGTGCTGTGGACTTTGAAGAAGCACAAACTCAGGGCAAAAAGGAGAAACAAGCTAAGAGGAAGGCGCGTTTGGCAAACTCTCACCATGATCAACTCCTGCCTGGAAACCCATGTCCCCACTGTGGAAGGATGTGTGGATCTAGAACTGGCCTCCACAGTCACTTACGGAATCACTGTTAAGACTGTGTTCATGGAATACTATCTTACTTGGCTACCAGTGATTGCCAAAGAGAGAAGAGAGGTTAGCACTTGGGTCTCACTTTGTAAAAATATCTCCACTTGCTGTTTGAGGAAACCTACCTATCCAATGAGGTTATACATCTGAGGAACTGGGCTTTGGCCCATACACACTTGCACCAATATACATTTGTTAGTTTTCACAGTGCCACAAAACTCTTTGCTGTTTTTGCTGCAACAGACTTAGCACCTCTGGAATTCATCCCTGCAGTGGCATCTTTGGTAAAAGGGTGACCTCTTTTGAGAAAGCCTGGTACTGCACTTAGCAATCAAAGTCAACTCCCACTGGAATTCCTTCCCCTTGGTTATTAGACAGGTGTAGTCATTGTTGTCTCTTTGGTGCCTGACTTTCCTCTTTCAACAAGCCTTTAAGTGGAGGTCTTTCCCAGTCTGCATCTGTACTGGAATTGTTTTGAAAACATTCTTACTGTTTTATCACTTGTTGTTTGCCATCCTGGGTTCGTTTGGGAGGACAGGCAGGATATAAATTTAATATAAATAATAAATAAAATCATCATCATCATCTCACACTAATGACAGTTCATGCCACCCAGAAAGTATAAGAACAGGCTGCACTCCCTTCCATTCCACCCTTCAGAGCCTCCATAAATAACTGATTTGACTACTGGACTGAAATGTGCCTACAGTAGAAGGGTAAGCACTTTGAAAATTTACAGCAACATCTTTAACCTAGTGGTTGCCATCAACCACAGTCACCATCCATTCAGCATGTTTTTAAGCTTATTTAAGAAATGAGTTCTATTCCAACAGTTTCCTTTAAAGGGGGGGAGCTGCAGAGCTGGTTTGGTAAGGAAGGGGACTAAAGTTAGCCCTCACACCCCTTTTGAACATTTTTGTCATAAACTGGCAGGACAAGGAGGAAGAAGAGGATCCTGGTAGGGGGTGTAGCTGGGACATACCAGGGCAAGCAGGGGATGGGGAAGTAAGTACTGTACTCACAGGGTGATGGAGGATGGTGAAGACATGGAAGTCAATGCACAGAAACCAGAGCAGCAGGACCCATCGCCAGAGCCAGAGGGGCTCCAGTCTCCACGAACACGGTGGGCTCTGAGGCATAGGGAGCAGCAGGAGTGGCACTCCAGGAGGCTGAGGCAGGCAAGGGCCCACAGCCCAGCTCACTAGCTGGCCAGGTGGGGCTCGCTAGCTCTGGGAGGAGGTGTGTTATTCATCAGTTGGAATAGGCTTGGAACAGGTGAAGGTCACATGCCTCATCAAGCCAGATGCTGCAATCAACATGTAAAGTACAAAAAGCAAGCAGAGCTGAGGTGCTGTGTCTGCTCAACTGCCCATGTTGATGGGCCTCTATGGGATTGTGCTTTGACTCTGGATGGTATCCTGACTGCTGGACTTCAGACTTGGCCTACTTGGATTGACCCTGGACTGCATTTCCTGACTTTTGGACCTTGGACTTGACATACTGACTTGCTGCCAGGTAGGTGAGGGGTTCAGGACAATTTTTTGTCAGCTTCAAAAGAAAACAAGAAAAAAGCCCTGGCCTCTAAATCAGCATGGGTACTTGTGCACATGGCACCCATTTCTCATCCACTTGGCAAAACTGCAGTAAACAATGCTTCTGAAATCCATCAACTCCGAGATCAGAGGTAGAGAACCATTTTCAGCTGCAGAGTTTCATTCCCTTCTGGGCAACTTGGTGGGGCGGGGGCACACACAACAGTGCTAGATGAGGGGCAGAGGCAAATGGGGTAGAGCAATGAATGTAAACATCATCTTTTCACCACAGGCTAGTTTCTACACACAATCACACACGCACACTTCTGTCTTCCATCTAAGCGAGCAAGATGCATTATCAGCATGGTCATGGCCAAGGGGGGAACGGGGCGGGGCAGCTGCCCCCATCACTAAAAAACCACTACAATTCAATAAAAATATGAGGTTGTGCCACCTAACAAAAGTCTGCCCCCCCTAACAAAAATCCTGGTTGTGCTCATGATTATCACGAGTTCAAGGACACATTCCAGCCAAGCAAAACCACTCAAGGGAGATGCAAAGCTGGCACAGTTGTAGCTGTGGCTGGGAAGGGGTTGTAGCCTTAGGAGAATCACAAGGACCAGACAGACTTAGAGGGCCATGTTCTGCTCCTGGGGTTCTTCAACCGTGTCCTAGATGGATCAGGGTCCCCATTTATTACATATGATGTTCTAATAAGCAGTGTTTAGTTAACTGGGAATGAAGTGTAATTTTACTTCATCAAATTTATAGTCAGTTTTTCCTCCCAAAAGGGAGCCCAAGACAACTAATGACATAAAAATATGAATCATAATGGAAGTTAAAACAAAAATCAAAACAGCATAAAATGACATCTGTTAATACTTTCAATGCAGAAATGTATCACAAAACAACCTCTGAAAGGTCTGGGCAAATAAAAAGAGTTTTTAAAATTCATGTGATTGTGACCAGAGTGGGGGCTTGCCTGGTTTCCCCTGGGAGGGGTTTCCATAAACAGGGCACCGCCATCAGGAACACCCTGCTAATTCTGCTATCCTCCTTGTCACTCTCACCGATGGGATATTGAACAGGGCCTCTTCCTCTGATTGCAAACTCTGGGCTGGATTTTACTCCTTCAAGTACTATAGTCCCAAGTAATGTAGAGCGTTGTACACTAGTCATGATCCCTTTAACCAACAGCCAGCTCTGAGAATGGGGTTGATACGATTCCCCACTTACTATTCCATACAACAGCCAGGCAGTGGCAATCTGCACTAAAGTTGTTTCCAGACACTTTTTCAAGTGTAGCCCCATGCAAAGTGCATTGCAGTAGTCTAATGTATCTCATCATCTTTGAAATAGGGTGCTTTGGGTTTCAGAAGTGCAAATTACTGTGCCAGCTGAAGGACTGCAATGTCTAGTTGGCCTTTAACAAAGCAGACGTCTCTGGGAAGTTCTTTTTCCCTCCTCCTACACAAATACTTAACATGCTTTCCTTCCTCCTCCTCCTGATTCAGCTTCACTGCCAGCCTTTCCTGGGATAGAAAGAACAGTCCACAGTACTTCAGTGACGCATTCCAGTAGCCATGTTAGTGGCACCAAAGCAGCAACAGCAGTGAGTTTTGCACCATGTTAAAGGTTGGCAGATTGTGGCATAACCGTACTTTCTATAAAGCTGTCTGTATGCTCATTCAGGCCATTGGTCTGCTGTCCAGAACTGTTCGTTCTGCATAGCTTTCCAGAGTCTCAAGCAGAGGATTCTCAAGGATCCTTTAGCAGTCAGGAAAACACCCAAAAAACCTGTGTGCAGGAGAGGAGCCTGCTATTGCCCAGTTAGAATGGGGTGGGGCAAGATTTGTGAGTGAGGGTTGTTTTGTGTGACTAAAAATTCCCCCAAAATCCACCTTCCAAAATAAATTACCCCAACACTGAACTTAGTAACTGTGTAACATACGCTAGCTAGTATGTGAAAGCCTATCCAGGCATATATATACTGTATATGTGTGTGAAGATTAGCTCATTTTATCTGTTTTTCATTGATAAGTCTTTTTGCTTTAATGTCCCCCGCTTAGAGGGTTTATATTATTATTAAGCGGTTTATACATTCTCCTGAGCAAACGAATAAACTCTCCTCATAAAATGCCGCCTCAAAGAGCGCAATTCAAGGCGTAGTTGCTGTACTGAGAATTGGAATAGCGCTGTATCCTTCCGCCCATTCCCCCTCCCCCCAGGTAAAAGGAGCGCCGCCTCGCTGCTTCCGCACTTTCGAACACCGCAACCTGATAGGCGGGCGGGAATTCCCTGCAACCTCCAATAGCCTTCCCGGCCTACTCTCCCTTCCCGGACAAAGGACCGAACCGCGGTTGTTTCCATGGAGATTTCGAACGCCTTCGCGTCACGCCCTCCTTTCCCAGATCAGGGCTCGTTTGTGGACGAGAGTTTCGCGCGCTCCCAGAACGCTCCCCCCCCCAACCCCCTGAGTAAAGGGGTTTTAAGGGCGCAGCCCCCCCCCCCAAAGAGGCCACTGGGTGGGCAGGCGCGCCCGCTGCCGCCATTTTGGCCGTGAAAGCGGCGAGACGGGAGGGAAGGAAGGAAGCGGGGCCGAGGCGGCTTTCGCAGGGGACATGGCGCGCGAGGCTGCTCAGTACACGGTCAGAAACGCGGTCGCCGCGCAGGTGGACGGGCAAATGTGGTCCTGGCGATCCGGTGCGTCAGTGATCGACGTGCTGCTGCCTCGCCGCCGGCCCTTCTTCGTAAGTGCGAGGGGCGCCTTCAGCCTCCCGAAGTCCCATCTTGGTCCGACCTTTCCCTCGTGTCCCTGAGTAGCGAGCGAGAAGCTGAAGCTGTTTTCCGTTGGAGAATCCGGTGGATCCTGGACCTTCTGCGCCCAAAACGTGGTCTCTCTCGCTCTCTTTCATCAAGCTTACGGCCCTGCTCGTCTTAGCAGCCCTCCACCCCACCCCCGCATATTACACAGCACTCAATGGTGATAGTAGAGGGAGAGGAAACCTCATTTTCCCAGTGACAAAATATTAAGGAGGAAATGTCATTTTTTTGAAAAACCATACAGGCAGGGGAGTGCGAGTGGAGCAAATGCCATAACAGATGTATTGTACAGCAAATGACTTAGGAAGGCCCTCAGGGACACAGAGATGCTTCCATAGCACTCAACATAGCACTCAATCTGACTTCATGTTCAGGAGTGATACCTGTCACTCCTTATTTTCCTAATAAGCTTGTGAAATTGGTCCCTGCCTTTCGCAGTGTAGATGTGGAATTGATGTAGAGACACTGATTTGCACAAGACCCCCACCACCAGTGACAGCAGTTGGGTGTACATTAGGTCAGCAAAGCACAGGAAGTATTACTGAGAACATGTCTCCCCACCGCCACCTAGTCCGTTGGCAGAGTAGTGTTGGTACAATGACAAGTCCCACTTGCGGCAATTAATAATAATAAATAATAATAATAATAATAATGACTATTATTACTACTACTACACCCCCCCTCTTATAACACATCTCATGCAAGAGGCTGATCTCTCAGAACCATCTCCAACCCATCATTCAGTTGTGGATAAACTTACTTGACTAGGAGAAGATAAAGGATAGTAGCAGGATATTGAACTTCAAAATCAAATGACCACATGTTTCAGGTTATTTTCCAAAGCAGAACCAGATGACCGAGCTCCACAATTAACCCACTGCCCTGACCTGCAGAACTTTTTACTATCTTCCTGGTCATCAGATCTATTATTTAATGTGCAGAGAGGTTTCAATAGTGTCCTTTCTCAGTTGAGCTGCATGGATTGGCTGGGGCTGTCTGTTAGTATAATGTGTGTGTGCATGCTAGAGTATGTGTACAAGACTATGGGGTGGCTACATCTACTTTTCATGACACCCACCACTGGCCAACAGCCAGAGGGTTAGCCAAGGGTAAATTCAGCTCCTATGGGAAAATAAAGATTAGCCACTCCTGTCCTAAGAAAAACAGTTTACCCACTACAGCTACTGGCTTGTGAATGCAGCAAAGATTACCCAACCTACCTGAAACAGTAGACCCAATAATGTCCTCTTCCATAGAGTTGTCTGGTTCAGTTGAACAGCCATCAACATAAGCATTAAGAATTGTCAAGCGACATTTTTCTGAAATTGCTTCAGCAGCAAAAAGCCCTCAAGTAGCTGACCTTGTGTTCTCTTATTGCTTACCCTCCATCTTTTCTCTCAAGAAGGTACAAGTCCTGGATAGAATGTTTGGGGTGACTGGAGGGTGGATATTTCTGCTCTAGCACCCGCTCCCCAGGTTTTCACCATTTTAAGCCCAGTAGAATGGAAGTTACAGCAGAAAAGCTTTTCCATCAAGTTCTGCTGTTACTGTTTGCACAGTTGGTTGCTGTTTTGATTTTCCAAATGTAAGGCACAGGCTGCTTGCTTGTTAATAATAATTTTATGCAGAGGGAGCTGTGTAATTAACTGACAGCCTTGTTTTCAGTTACAGGAAATTGTGTTCAGGAATTATTACACAGCTTTCTTGACTGTGCGGATGCAGCAACAAAACTTCACAAACAAGGGAAGGAAAAGCCGCTCCAGCTGGGTCACCTGCTTACGTAATTATTGCCTGATGCCCAACCCACACACAGAGGAAGGCTCCCAGGATTACTTCTGTTTCTCTAGGAATCAGGTTAGGATAACCAGGCTCCACTGGGAGCTGGAGGTGAAAGGCCAGTGTATTGCTTCCTTTCTATTCATTTATAAACAGCTCACTTGGCAGACTGCAGTCTTTTTCTCTAGGGAGCAATCTCTGTGGTAACTGATATTGCACTTGAAATGCAAGATCTAAAATCTGACGAAGCTCTCTTTTCAAGACAGTGCTTTTACAGGAGGATGCCTCAGCTGTGGCTGTTACAGAGGTGGAGCAGTTGGGAGCACGTGCTCATTGCAAAGTGCAAAGTTGAGCCCCTAGAGCACTATTTACCAAGCAGCTTTTATTCTGAACCTGTGTTCCTTTGTACTTTCACTACAGCTGGCTCTCGTTCCCCACACTTATAGGAACTGTACGTTAAACATCCTCAAAAAAGTACCAGTTTAATTATTAATATGGGATAAGTGCAATGTTTATGTCCAGATTTCCCACTCCCCTCCCGCACACTACTTAGTAGATGGGGACTGCCAGTGCCATTAGTAGCTACTCCTACATCCCCTTTAGCTTTAAGAAAAACTTCTGAGGGAATGGTGAAGACACAACTTACAGCAAGAGCTTCTCCCTTGAAAATGTTTTCCAGTTCTATTCTTGAACAATATATTGTCCATTAATGCCAACCATATTAGGCCAGGTGGTTTCTGATACAGCTCTTAGGACTATGCACTAGTCAACTGAAGGCTTATCCATGCATCTATTTATTTATGAAGTGATTCTTACTGCACCCCAGCATAAGTGCTCTTAGGGCAGCTAATAAAGCCAGACATTCTCTCCATCCTCACAACAGCCCTGTGATGTAGAGGATGCTGAGAAATAGTCATTCTTCCAAGGTAACCCAGTGAGTCTCATGGCTGAATACAGATTTGAACAGTCCCAGTCCAGCACTCTTACCACTTCATAAATGGACCGAAGGAACTCCAGCACCTGCAATGACTCAATACGTTAGTCTTGTTTCAAGTGTCTTGTCAGCAGTTGTTGCAGGTGTTCATTTTTTTAACAGCGTACATTAATTCTTTTAGATGCTTTGCAGTGTGGATCGGGCGATTGCCATGCGGTTGATTCTGCGCCAGCCTTCTCCAACATGGCTGCGTTTCAGTATTGAAGAGCTACAGCTCTGCCCTGGAGACCAAGAGGTGTGTACATTGCCATCTCCTTCAGGCACTCTTTCCCAGATCCACAGGGCCAGTGTTCCCTGTGTCTTACGACAAATGAACTAACAGCAGAGGCTGGGACTAAATATAACATTCTTCAGAGGGAGCCAAGATGGTTAGCTGATGTTAGTCTCTCTCTGCAACACCTAGATCCCTAGCTGTGATCCATGGTTGCCAGGCCAACTCTCTCTCTTACCCACACTGGATGGCATCAGCAAAGATTTGCAGTGGCATCAGAAACATCAAGCAGCTACGTCAGAGCACCCAGCAATACCACTTCTATGTATTTGTGATACTAGGAAAGACAAGAAAGCAGTATGGAGGTATGTGTCTGCCTGCCTGCGAGTGGAAACTTATAGATTTCCTGCATCAGAAGGAAGCTGGATTTGTTGGCATCTGAGGTCCCTTCCAACTCTGTGATTCTACGAAATCATTTCCAAAGTAGCCCTCATTGGTCTTAGGGGCACATACATAAATTAGGTTCAGGTTTTGTTTGACACATGCCTGGAAATCCCTTTCCCATGCAGGCAAGCTGGTCTGCAAGTCAAGATGAAGAATGGCAGTAGTTTGTTGACCTACCCAGGGTGAGGGGCAGGGGGAGGCAAGGCTTTCCCCCCCAACTTTGTTTTGTCTTTTAACCCACTGTAGAACTTGCAGAAAGGTTTCTCTGTCTGACTCCCACATCCATCACCCAAAGTCTGGCCAGGAAACCTTTGTTTGGTAAGTAGAGTCAGTAAAATAGGACACTTAGCTTAGAAAAGAGGTCCCAAAATGTCTGGATCCAGGGACATAGTTGGAAATCTAAAAAACTTGTGGGCACAAAATGTCCATTGCCTGGAAGAACATGCAATGCTCAGAAACTTCTCCCCCAGCAATAGGCAAAAAGCCTACACAGTCCCCAGATGAACATAAGACAAAACAGGCCTCACAACAAAAATGCAAAAACCCCTCATTTAATATATGGGGGGCATGGGCACCAAATTGGAGACCCCAGCTGTAGAAAGACTAGAAAAAAGTGTGCCATATAGCTCAGTTGTTAGGCAGGACTTGACCATTATTGATGGGCTGCATGGTGTGCAGGCCTGTGAGTACTCTGCACTAAAAAAAGTTCAGCATCCCAAGAAGGTAAATCTTTTAACCTGCATAAAATATGTATATTTGCATGAAATTTTATTTTTCAAATGCTGCTTTATATTTTCTATTTTGCATAATGTATCCTGACTTTGTAAGTAGGCTAAGGAACCACGCAATCTACTGGAACCTTAACCTGTAGCTACTGGAAATCTGAGATTTTTGCAAGCATTGCCCACACACTTTCAGAGTATATCTTCACAGTCATAAGGGTTGGAAATTTGCTGTTATAAAACATTCTCAGGAAGCTGAACACTGCATCCCAGGTGACATGCTATATTCACACAGAATCATAGCAGTAATGTGAGACGCATCAACTGTTGGGGTGGTAGTTGAACCAGGCAGGAGATAAATAGCTGCCCTTCTCAACAACAGTCTCTTCCTTTCAGGAGTTCCCCAATGCTAACCAAGAGTTTTCAGAAGTCCAGTAAATGTGGGTGCTAACGGAGATACTTCAAACAAGCCAGCAGTGCAGATCAGGCATTTCAATGTTAGTTGACAACTGTTTCTATTTTCTACCAGAAAAGTAAGGTGCAGCAGGTATTCATTGAAGGGATTTCTGATGTTGGCTGGGCTTTAAGTTGCAACATGCATAGCTGTGAAATACGTCACTGAGCTTCCTAGGAATCACTATAAGGAAAGATTCACAAAGGGAAAGGGAGAATGCTCAGCTCCTACTCTTTAAACTTGAGCAAGTGCAGTGTTTTTGCCAGAAACGGACTACTGTTTGTGTTTTTGTTTCAGGTGGATGGCTGTTATTATAGTAGCCTCTTCTCCTACACACAAGTTTTCCAAGCACTAGAATCTGGCACATTTCTTAGGAATAGCACTGTTGTATGCAGATTGGTGCAAAGATGCGGAATCCATCCATGTTGGTTTCCTTCCCCTTTTAGAGCTGCTAGATGTAGCCTCATCCAGTGGATCTGGAGGACCTTGCCATTTGAAATGTTGTATAATTTAGTGCAAGAAAAGAATGAGTTGTATCTTATGTTCCTTTCTGGGGTTTCATCAGCTGAACTCTTTCTGACTACTCTTCTGGATATGCTTTTGCAGTTCCATAAAGTCCCTTACTACAGCAGAGAAATGTGTCCAGCTTCACAGAATAGCTCAACATTAGCTGATTTATCCCACGTCTTCCATCCTTTAGTCACATCCTTTGTTCTTTTCTCCTCCTAATTTGAAAGCACTTTCTCTTGGTGCGGCCACAAAAGTAGAAAGGAATGTTAATGGTGTGAGTTGCTAAATAAATGCATTTATTAAGCTTGTTTCCAGACTAACTTTTTAAAAAAGTTTTGAAATAATAATGGGAACTGCTCCAACATAACTTCAGTTTAGTAAGGCTGTATTTGCAGTTGAACATGGACTAAATATTTACATTAAACAGCTGACATTTGTGAACCATTTTTAACTCAGCTTTGTGTGAGATGAGCCCCATTAAAATAACATTTTCCCCCAAGGGCAAAATAACAAGTACTAGTGCCTAGAAGTAATCTCCTAAAGTCTTACAAAACTGGAGGAAGAAACAGAAAAAGTGAAAGAAAGCCAGCCAGAGATTTCATGGTTGTGTGTAATCTCATGCAGTTCCTAGGCAGTCAAATTCACATCCATCTTGCACCCGTTCTCCCCGGACCCAGCCATACTGGGATGGCTATGCACATGATTATGTATTTTGTGGTTTTACATTTTGATTTTATTCTGTGAACTGCCCTGAGATCTCTGGGTATAGGGTGGTATATAAATTCAATTAATAATGTGAACTAGGTTATTAAGCCCAGTGGAGTGAAAAAGACCCATAAAAGACACTTGTCCCTCAGCTAAATGTCTAGCAGTTTATTTATATACACATAGGACTTTTTATACACAACAGGAGAGCTAGGGATGCAGTGTATGGAGTACAGATACTGTTATTTCTCATGCCCAAAAGCTTGACTTGGCCCAACAAAATGGCACTGGAATAGACTATGAAAAATATACAAGAAGTTTGTAATGCAATGCTGCGTCCCTCCCAGACAAGTCAAAATGGACAGATAGGAACCATTCCTGTAGGGTGCAGTACTGCTCCCTGCTCTCATAGTAACATTTCTTCCCTTTCTGGCAGTTCTCATAGAGACCATTCTGCACCTAGACTTTTCAAAGTATAAAAAACAACATTTTGCTCCTGAGATAAGCATGCAATAGTAAGTACAAATACAACCAACCAAAGTCTGAACCTGACTTGGATGACTCTTTCCAGACTTGCTGTAAAACAAGCAAAATACATAGGCCTATAGTCTCTCTCCCCACAGTCAAAAAGCAGTCCATGAAACCACCAAAGCTTGTCTCTCCTTTTAAACCCAAATGGTCATAATATTCTGTGGTGACCCTTTCACAGCAAGCAATAAAAGCAGGTTCCCTTGCACTTGTGCAGAGCAGCATATGCCCCCAGGTTGCACCTCCACATTTTTATACCAATAGCAGCAAAATGTGTATTCAGGTGCACTCCAAGGGTTCATGGCAAGTTGCTGGTGTAACTCTCGGTGAGATAACTGGCTAGCTAAAGCATCTTCCCCCCAAGCAGAAACTAGTATTTCTGACCTAAAACTACACCATCAAACCCAACCTGTAAGCAGCAGGCAGGCAGGCAGGCAGGCAAATGTGATCTGGTCTGATTTGTGGTTTGGTCCTCTGAAGAGGGGCAGGATTGATATGGAAACATAGCTGCACGTGTGTTAGGCTAGGGAAATTGAAACTGACATTCAGCCTCTTTCAACAGAAGCCCGGCTACATTTCTTCCACAGACTTCCTTCAGGTGCAGGACAGATATGGTTAAGAGTTGAATACCTTCCCCGCGTGACACACAGTGGGCCTTCTTTGGGGTCATCTAGACTGAACATTATCCAAAGTGCAACTCTCCATCATTCATAGGGAAATATTTGAGCCGATATTTCTGAAATGTCATGCAGCAGGTCCAGGCTACAAAGGTGCTAGTAAAGAGAAGGTGGCTCCTATTCCAACTGAAAGGGCAAGATCAGTTATTGACAAAAAGCACAGTGCAGTAATAACCTCTAGGTGAGGAGGAAGAGACACTTTCAAGGCAGCAGCTGCCGCCAATACAAAATAAATCCAAGTGCTTATCTGGTGAACTCTCATTTGGCCCTTAATGAAAAGGAACCCCTTACAGTGTGCATTCACCAACACTAGCAGTTCCTATGTATTGCTAGAGAGATAGCTGGCTATGTATTCCAGAAGGCTGAAAAGCTGATTCATCATCTACATGAAGGCAACTACACAGTACGTGCAAAGTCCTGCTAAAGGAATCAACACTACTGGACATAAAGTGTCAGCAAGCTGTAAGGGCAACAAACAGGATGTGCTGCTCCAGGAGGAACAGACTGGAAGGATTATTTACATGAGTGTCCAGCAGAGGACCTGAATGTATACAATGCATACAAAATGGCTTTGTTGGACCCAGCGTCCAGAGCAGCACCTGCTTTACAAAAGCCGTATGCTCAGTCTCTCACCACTCACTCACTCATTTTAATGAGCTAAAAACTACTAAAAAGCAACATCCCAGTCTGAAACTACAGGTGAAAGGAGTCAAGTTGCTTTATGTTTAGTTCCTCAAAGCTAACCCCATGTCATCTTCAGCTATTTTATTTTGCAAAATTATTCTAGAGAACTTCATGACACTTGCAATATAGCTTCCAGTTCTGTAACAACACCTCTAAAATGAAATAATAAGCCTAATTATCTTGAAGGATTTTACAGATAATGAGGTAGAACAGGGAAGTGGCATGTTTGCACGATTGCGTCCAATGACAGGTGCCTTTATGGCAAGGTGAATGGCTGCAGTGTAACAACAAATGCTGGGTCTACCTCTGTAAATACATTGCCCCATTTATATATCAAAACAGAGTGGGACAATGTACTGTACAAAAGCCATTAGACAAACAAGCTTGTTTTGGGTAGATTCAATTCATTCTGTTTCAGGGCAGAAGAGGGCAAAGGGGATGCACTCAAACATGTGTGACCTGCTTGCCTGAGACCCGAGACCTTTTTCTCTGGCAAGATGCAAGTCTGAAGAAACAGTTAACCAAACAGTTGGAAGGAGAGCTGCTGAAGGCAAATATTCTAGTTCATACCTTCTGCTCTGTCATGTTTTACTTGGTGCCTTTTAGAAGGCACTTTTACTCTGCAGAGTTGCTTTCAATCAAAAGCAAATGTCAAGCTGCAGAAACTGATTTTTGCTGCATGCCCAAAGGGATGGCTTAGAAATAACTCTCTGCAACGAAATCCATTTAAATTTATCTGCCCTGACAGCATGGGTACTTCTCTAACAAACCCTCTAGATGCTTCCATACAGAGTTTTGCCAGTACATCTCAATTTCAGCTACTCTAACACCAACAGACTACACACAAGCACGTGTGTGCACATGCAGGCACAAACAGCCCTGCAAGAGGCAACATACAGGCTTGCATCAAACAGAGGAGCATGTTAGTCAAATTAGTTCAATTTGTACTCTGAGCTGGTGGCAAGCAGACCTCTACTAGGAAAAGGCAAATCCCTTCAGACATGCAAGGTGCTCAAGTATGAAGAACAGTCACATCCACGTCCCGTTGCTTAACTTGAAGTTAAAGAAATGAACTTGGAAAGCTTATTGCTATTGAACAAGACTGTGCTTTGCAGTTACGCTGTCTGAAAACTAACCACAATGCTAAAATACCAACAAAACCAAGTCCTTTAATATTTTTGGTTCCTTACGGAGCAAACAGTTATTAGCAACATGAAAACAAAACCTGGCAACAGGAAGGAAAAATGCTATTTACAAGCTCTGGAACTTATGATGAGAAGTTCAGAATGGTCCAGATTTTTTTTAAATGAAAAAAAAAATCAAAATGGTGCAATCATTAGAACAGGAAGAAGACGACTCTTTAGAGTGATTTTCTGTATTTTCAGTGTTACTTAAGCAGCTGGTAGAGGGATAAAGATTACAAAGTTAAAAACAATATTGAAAGATCCTGTTTATCCAAAACAATACCAAAATTTTGATGCCTCAAAACCATTCTGAAGACTTCAAAAGCTAGGCTCAACAGAAAGCAAACCTGTTCCCTTAAATTCTGGGAATCAAAGATAACGTTGGGGAAATGGCATTGCTCTTTTCCCTGTGAAAATGCCTCTCGTTACAGAGGCAATATCTAATACTAATTTCTAAATTGGTCAATGCACAACGGTTGCTCCCCCACCTGCCCTTCAGAACATTCAGCACTGAGTCAACTGCAAATACCTGCTGGCACGAGAGGGGGTTCCATCAGCAGCTCCTTGATGAAAGAACCAATACTTTCAAGACAAACCAGTGAAGTTCATACTCGCCCAAAAGGGAGGCAAAGATTCAGCACAGGAGCTTTGGGGCAAATGCTACCCCATTACAAGAGCATCTAGTAGTAGAGGTTTACGACAATTGTGGTCAACTTTAATGCCTTGCCATTAGTTCCCTATGGTAGTAAATCACCTCCCCAACAAAGTGCATGCCCAAGAAGTCGAGTGCATTTGTGTATACTAGGCCTGGTCCTAATTAGAGCAACTAGCCTCCAAAGTCCATAGAACAGCACTTAGGGCCACCACTGCCACCAAGAACTGCAAATTGTGATTAATCACGCAGTGAACTAATGCTGTCAAGATTAATGCTACAAGCCACCAACACCTCAGCCCACGCAACAGAATCCCATATACGTATGTGGGGCCAGAACGTGGCACAGCTGCATTCAACCCGTCACAAAGTGGAGGAACAAGGCTGGAAACACCAATTCCCTGAGGTGAAAACAAGCACAGGTGGCAATACATTAAAAGCCAGACAGACGCTTCCCTCCACAAATCAGGACAGTTTCTGAAAATAAAGACGCCTACTTTTCTCATCAATTACCCCACACAAGTATTTTATTATTGTGGGCGGAACATGTATGGAAGTGTGCTGTCTTGCTAGGAAGCCTCCCTGGAAGGAAGGAAAAAGGAAAACTGCAACGAAATATGGTGCTTGTATCTGAACGAGGTCAGAAAAGAGACTATTTTATCTACAAAATGGAAAGACGCATGGGTGGGGTGAGGGGGAGTTGGCACCTGATAAACATCATTAGTTTCACAAAAGCAGCAAGGGATCAACATGAATATGCTATTAACACTATCCTTAGCCAGCTGAACTCTCCCATGAAGTTCTTGACCAAGACAGCATTGTGAACACCTGACTGGGCCTTTCTGGAATTTGGAGAGTTTCTATCAATGTGCAGGAAATGGTGAAGGGAGGTAGGCCAGCTTCATCAATGGGGTGCAAAGCAAAACCATTAAAGCACTGCACTAGTTTTCCTTTGGTCATTTATTTCCCCATTTGGGATGATCTGATAATGCCCAGATTGGAGAAGATAAATGAAGTATCATCTGTACCCTCTAGAAGAGTCTCTCACATCTGCTCAGGGGCAGCAACAGCAGAGAGGAGTATGTGCAAATCATGTGCCTCGATCAGCCCCATAAGTAATGTTAGCTTGTATCTGAATGCCCTTTCCAAACAAAAGAAGAGAGGTTCAAACCACTGGTTCTCGATGGAAGGCTGACAAGGAAGAGGGACACTGGAATCCCAAAATCTACACCACTAGACCATCACCCCTCTTCTTTCCCATGGGGTCAGTCTCCACATTCCTAACAGACATGATCACAGGGCTGTATTGAACAAATGCAACGCCCTAGATATAAATGCCCAATACTGGGGTCCATGGGGTTTGTTTCTCCTGCAAGAAGTCCAGGCCAGGATAGTCAAAGCCATTTTGCCAGGATCGTCCAGGATATTGTGTCCTTTGATGTTAAACACACTGGAGCAACAGAATATTTTCAAAGCAGCAGTCTGCTTTTTCTGTAGGGGTGGTGGTCCTGTCTGTTTCTATCAATGAGGGACAAACTTGAGGAGCCCAGCCCAAGGCTACTGGTTCTCATCCCGCATCTGTTCCATTATGTTGATAAGGCTCTCTAGTCCAAACACATACCCCATGTCAGGGCCATCATGTACAGTGGGATCATCTCGAAAGCCTTTGAATGTGCTGTGTGCAAAGTCTATCATACGTACATCTACCTTGGGCTGGAAACTGACTGCCTCTGTGCTGCTGGCATCTTGTAGGCTCTCTGGGAGAGAGATGTCCACTTGTTTCAGGCGCATCTCTGCCCTGCGCTCCATATATGTCTCCGACCGGTTGTCCTTCCCATCATAGATGATGAGCAAGGAGCTGGAGTAGAAGCGATAGGAGGCCTGCCTCTCCAGTACAGACTTCAGGCTTTGCAGTTTGCTAAGGATGGGCTCAAACAGGTCCTTTCGTAGCTCTACTCCATTGTGCAGATACTGGTAGAGGGCATTGCGAAAACCTTCAATGGAAAGACCTCTGCCGTAGTATTTATTCCTGCACAAATAATGGCCTGTATCCAGCTGATATACCTATGACAGAAAAAAGTCATACATTAGTCTACAAAGAACAGTCAAACGTGTACTGCATGAAGCTACAAAGCAGTAACAATCAGCTATGCTTTTCTGCAGTAGCTCATGGAAGCCTTTGCATCGTCATGAGAATTGTTAAAAAAAGAAGCATCAAACTAGTTCTAGTCCCTGCTGTGCCAAATTAAAACATTACAAGGACTCAGTTCTCCATAGGTTAGGACACATTCCAGAGTCAGAACAACCAAAGTGGAGCAGGACTCAAGCACACTTAAAGAGGAAGAAGTAGACTAGCAGCCAAATTAAAAATGGTAAACCTCAACAGTGTGCCTTTGTTGTATCCTCAAAGAATTCTGAAAGATTGTACATTATGCTGGCAAGGTGTTAAGATATGGGTGGAAGCTTGGGTACTCCCTTATAAGAGAAAAGTCTCTTCAATTTCCTTCCTAAATATGATACAGTATAACTGGACACTGTATAACACCCTGCTGGATAAAGTGGCCCAAAAGAAAATTCCAGGCTGGCTAAATGCCTCGTGTTAAACAATAATTGTTTGGAGCACCCTTGTTGCTGAATAAAACACCCTGAGCAAAATTATAATTAATATTACATTTATTTATACCCCGCCTTTTTTCCTGATGGGACTCAAGGTGGCTCAAGTCACAGAAATCAACATTTCCTTCAAAATAAGTCCAAATGCCGCTTGATGCAGAATCATGGCTGTCAGTAAAATTAGTAGGATATTTTAATAAAAGCAAGGTACGTATTTCAAATGACCACCATCCAGCAGGGGGCACCAGCATCCATGTTATGAAGGCATGCTAAACCAACAGGAGAGTATCTACAACACTCAAAAGCAAGGGACACCTATCTGACACCCTGACGAATGCAGATGTTCTGTGCTTTTTTTGTGCAAGGTGTCACCACCCATTTTGAACAAGAGAGCCTCATACAGTTTCAAGATTGATGAAACTTCTGTTCATCCTTGCCCATTAGTGGGTTTCAAATATATATGTATCTGAGAAAGAGAGAGATTTTCCTATGTCCAAGCCTACTATCCTAATACTACCTTGGCTCCTCAAGGATCAGAGGTTAATAACCTCAGAGTAAGTCTTACACCCCAAGGAGCGCTATTCCATTCACTAGCATGTGAGCACTACCAGGTGAGCTGCCTATGTTAACCACAGTTCAAAAGCTAAGGATGCTCACTATGACACATGGAGATTGTTTGCTATTAAGCAGCTGGTAATATTTGCCACCAACTCCACACACCAAAGTGCAGCCCTATGCTAACAGGGAAGGAAGACAGCAGTCCTATACCCACTTATATTGCAATAAACCTCATTAAAATCAATGGGATTTACTTCTGAGTAGATCTGCATAGGAGTGCATTGTAAATCACTTTATGCTAATGACTGCTAAACATTGCTCCACTCTCTCCCCCACCACCCCCACTTAATTGCATACCTGAACATGGGGGATAATGTCACACTTTGACAAAAGAGGGCAGATATTGAAGCCTTTTGCAGTTAGTGCTGGAAAGTCTTCAAACCTCTCTATGAAGACTAGAAATGTGCATTTGTGGGAGAGAGACTATTATTATAAATTACACACACAGCTTTTTTAAAAAGGAAGCAGAGATTCTCTGTATTCTAAGCAGTTGCCAAATACTATTACACGCCCTCTTGCACAGGAAGGTATCAGCCTTGGCTATCAATCATGCCACAGAAGTTTTGCTAGCAGCTTATACGGTACCTGCATTCCACAAACCCGTACGCCTAGTGTGGCCGAGGTGCTCTGGGCACACTTCTTCATCTGCCGAGCAGCTTTCTCCTCAGATGCATCATCCCCGTGCTGCCTGGTCCCCATTTTCAAGTCAAGCACACAGGGAAATTTGAAATGGTGTACCACGTTCTCCAGTAAAAGGAATTCTAAGGAGCCAGTAAAGGTAAATTTGTTTCTTTAAACTCAGCATTCCTAGAACTGCTTTGATTGGTTTCTACAGAAATTCTAAGACCCCTCTCTTTCATTCCAGAAAATGCACTGGTAAAGATCTTAACTCTGACCAAAAAAAAAGAACAAGACAGGAAAGAACAAAAACAAATATATGAAACCTCCACCCCCAATGATAAAAGGAAGAAACAAGCATTTCATCTTCAGGGGCAGGGGACAAGCCAAGGAAGAGAAAGCCTAGTTTAATACCATAAGAAGAAACGCTCCCATTTTTAAAGCAAGAGCAGACTTTCCACTCCAGAACTGATATTCGGGTCCTGGTGCTGGGCTACAGGAGGTGGCCAAACAAGAAAACAGTGACTGAAGTAGGGTTACCAGATGTCCCTGGATTCACCAATCTGTCTCCGGAATGACCCCGGATTCTAATTAATGTCCAGAGAGTGGCGGCTGTTACAGCGTCGGCAGCTTTGACAATGTCTATGTGCGCATGGCAAGCCCCAGGCAGCAAGCAGCACACGCCCAAACTACGCTTGCACCCCGCCCCCTGGTCACTCACAGCCTCCCGGAGCAGCTGATAGGCACTTGGGCTGAACCTTGCCCCCCTACCCCCCCTCCATCTATAACCAAGGAACCTGGCTCTGGTTGACATGGAAACTACATATGTTTACAAAATGATGCTCCCTACTAATAATCCGGATGCTACTGTCTTTTAACCCCTTGGCTGCTGCAAAAAAAGTGTCCTCAGATTCATTGAAAAAAATCTGGTAACCATAGACTGAAGGCCACAGAAAAACACTAGTTATGCCGACTCACAATTCAGCCTACCAGGGCAGGGTAGGTCTTTTAAAGATGAAAATGCTCCAAGCAGGGTTTACTGGCAGGGTGTCAGTCACCCCCGAAGCCGCACTCTTCCACTGCCTCCCAAAACAAACAGATGACAGTGGCAGTCAGCCACCCCTCTTAGTCCCCATCAAAGACCTTGTGAGCATGCAGTCAGTATACACTATGCCTTTGGGAGGATACTGTAGAGCTTACGTTCCTTGGACTCTGAGCGCATGCGGCTCAACTGTTGCTTGTGGCAACGCAGACTCCACGGGTTAAATGTGATCTTTTCAGAACTCACGCTGCTATTTCCATCTAGCATCTGAAATGGAACATCTGAATGCCAGCTCTTGAGGCTCTTCGTGTCCTGGAAGCTGTTGGCACAATATGGTATCACAAATAAGAGCTTTGCTAGGAATTAGATTACAAGAGAGATTAGCATTTGGGCTACTAAATTTAGTAATTCTGTAGGAGAGGGGGGCATTCTGCACCATTCTCATACTTGCAGTATGAGAGCCTTCTTTGCATAATTGTTAGGGTCTCAGGAAATCAATGTCCAGCGAGCATGTACAAGATTACAGTATCTTTACTGGGGAACATTTTGCCAAAAAATGAAATGTTGAGTGAAATGTTGTTTAAGGGAAGCAACTTCTGAAAAGCTATGTCTGAACTAAGGAAAAACAACTGAAATACATGGTACCTTTCTGATGTGTCACTGGCCAGTCCAGCTCTCTCCTCTTTGTGCTCACTGCCACTGCCAGACCTGTTGAGGCTTCTGCGAGAGTGTTTGCGACGCGGCTGGTCCCTCTCTGGAACATCTTCCTGCTCCAAGGCTTCACTCTCCACGTAGGGGTATGCTACCAGGTTAATGTAGCCATCACTGTCTCCCTCAAAACAGACAGACACCACACCTGCCAGACACAAGCCACATGTGGCATTCCTCACATGAAATTTCTTAGTAGCCAGGTAACAGCCACAAAAACTAGCACTCTAAGAGGTTGTTGCCAAGGACAATGTAAGGGAGAGAAACAAAATGAAACCATAAGATGAACACTCTCTCTCTCTCTCTCTCTCTCTCTCTCTGTGTGTGTGTGTGTGTGTAAAGCAGCTATTGTCACATCAATGGTGTATCCAGAAGATGGATCAATTATGGTGTTTGGGCAGGAGGAATTGGCCAGATGCGCTTTGGGGGGGGGGAGGATTATGTGCAAGAAAGAAAAATTATACACTTTATAAAGTTACAGCTCTTTTGGATTTTGTATGCAACATGTATGTAACAGAGTGGCCCTTGAGAATATATGACTGTCTCTGGTCTACTTGATGCAACAGCAATAGTTTCTATAACTAAAAGCTTACTACACAGGTAAATAAAATGAGCATGGAATAGTATCTTGAAAGCACTCAGTTTCAAATTATAGGCTTTCAAAGGTGCCCTTTTCAGACCACCTCCATTTCAAAAAGGAGAAATACAGAGTAGAAATGATATTCTGATGGGAAATAAAAATAATTGTGGAGTCAAGAGTTTGTCCCATGAAGGCACATTAAGTATTTAAGCACATCTAGTATAGGCTTAGCTCTAGCCATTATCTGCATAGTCTGTGCCCAAAGAGTGCATTCATAAGTCACTCTTGTCAATTTTCTGGCACAGCTTCTTAATATTAACTGGAATGACTCCAGGTTGAGATGCAATCTATTTTCTCTTGTGAGAAAGGCTATTTCAGTATAAATTGAATTTTGTTGTACGTAAATTGAAATTAAGACTGGCTTTCCTTGTCACATTTTCCCAATAGCAGTAATAGAAAAATGTGCATGATCTTCTGATCCATTCAAGAGTAACATATTATTAAAGAAGAGTCACCCTCCTTTGCTATAACATGGGGCAGATTGTTTTCTTCTGTGACAGGCTTTTTCTGTATAGCTTCATCTATAAAGAATGATGTGCCTATTCATGACAGCCCATCTGCTTTCTGTATGAATTTAAGAACATTAATTGTTTCTACTTTAATTTTATTAAACACAGAATTTATTTAGTATCAACAACTTTATAGTCTCTGCATTAAAAATGCAGCAGCAGACTACTACAATTGCCCCACCTTCCAAACACCATTTCCAAGCCTTCAAAACTTTTGCAAATAACAAATGCTTGGTGTTAGTTATCACAGCTGCAATCTATAAAGCATTACCTGTAAATCCCACATAAATCAATGGAGTGACTTGGAGTAGATATGTAAGGATAGTACCATAAGGCTGTGCAAGGTGTTCTCAGGGCTAAGTAGCTTTAAAGAACCAGACAGCCAAAACAGAGGCGGAAACACAAGTGAAAACAGATAAGTTTATTGACACATATACAAAAGAAGGGGGGCAGGAATCAAAGAAGGTGCTCAAGAGAAATCAGCAAGGTGGGGCGCAATATCAGATAAATGCAAGACTTTCTCAAAGGCAGGACAGAGATGCTGTATTGCACCATGGGATTTATTTGTATCTCACGGTGCGGCATCTGCCTTGACAACTGACAGGGCCCTAAAGCCCAACCTGGCAGGTTCAGTCCTATTGTGGGAGATCTAGACTTGCTAATAGCAGGAGTAGCCAATATGGTGTCCCAGGTGAAAGAAACTCTAGAAAGGCCTAAGCTCCAAGTGGCAGCTACAAGGAAAACTTACCAAGATGGAATGCTTACGTTTTAAAGTTAGAAGATTAACTCTTTCAATATATGGCAAAAGAGGTGATGTGAAAAAGAAATTTCTCTCTTAAGACTCATTTGAAACTACACAAGTAAGGCCCAGTTAATACACACCAGAATCCTCCATGCAGAACAGCTTTGTGTCCAAAATTACAGGGAGGGGGAAATGCACATTGCCTCAAAGTCTTGTTTTTTAGTTGCCATACTTGCACAAATTGCCACCAGAAAGCAGCATAGTCTTAGTGCCTCATATGTTACTTTCTCCAGGAGACGATGGTCACTGGACCACTCCACTATGAGATTCAGAGGATATAAGCCAGACTTAAGACTAGAATCCTGAGCACAGTTACCGGGAAATAAGTCCAAGTGAACTATGTGGGCTTATATGACTTTGAAACTAAACCCAACTGGGCTTTAGAAGTACTGCCAGCCAGCAATGCCATTAATAAGATCTTATGACTGCCTAAGCATATAAACAAATTGTTCTCATCCATGCATTGTCTGAAAATACATGGGAAAGTTTCAAAGTGATCTTATGGATAGTATGTAATGAAATAGTTCCATTAGATTTCAATTTGTGCAACGGAACTTCCCTCCCTCTTCTCTCCCTGCACACCCTCAGATCAGATTGGGGGAGCCTTCAGGATTGTTTTATGAGGCATGCGGGAAGAAGTGGGGACTTTTCTGTTGTGCAGCCAGAAGTACTTGCACTAACAGAACTAATTTGTAGGACACCACCCTATGTATACATTCACAGCACAGTTGAAGTTTTTAATGTTTGAAGTTTTATTCTGTTTTTAAGGTTCTATTGACAGCCGCCCAGAGTGGCTGAGAAAACCCAGCCAGATGGGCGGGGTAGAAATAATAAAGAATTATTATTATTATTATTATTGATAGAAGAGTGCCCTCCAGATACACTAAAATGCTCTGGATTTAAATGAGATTCTCCAAAGATTTTGGGAGCTTACCTTTGTATTCAGGTGTGAATTCCTTCATTTCTGGAGGCAGGGACTCATAGAAGCGCTGTTCTCTGGTGATGAGAGGCTTGCACACAGTGTGGTCATCGTAGCGCATCATGCTGCTGTGGCCGCCCACCTGATGGATGAAAGGCTCCAGAAGGACCCCTCGGCCTCCTGTGTGGGATGCGTTCTTGCCATGCTTCCCCACCTCCATGGTTTGACAAACACACATTGCGTAGGGCACCAGTCGCACACTTGGAGCTGGGGGTGAGCTGCATGGGGTGGAAGGAGGAGTTTCTCAAGGAGCAAAATCTCTACCACTCAGATGTCTTAGTAAGAAAGCATGTGCCAATGGTCTGCAAAACAGAGAAGATTCCATAAAACTTAGCCAGTGCTCACTTGCATCAGCCCCAGTACAAAGTCTACCATGTAGCTATGATTTACACACACACACACACACACACACACACACAAACATGCAGTACTCTTTTTACACACTTCTGTATTTTATCAATTATCTTGACAAGGCAATAATTTCTTAAGAGGTTTGTGACCAAAACCGAGAAAGAGCAATGACCTACCAGCTATTCAGAGCAACCTAGATCCTTTAATAAGTTAAGCCCATCCTTTACTTAAAGCATTACTCCTCTATGCCAGCAAGGAATTACCATATTTTTCGCCCTATAGGACGCACCTAGATTTGGGGGGGGGGAATAAAGGGGGAAAAAATTATTTCCCCCCCCAGGCGCGGGGCTGGGGCGGGGGAAGCCCAGAGCACGCCTTTCCCGCTGCCCCCCAACTTGGTTAGAAGGCTGGCAGGGGGGAGAAGCCTGCTCCTCCCCGTCGCCAGCCCCGCAAACTCGGGGGACAGCGGGGAGGTGGAACGCCGCCATCCCGCTGTCCCCCGACTTGGTTAGAAGGCTGGCGGGGGGGAGAAGCCTGCTCCTCCTCGTCGCCAGCCCCGCAAACTCGGGGGACAGCGGGGAGGCGCAGCACGCCTTTCCCGCTGTCCCCTGACTTGGTTAGAAGGCTGGCGGGGGGGAGAAGCCTGCTCCTCCCCGTCGCCAGCCCCGCAAACTCGGGGGACAGCGGGGAGGCGCAGCACGCCTTTCCCGCTGTCCCCTGACTTGGTTAGAAGGCTGGCGGGGGGGAGAAGCCTGCTCCTCCCCGTCGCCAGCCCCGCAAACTCAGGGGACAGCGGGAGAGGCGCAGCACAGCTTCGGCATCGCTCTGGGAGCTTGCGGGGCTCGGGGAGGGGGAAGCCCTCCGCCAGCCTCCAAACCAGGTCCGGAGAGAGCGGGATGGCGCGCTGCGCCTCTCCTGCTGTCCCCTGAGTTTGCGGGGCTGGCGACGGGGAGGAGCAGGCTTCTCCCCCCCGCCAGCCTTCTAACCAAGTCGGGGGACAGCGGGATGGCGGTGTTCCGCCTCCCCGCTGTCCCCTGAGCTTGTGGGGCTGGCAGTGGGGCTCTCCTGAAGCCTGGAGAGCGAGAGGGGTTGGTGCGCACTGACCCCTCTCGCTCTCCAGGCTTCAGCGAAAGCCTGCATTCGCCCCATAGGACGCACACACATTTCCCCTTCATTTTTGGAGGGGAAAAAGTGCGTCCTATAGGGCGAAAAACACGGTAGTTCAACAACATCCCATGCCTTCCGTTTGAGCCATCTCATGTACTTGTCCCCAATAAAGCATCCTTCAGTTCACGTAAATGTTGAACTGACAGTTAAGTTGTAGAAGAAGGTTCACTGAATAACTCGAAGAAAAGGCATTTCAAAATAAAAAGTAGGCTTTCATCACTGAAGATGCAACGGTTGCATGTTAGGTGATGTGATAAGGGAAACACTAATTAGTCATTAGGAGAAGGGGAAAGGTCAATGTTTTAGGTCTACCATTTGCTACTAACAAGCAAAGCATAAACAAAGAAGAGCAAGGAGCTTGCAAACTGCCTCTCAAGCCTTGGTTTATAATATGAATTTCATGAGTATGTTTTTGACAAGCTTCTGATATAATTTTTGAAAGTCCCCTGCTTTTTACAAAACAGATTGAGCCAACTGTGCCCCAAAGTTGCCCTGAGAGGTGCATGCTTCCTCTCCCCTTTCACAGTAAGGACATGCTTTTGATATTTCAACAGGAGGCTAAAATAGAAGATGACTGAGGTAGACAAAAATGATTTCGGTCTAGTCTAACTGCCAAACAGATTGGTGGCTTCTGCAGAGTTCTAATTTGGCCAGTGATCTTGTGTAAAGCCGATTAGTAAGGGCACTACTTTGGAAAGTCTCATGGCCTCAGGCAAGGATGCACTTGTGATAGCTGTTCTGTTTATCTATGGCTTATATTAAGCTACTGGACACAGTTTGCATTCTGCAAGCATAGATATGTCCCTCTTCCCTCGTTGCCAGGTAGGGAACTTGTTAAAGCAAATGAAGAGGGACGTATGTAAGACCTGTCCCATTTTTCAGACTCACATGGTTGGCTAGCACTTAAATACTCCCTTCCCCCAAAAGAGGCTCCTTTCGAGTATGTGATGAAAAAGCTCCCATCGCTTCACATTTCATCCATCTACTTAGCTCACTATGTGAATGACTACTGACCAATATTATGAGGTAGGTTTAACCTCCAAAGTTTAACAGCAGTGGTTTGTATGCCATTTTTAGGTTTCTCCAACAATCAAAATGTTACGAGCTATATGTGTACCAGTTTTTAGCTGGCTGTCAGTTGGTGAAATATATTCATATTGCTGATATGGAACAGTGAATGAACGAGTCAATAAGCACATTTACAGAATAAGCGGCAATAGGGAGGAGGGGGTCATTTGGAACTGGCATTTTCTACATGTCACTACATACACTAGCAACTGCTCAGTTGTTTATCAAGTATCATACACACACCTTCAAAGGAGCTTACAGAACCTGATCTACTGAGCACTCAAAACTTTGGCATTGGCGATGAATATCAGCTTGCAGTCCAGGAATGAAGATACTACTCTAATCACAACATAAAATTCAAAAGGTATTTTAATCCAATGTTCTTCAACCTCGTATCCAAATGCTGAACCACTACAAGCCTCATTACCCTCAGCTAACTTAGCCAAGTGTCAGTGATGATGGGAATTGTAGCGCAACACCATCTGGTGACCCAAGGTGGAAGAAGATTGTTGTAGTTGAATAATCTTTTTTAAAGGAAACATTAATACAAGTAATTGTAATCAGTACATGCTTACTTTGTAATCCTACACATATAGCTACTGTAACAAGCTTACAGCTAATACGTTTTGCATTTTGGAATACAGTAGCTTTTTTAAAAGGGTTACAAGACCTAAAAGTTGCCTATGTGAACCAGAGGGTTGGTTCTTACATTACAGCCACCAAATGAATACTAGATACGTTACGGCACCAAGAGTACTACAAGAGTACTTTAACATGGTTAAAGAACAGTCACATATTATACTTGTGAAGTGGACTATGCTTCATCATACTGAAGCATTTCCACTGACATCCATTACGTAAGAATCAGTCCAAGTGCACCAGAATTGCACGTTTCTATGCACAGAAGAAATTCAAAAAGAATGGGTTGGGGGTCAAATGGAGCTGTAGTTTTAACTGAGCTTGCCAGGGAATTATTACTTTCAGACAAATGTTGATTGAATTTTGAGAGGGAGTTGCTTATTAAGAAACACACAAAGCAACAGTACCTGAACAATCTGAAGAGGCCACAAAAATGTATGATAAGCTTGGGGGAAGAGACTCTCATGCTGTTTATTGTGTATGAGAGAGGAAAGAGAAACATCTTAAATTATTCTGGTTTTATAAGAGATCTACAGTTGTATAGGCAGAGAAAAAGTATCCCCTCTCAAAACGAACCCCTGTATTTCTATTCCATGGCCATTAAGATAACATGAAGATCAGCCAATAAATTCACATCTATGTTTACAAGTTAAGAGCCCAGGTTAATAGTTTCAGTTCTTACCATTTACAAAAGCAGTCTAAAGTGTTTGTAACTCATAACAGGAAGTACAGAAATGATTTTCACTATTTGGCAATAAGACTTTGAGTGAGAGTTAATGTTTGGGAGTTGAAGTGATAAACCTAGGAACTTCCATTAGCCTTCAACTCTCTGATCCAGTTGTGATGATATATATATTTACAGTTTTCTGCAGACTGCTACAATTTTTTTTTCTTTTTTACAGAAAACCTACTTGCTACTGAAAACACTAGCCTGCCTAGTTAGTGCTGTCAAAACAGACCAAAAAAGCAAAAGAAACTGCAAAAGAAGCTAGTTGGCTTGGCAACTATATCAACTGAGCATGCCCAAGCATCACCTGCACTTGACCTGAAGGAACTGGTAACAAACTTTGGAGAGGAAAAGGCACACAAACTTGAAACTTTTAAGAGACTTAAAATTTTAACAATAAAATTCACAAAATTATTCATAATGATTTGTGTGCTAAAACACTTTTTGTATTTGAGAAAGATAATCAAAGATGGTTGCATTACTTATTCTTGCAATTTAAAATAAATTTAGCAGTTTCAAGTTTTGTGCTTTTCATTCCCCCCGTTTTTTGAAAACTGAAGTTAACAATGGAGGTGTGTGTGTGTGTGTGTGTGTGTACGTGCAAATAGTTAGCCTTGCCTAGGGCACAAAATAGCCTGGCACCAGCACTGTCTCAGCTACATCTGAAACAGTTTATGAGTATTTATGTGTCACAGGAGATCAAATTCTACTTTAGTGGATCATAAGGCTGTCAACAAATAATTGGTAACTGCTGACAGAGCCCATTCCTCCTGACATCTAAACATAACTGAAGACAGGAAGTGTTAAGCGGGTATCATCTAAAACCTTAGATAAGGAGGTTATGGATTAGAAACTGGTGAATTTGGAGTTTTGGGGGAAGAGGGAGAACATCTGATGAGGAAAGAAAAAAGAAGAGAGCACAAGATGTTAGCAAAGTGAGGCTGTCAGTCAAACACAGTTTTCACCATTTCTTAAAGCAAGAAGAACAAAATTTCCTCCAAGGTCCCATTGTCTATGCCAGTCACCTCAACCTTGCACTCTCCAGATATTTTGGACCAGACTAAAATCGCCATTAGCTATTGCCAGCACTCCACAGTACGATTGTAAAAGGGACAAAATTGCAGCAGCTTACCTCAAAGACTATTTAAGAAAACACAGAATTTGAAAATTTAGTGTTAGCAAATGAATTTTATGGGAAATCACTAAAAACTCAGAAAGTGGATAGAAAAGTTCATATGGGGAAGTGGAATAGAAAACTACAGAGTTAAGTTCCAGAGGAGATGGGGACATGCCTTTATACAAAAGGCTCACACTTCTCAGTGACAGTCTGCTTTAAAGAAATCTGATTCAAAATTAATTCACAATGGTGTTTAGCAGCCTGAAAAATTTGGAAGAGCTATAACAGAGACTTCTATCATATGTGGTGAGAATATGAAAAAAAACCCAACAACCGCCAGATACTAGAAGATAGCGTTAGGAATAAATGATGAACTATTTCAGTTCAGTTCAGTTCAGAGTAGAATTAAAGCCCGTGGACTATATGCTAATTTTATCAAGAGCTGTGTATCAATTGAAAAAATATTTTAAAATAAATGATCACAATAGCTACATTGCTCTTTGTAAACACAGAAAAGCAATCAATGTCCTACTACAGTAGACCAATTACAATAGATATAGTATCAAACAGAAGTTATTTGAGCAGCTGGATCCTGATAATTCAGTATCTAAGACAAAGAAATGATTTCAAGGAAACAGAGGGAGATCGTGTAATACTTTGAAACTGGTTGGGGTTGGGAGTTAAATTGTAAGATAAGCATAATGAAAGTAATTTGACGTATAAAGCTGTGCAAATGCTATTAATGTGTATTAAATGTGTACATTCTGTATAAAGCTTTTCATGAAATAAAAGAGAGGCCAGATCACCCTGTATTGAGTAACAGCTGGTGTGATGCTTAGCTTACACTGAAGAGAGATTTCCCTCTGCCTGAACACTTAGGAGAAATACCATTGTGGAGTAGAGGTATAATAGTGATCCACCAACAGCTGTACCAGCACTTCCCATTCCATATTTGAGAGAGGTTTTAAAAGTAAACAGCTTATTTAAAGAAAGCCAGTAAATAAAATTAGTATTGCAAGGACTGTGCAGACAAAAATTAACCACATCAAGGAAAATAAAATTCATTAATTTTCTTTCAAAGGCTGGACTGGATGAATCCCAAGCCGGAATTAAGATTGCCAGAAGATATATCAACAGCCTCAGATATGCAGATGACACAACCTTGATGGCAGAAAGTGAGGAGGAATTAAAGAACCTTTTAATGAGGGTGAAAGAGGAGAGCGCAAAATATGGTCTGAAGCTCAACATCAAAAAAATGAAGATCATGGCCACTGGTCCCATCACCTCCTGGCAAATAGAAAGGGAAGAAATGGAGGAGGTGAGAGATTTTACTTTCTTGGGCTCCATGATCACTGCAGATGGTGACAGCAGTCACAAAATCAAAAGACGCCTGCTCCTTGGGAGAAAAGCAATGACAAACTTAGACAGCATCTTTAAAAGCAGAGACATCACCTTGCTGACAAAGGTCCGTATAGTTATAGCTATGGCTTTCCCAGTAGTGATGTATGGAAGTGAGAGCTGGACCATAAAGAAGGTTGATCGCCAAAGAATTGATGCTTTTGAATTATGGTGCTGGAGGAGACTCTTGAGAGTCCCACGGACTGCAAGAAGATCAAACCTATCCATTCTGAAGGAAATCAGCCCTGAGTGCTCACTGGAAGGACAGATCGTGAAGCTGAGGCTCCAATACTTTGGCCACCTCATGAAAAAAGAAGATTCCCTGGAAAAGACCCTGATGTTGGGAAAGATTGAGGGCACAAGGATAAGGGGACAACAGGACGAGATGGTTGGACAGTGTTCTTGAAGCTGCCAACATGAGTTTGACCAAACTGCAGGAGGCAGTAGAAGACAGGAGTGTCTGGCGTGCTCTGGTCCATGGGGTCACGAAGAGTCAGACACGACTAAATGACTAAACAACAACAACAACAAAGAGTAAAAATAATTTTTGAGCTTTGTAACAGAGCACTGAGACTAATAATAATAGGAAGTAAGACTTAAGGGGTATTTTGTTTCAATTCATACACCAGTCAATGTTTCTTGTTTAATATTGAAGTAAAGTGGAAATCTGCTATGGGAGGCAGTCTCAGAAAATAATTTCAGGAGCTAAATGCAAAGCAGCAGCATACATCTTCCTCCTGTCTTTATTAATTTTTAGAAACCCAGAAAAGATGTAAGATTATGTTTCTTATTTCCTGCAGAAGAAAGTTATGAAGTCTAGAAGTCAGTATTTCCTGCAAATATTAAAACTGTCAGAAAATGCTGGACACTGAAGAATAGACTAGATAAAATTGTCAACCATTCATACAACATGGCAAAAATAATGTTCAAAGCAGTCACTTATGGTACAGCCAACAAATACCATTCAATCTGTCCATCCTATGGTTCCTAAAGGTCTACTTCAATGCAATCTGAAACACTGAACACACAGTTCTGCATAATAAAATGAGGAACTTGGAGACTCTGGCTCAAGAGAGGTAATGGAACAGATAAGTGTCTCGTATTTCAGTTAGTTAAACCCAGTAGAGCAGTCCAAATCCCAATATTCAAACATCATCTTACTGGTGGAAAAACCCTACAGTTTATAATCCTTAAGCTGCATTTTTTCAAAGCACCCCTTTCGCTATAGACACACCACATGTCAATTGACATGTATGGATCTCTACAGCAATCTCTGCAATTTACAAAGCATTTACAAATATGATTTTAAAAAAGAATTTTCACCACAGCTGCAGAAACTATTACAAAGAATTTCAGAAGACCGCCAGTATTCTCTCTTTTTACTTCAAGGCCAAACATGAAGAAAACCCAACAGCAGAAATGACAGTGCAATTCACCACTTAAGTGATTGTTGCTCTTCTTCTAGTGCTTATTTCTTTAATACATTTCTCTTTCATTTCAGGTTAATAACAGCTATATAGAATTTGTAAAGCATTTAATTTCTGGTCTACTACTAGACCAGATGGGCAGGGTATAAATAATAATAATAATAATAATAATAATAATTCTCTCAAAAGTGTGGATATGTTTTGTGGTAATGATTACAGGAGCAAGTCAGTTTACTGCAGGTTGCTCAGATCACAGAAGCCTTCGAGTATATCTGGGTTCCAGGAAGTCTGCTAACAAGTAGATTCTTTGCGGCCATAGTTTTGCTCTTATTCTAAAAGAACAGGCACCCCCAAACTCGGCCCTCCATCTGTTTTGGGACTACAACTCCCACCATCCCTGGCTAACAGGATCAGTGGTCAGGGATCATGGGAGTTGTAGTCCCAAAACAGATGAAGGGCTGAGTTTGGATGTGCCTGTAAAAGAAAGTATAATACAAAGCACACTTCAAGCGACTTATCCCACCTGCCCTGCACTGTAGCACAGCCCTGTTCTCTGTGGTGCAGCCACTGTTTGTGCCAAGGTTTTGCTGCCACAAATAAAGTGCAAAAGCAGAAAGAAGACTGCAACCAAAGAACTGGCTGGTTAGTCCAAATCAATATGAAATTCATTCATTCATGACTTTCAGGTGCATGCTGCCCACTTAGGGTTGCCATGTTACAATGCTACAGTGACAACTGAAGTCATAATTTGTAGAATTCCCTTACAGTGGTACCTTAGGTTAAGTACTTAATTCGTTCCAGAGGTCCGTTCTTAACCTGAAACTGTTCTAAACCTGAAGCACCACTTTAGCTAATGGGGCCTCCTGCTGCTGCCACGCCGCCAGAGCACAATTTCTGTTCTCATCCTGAAGCAAAGTTCTTAACACGAGGTACCACTTCTGGGTTAGCGGAGTCTGTAACCAGAAGCCTATGTAACACGAAGTGTATGTAACCCAAGGTACCACTGTATTCAGGTTTAGGCTCTAGAGCCAGCAACCACTTCTTTTAACCACCATGTCTTGACCTAATGCTCCTCTCTCCCTCAACAGCACAGAGTGTCTCCTGGCCTTAAATGCTGAGTAGTTTCTTTGGAGCGGTCTCTCTGATAAGTCCCTTCTTGTCTCAAGTCCCAATCTCATCTAACATAGCAACCTGGCTCTTCCTGAAGGTTCCTCTTTCTCAATCCATTCCCTGATCACCATCATTCTTAAACCTAGCCTCTACACCCCAAGAACTCAGCCTCTCCCTTGTAAAGTTTGTAACTACAGCCATATTGACAATTCCCTCAAAGGAACTGAACTGCAAACCGTTAAGTTCCCTGAATAACTAACATTCTGTGCTTTTGTATAAGCTCAGAAGCTTCACAGGGCACAATGCAATAGATGTACACATTTACTAGAGCAAAGCAAAACACAAAACAAAGAGGAACTACCGCTGGCACATACTTAAGATACATTAGCATAAAACTGGTGCCAATCAGTAAGACACCAGAGGTAAAATGCATTATCTGTGCAGTTAGTGACTTAGCAGGGGCAAATAACTATTCTTTCCAAGTGAATCACTTGTTAGAATTTTGACTCAAGCTACACTGAAAGAACAGGCACATGAGCACAAGATAATACAGTCTTCTTACCACTCTCCTGCTTGCCTGAGACAATATCTGCTTTCTCCCTCCCACAGCACACAGATAAACAAAAAAATTATCCAGTCTCTCTTCACTACCCATTTGCCCCCACTTATTTACTGGGCTATCCCTGTTGCCTGTCCCAGCCTAGTTGCTTTCTTCAACATGGAACCTAGCAATACAGCACTATGTCCCCTAGTCTGAAGGTACTGTACCAGAGAGCATGAAGGCCACAGTGAGCTACTTACTGCCTTTCAGATATGCATGTTACATGCACAGATGCTACAGTGCTGCCCTTCTCCTATTGGAGAAAGTATTAGCTCTGACCTATCATGGCTAGAGCAGCTTAACATCACTACAGTAAGATGAGTGTGTGGATTGATGGCAACAGCACCTGATGCACTACTTCAATGGCTAATTAAAGCTTTATCAAAATTACTAATGTTAATATGTCAATATAATTATAATTCAAGGCAGTGCTTGGAAGTATTCTCTTTTCAGAGATAACTGTACAACATACAGAGTGGCTGGGGAAACCCAGCCAGATGGGCAGGGTATAAATAAATAATAATAGTAATTATTATTATTATTCCCATGGAATTTGGCATACTTATGCTTGCTAAAAGCAAAGAGGCAAGGGGCAAATTGCAACTGCAGTCTGACTGCTCCAGGACTTGATCACCAAGATGCTGTTGCCCTTTTATGCTGGAGAAACAAAAGCTATGTATGCTGTGTGTATGGTTTCAATTTCTCTTTGCCTTAAAAAACCCAACTGCCACATGTGATACCCCACTTTTTGGATCTCTTGTCTCTTTCCTACTGGAAAAGTTTCTGAAAGCCATCCTTAACATGCACTTCCACAATATGTGGCAGCAATTTTTTTTAAAAAGAAGAATGGATCACCTCTCAAATCACACCGCAACCACAGACAGAAAACTGACACCAGCCAAACACCTGTTAAAACTGTAACCTCTTTTTTTCTTTTAAGAGATTCCAATTCTGGGGATCTATAAAACTTACGCTTCCAGTTACAGTTATGGAAACTCCTGTGCTCTTATTCTCCCCTCTGCCCTGCTCCCACCCCTCGCATATAACATTTGTATTTTCTTATTCCTAAACTAGTCGAGAACCAATAATATTTCAGAGGTCTGGTCTCTTTGCAACCATGAGCAGAAGTTGTCCTTATGGTAGTCACAATGCATCATATTTATACAACAGCCTTTGAGCCATGACATAGCAAAGCCATTGTGTGGGAAGACCCAAATTTTGCCAAAGGGCCATGCTAGTGACTTGGCATAACTCCTAGCAGGAAATGAAACGATTTTCTACTGCTCTTGCTTTCCACAGAAATGTGTCTCAAAACTCTGTGCATAATATTCACTTTTTATAAGATTCCTAAGTTACATATATTGTGCCAGATTAATGGCAGGGAAGCAGTAGAAGGAAGAAGAGGAAAAGAGTCCACAAGTTTCACAATCTTCAGTGAGTACAGGCTTATTAGCACTAATTTGCAATAATTTTCAGTAAATTTCCATCCTCCTGCAGTCCCAACAACACTCTATGTATAGATTCTGCTCCTACTCTTCTGAGGTGATGATGGATTAAAAGCTTAGATCCTTCCACAAAAAAGCTCAGTAACAATATTTTGAGAAAGCTTGCCAATAGAACTTTTGTTTTTCAGAAATGGCGCCATGTTACAAATGTTCAAATGCAGAGAGGCTTGCTGTCAGATAACATTCAGCCCAATTCTAGACAAAGTTACCCAGAAATGGGTCCTCACTGTATTCAATGAGTGGGATTCAACTAAGTTGTTGCATGCACAGAATGGGAGCTGCTTGTGCTATGCGTCTTCGGAGGGTTGGAAAAACCCCCGGAACAGATTTAAGAGGTACATGGAGGCAGTGTAAAAACTGAGATATGAAAGCTAGGAGCTAAATGGCACCTTAAACCTAGGTTATGGGCACAACAATGGAATGTCTAGGTGCACTTTTTTATAACAAGAATACAAAGCTTAAAATGAATGAACTGCAGCTAAAATCTTATGTCCATTTTTCACATGGTCTAGTCCTCATCTGAAGACTGCAAAAAACAAAGCCATGCTTCCCCTGCCCGCCCCGCCCCCTAATATTCTTAAGAGGGTCTGTTCTCCATACTTCAGGAAGTGGCTGGAAGTGGGGAGGCAGAAAAGGGTCCTCCTTTCCTTCAGCACTGTGCAGTTTTAATCTGAAATCTTTATGCACAGTACTGCGCCCAGAGCTCAGAAACTGCTTGGGCTAATTAAATTCCCTGTTACAAAACACACTAGAACAATGGGAGTTTCAAACACTGATGGGGGGCACACAAGGGGAGGAGTGGGGAGTCTCACTGCTCATGTGGAACTCATTCTATGCCCCCATACCTCACTTAGCACATCACTGAATTCTACCTAATAGGCTTTACCCAAAGACAGGTGTGCACAGGATTATAGCTTCATGTACACCAATAAAAGATATAGGCACTTCAAGAGCATTGCACTGAGAGCAAATTTTATAAATTTTACTCAAATATTATCAACAAAAGCATGCTGTGGCCAACAGCCGGTAAATTCTATTTTGATATTTGTCACACTGTTAGGAAACAGAGGGAGCAGCCTAAGAATTCATGTCAATTTTAATTAAGATTTATCCTATCTTACAAGTCAGTCCAAGGGCAGTTTACAATTTTTAAAAAGAAAACTGCAAAAAGAAAAAGCCCCACCTAAACATGAGGGGCTATCCACGTTTATCTGGCACCAATTATCTTCCCAATAACAATGTCTTGTCTGCACTGTCTCCAGAAAACAGCCTCCAATGGATCTTCATTAAGGAGTTCAAACACTAGAAAGTTACTGCAAACTTCTATACACCCTTATAATTTACGGTTATTTTTTAAAATATTTGAGTTCCACACTTTATTACGGTATTCAAACAACAAAAACAAAATCCAATTAAAAACAGATAAAAAATAAAAGCAATAGATTAATCTCAAAACAGACTAAAATTAGCAATTATGGGTTCTATACATAAGTACAGTGGTACCTCTGGTTATGAACTTAATTCGTTCCGGAGGTCCGTTCTTAACCTGAGGCACCACTTTAGCTAATGGGGCCTCCTGTTGCCGTCACGCCGCTGGCAAGCAATTTCTGTTCTCATCCTGAGGTACAGTTCTTAACCCGAGGTACCACTTCCGGGTTGGCAGAGTCTATAACCCGAAGTGTTTGTAACCTGAAGTGTTTGTAACCCAAGGTACCACTGTACTCATGCCTTGAATTCAGCTAAGAAGCAAACAGGTAGCCAGTCGAACTCTTTTATAAATGGTGAAATATCAGCAAGATGAGACATGCCAGTCAGAATACTGGCTCCCATATTCTGTACCAATTACAGAGTTCAAACATGTGATACAGGGAAGATAGAAGTGGCATCACCTAAGCAGAGACTATGATTGAATTACTGTTGTGGCCAATTATGTAAGCAATGTCATTTCTGCACTACAGTGGTGCCTCGCAAGACGAAAAGAATCCGTTCCGCGAGTCTCTTCGTCTTGCGGGTTTTTTCGTCTTGCGAAGCAAGCCCATTAGAGGTTTAGCGGCTTAGCGCTACAGTATTAGCGGCTTAGCCGGCTTAAAGATCAGCTGATAAGCGGCTTAACGATCAGCTGATAAGCGGCTTAGCATCAGCTGTTAAGCGGCTTAAAGATCAGCTGATAAGCGGCTTAGCATCAGCTGTTAAGCGGCTTAAAGATCAGCTGATAAGCGGCTTAGCCATCAGCTGTTAAGCGGCTTAAAGATCAGCTGATAAGCGGCTTAGCATCAGCTGATAAGCGGTTTAGCGGCTTGGGAAAAAGGGGGGGAAAGGAAAAAAACCCCGCAGGAACTCGCAAGACATTTTCGTCTTGCGAAGCAAGCACATAGAAAATTCGTTTTGCGAAGCACCTCCAAAACGGAAAACCCTTTCGTCTAGCAGGTTTTCCGTCTTGCGAGGCATTCGTCTTGCGGGGCACCACTGTACTTCAGGCCCGTTCAGTCATATATATGTACAATAAAAGCAAAAACACACAACAGTGGAAATTTACAGTAAGAAAGATAAAGCTTAAGATAGTTTAGGCTAGGGTTGCAGCTTTTATCAAAAATTTAGAGATGCTGTACAGGTAGAAACCAATGCTTAAAGCCAAGCACAGACAATTTAATGTCAACAAGAACTCAATTATGCTCAAATTTCTGCCTCACATTTCACTCATAGGGTACCTAACTACAAAAAGATTCACCTTTCATCTGACCCACTAAAACACCAATGATTAATTTATAGCTCATTCTATCACAGAGGCTTGGGAAGTTTATCAATATATTAAGAAGCATGGATGTCTGCTATAGTATCTCAGGCAAATGCAATTACAGTAGAACCTCGGGTTACGAATGTGATCCGTGCGGGAAGCACGTTCACAACCCGCAACACCGCGTCTGTGCACATGCAGGTCACGATTCGGCGCTTCTGCGCATGCGCCGAAATCCGGAAGTAACCCATTCCGGTACTTCCAGGTTTGGCGCAGTGCACAACCTGAAAACACGTAGCCTGAAGCGTCTGTAACCCAAGGTACCACTGTAAAATACAACTTGGTTAAAAACAGAAAATGATAATCCTACCTTCCCACCACTTTCCATAGCCAGCCAAAAGTGTACACTCCTGAAATACGTTCTCTGGCTCTGATAAATTTTCAGGAATTCAAATTTGCGAAGAAGCAACACCACCAGCCTTTAATGCTCATTTTTTTGTTTCAATATGACACATGGATAGTAACAAAGAGAAGTGTTTTTAAATGATACCAGAAATAAACAAAATATGATGGTTAGCATGCGTGGGTGAGTTTGGGGAGGTTTTTTTACATAAAGGGCAGCCACAGAGGAACCTAAACTATCTTAGGACCACGGAGAGGAGTTTAACACTTCCTTTGCCCACCACAATTCTGACAAGTTGCTATTTGAATGTCAAAGGAAGTTCCCATTGGCTAACCCATTGTGATAGAACACATGGGTTCTGGCAGCCTGTTTAGCATGTGCCCTACCCATTTAGTATGTAGATTTGAACCAGCACCTTGAAATCTGCTTGGAAAATGATGCTGTGGCTGCAGAAGCACTAACATATAATGCTACCAGTCTTCCATCCCATCAAAAAGAGGGATATACTAGTTCAGAGGTTTTCAACCTTTTTCAGTCCATGGCTCCCTTGACCAGTTATATTCTTCCTGCCCTGTGGGGCTCAAGAGCCCAGTAATGTCACCCCTTGCCTGCAGAGCTGGCAGCCTCTCACCCTTTTTCAAACATGTCCCTTGTGGAGTGTTCCCTGAGCCTCCTCTCCCCTCTCCTTGGGAGTCCTTTAGGCAGCAGCAGCTGCTGCTAACCCTGGTCTCTGAGCCTCCCTGAACTGCCCCACAGGGGCCTGGGAAGCACCCCCTGGTCAGCCCCAGAGGCAGCATTCACCTGGGGAGCTTGTAGCCAGGGCTGCTGCAATGAACAGCTGTGCAAGCCTTTGGGAGGCAGATGTGAGAGAGCATCAGAGGAGGGAGGGAAGGAAAGAAGGACAGAGGCCAGTGTTGCCCGCGGCACCCCTGACCATCATTCAAGACACCCCAGGGTTCCACAGCACACTGGTTGAAAACCAATGTACTCGTTAGTCACTAAAGGCAACTACATGCAGAGCATATTGCAGTCATTCCTCTTACATTACAATGGCTGGTTTGTATCCAAAAAGTCTGAGTGTAACCTTCATACCAAATCCAAGTTGATGAAAAGCACTCATATTTCTGAAACCTAAATTCTTTGCCAAGTTATCAACCTAACCTAATTAAAGTGAGTTTTCAGGATGAATAAAATATAAATTGCAAGGTACCCACTGCACTAAAAACTGCAGATCGTAGTTAATAACTATGATCCTTGGGCTGCAAAGGTTACCTTAAAAGAAATAATAGAATCATGGAATTGTAGAGTTGAAAGGAACCATGAGGGCAATCTAGTCCAACCCCTGTAATGCAGAAATATTTTGTCCAACATGGGGCTTAAACCCACAACTCTGAGATTAAGAATCTCATGCTCTACTGACTGAGCTGCAGTGATCTTTCAAGCAGCATTAAATATTTCCTTGTTGGTGTATTTTTTAGTGAAATATACTTTCAATCATCTTAACTTTGATTCCTGACATAATCATTTACTGAATGCATGTATCTCTGCAAATTTAACACACACAGCTAGTTATAAATAGGTTCCGCTGTGGGCATTTTTTTGCTTGTATAACAAAATTCATCAGCTGATTTTAGGCGAACTGACTTCCTCCTGTAAGAAAAGCATTAACTTAAAGGCTATACAAGAGGGTTGGAGTATCCACGCAAAACCGCTTAACTTAAGTGTCACCTATACTGTGCAAGCTCCCCTGCACCAAAATTTTGAATTATGGCTCAAGCTACTATGTTAAGTACAAACAAATGTTATAGCAAGTGAGAAAACACTAATATACTAGAATGGAGATTGGGAATCTTTTTCAGACCAAAGCCTGCATTCCTTCATAGACAACCTTCCAGGACCCATATGCCAGGAGTGAGAGGGGCCAGAGACAAAAGTTGGTGGGGCAATTTATTTATCATAGTTGTTAGTTACTCTTTTCATGGAAGGATCCAAATAAACTTACATTGAAACCAATTAATAACATCCAATAACAATCTAACAACACAGCTACACAGATAAAGCAGATAGGGACTAACAGATCCCACCACAATGCCCTCCTTCAAACAATGTTATAAACTCAGATATAAAAGCTAATCGCCAAACGACACCTTAAACCTAGGCTACAGTCGCCATAAAAGAATGTCTAGGCACCATTTCTCCCCCAGCGAAATTTAGTATTAATACTATTCATTTCATTTCTATAACACTTTCTACCTTAATGAAAAAAATTCTCAAAGCAGTTTACAACACATGGAAACAACAAATAAAACAATTCAGAATAAAACAAATTCAATCTTCAAGGAAAATATTTCAGATCCTTCTCTAAGTAACATTTTGCTTTCCCCATATTTATGTACCTACTTAATTTATATAGCTGCCCCATAGTAGAAGTCTAGGAAGTCAGGGTGGTGTAGTAGTCAGGGTGTCGGACTAGGTCCTGGAAAATCAGGGTTTAAATCCCCACTCAGTCATGTAGCTCACTGGGTGACCTTGAAGTCTGTCACAGTCCCTTAACCTACCTTACACGGTCGTTGTAGGGATTAACTGAGGAGCAGGTGGACCATGTAGTCCTTGGAGAAAAAGGTGGGATATGAATGCAGTAAATAAGCTCTTCAGCTTACCTGCCTAAGAAGGCTGGAGGGGCCAGACAGATGGAGATGTCAGTCGCCAACCTGGCATCCAGAGATCTCCACATGGTCGCAACTGGACCAATGCCAGTCACAAAACACACCTGGTGCCTGGAGTACAGTGGTGCCTCGCAAGACGAAATTAATTCGTTCCGCGAGTTTTGTCGTCTTGCGATTTTTTTCGTTTTGGAAAAGCTTCAAAAATCACCAAAGTCTTTAAAAACCTCAAAAAAGGCTACCACACCGCGTTCTATGAGTTGCTCCTCGAAGTCAAGTCGCAACTGTATTAACGGTGTTAAGAAAAAGGAAACAAACTTGCAAGACGTTTCCGTCTTGCGAAGCAAGCCCATAGGGAAAATCGTCTTGCGAAGCAGCTCAAAAAACAAAAAACCCTTTCGTCTAGCGAGTTTTTTTGTCTTGCGAGGCATTCATCTTGCGAGGTACCACTGTATTTTGAACACTGTCTTCAAATTAAGGGCCAAACACCCAGATAAAGAGAAAACGTCTTTGCCTTGTGCCCAAAAATAAAGACGATACCAGTTGTGTCTCCCTAGGGATAGCATTCCACAAGTGTGAAGGGGCCACTACTGAAGAGACCAAGTAGTTTTTACTTTTATATAGTAGGCTACATGTGAGCCACACAAAAGTCAAAGGTTTCTACACACTACCCCCATCTCTACATCCAGGCAAGCAAAAGGCAGAGTCACAGCTCAAAGACACATTCTTGTCAGGCAAAAGCTCTTGAGGAGTGTGCAGAGCAGTCAATGTGTGCTGCAGCTTTGAGAGAAGGCCTGTTTATGGGTCTAGCCTGGGGAGAGTCCCAAGGGCCAGTCCCAGAGGTCTGAAGGGCCACATTCAGTCTCTGGGACTGAGATTACCCAACCCTATACTAGAACAAGATTTGAGTGGTGGGAAGAGAGAAAATATTAAAATGCAAAGTTATTTCTTGTCCCATTCCAGCACAATTCCCTACATGTGGTTCAATGTTAAGGATGATCCATCAAAGTCAGTTGTTGGACACTTACTGCCTACAGAGCCTTCTGCTACTCCCAGAGTTCCCTGGATTGGGGCCAACATACTTACTTAGGTCCAGTGTGCCAAGCAGTCGCCTTCTGTTGAAAACCAACACCATTTCCCAACGGACATGGTGACCTCTGGGATTCAACCTGTCACCTCGTTAAAGGCTTTTCCCAGGCAGCGGAGGGGGAGGGAGAGAAAAACGGCTTGAGCGAAGCCCCCCCTCCCAATTTCTCGTGCAGCAGCTACTGACTCCAAGCTACACACACATCCCAAATGGGCCTCGTCTAATGATGTCAACCACTAAGAGGAGTAACGCGCCGTGTATTCACCAGAAAGCCCGCTTCCAAAACAGACGGTTGAACGAAGCCAACCTGGCGCCGCGTCTCCATCGGGGAGGAAAGGATCCGGCAGAACCTGCAAAAGCGGCAGCCCAGACGCCCGTCGAGAACGAAGACGACTGGCAGACCGGGCTGCCTGGCAGGAGAGCCGCTTCCACTTCCCATTTTGTAACACCCTCCGCCCCCCCCACCCAATGGAAAGACACCTGCGCAGGATCCTTCCCTCGGGGGGCAGCCCCAGAAGCCCTCACGGACCCACCACACCCACCAGGGAGCCTGGTCTCTCTTCTCAGGCGCCGCTGCCTCGCCTCAGCCCCCACCGAGCTCCTTCCTTCTCCCCCCCGCCGACCGGCCTCCTCTTCCCCCTCCCGACACTCATTCAGATCCGAGCCGAGAGAGGAAGAGAGGCGCCCTCCCCTTCGCCTCCCGCGCACCAACCCCGCTTCCGAGACCGACACTTACCAAGGGAAACTTCTCCCTGCCCGGCCGGGGGGCGCTGCTACTCGGTCCCCCCAGGCCGGCTTCAAACACTGCCCTCACCCGCTCCCTACGGTTCGAATCAACAACAAGATGGCGGCGCCGGGAAGGTGGGCATTCTGCCGTCATAGCAACCGTGTTGTCCAAGGTCCGCCTTCCTAGGAGGATAATCCAATCACGTACCGATGTGTTCCTGGCGTTGTGCTGCTCCTCATTCTGATTGGATGGTGTAATCGTCACTCTTCTTAATTCTCCACACCTCCTTCGGCAGGAACCCCCGTCTTCAGTTTTCCGACGCACGCTGCGCAAACGTGACGCAACCATCCTCTTGTGGAGGGGCGCTTTTCTATTGGCTAACAAGTCATGGCCTATCAACCAATTGAAGAAGCCTTTCACTGCTAATCTCTACCTCCACCTTGAGGCAGCTCTTTCAGGACCTGACCTCTGCTCTTTCCATGGAAAGTGGTTCCTAGATTACCTTTCTATAACTTAGTTTCTGACCCCTGCCGCCACCTTTATCAGTGAACACACGCTTTTGCTATTCTACTAAGTCTGCTCTTATCCGGAATGTGATTGAAGGCCTGCCCTCTGACCTTACCTTACCAGGAAGCTTGCAGCAAGCGTGTTAACACCCTATATTTTTCACACACCCCATCCTTCCACACTTAATCTACATCTGACAAAAAAAGAAAACTCAGCACACTTAATTTCTAAAACGCTTAATCTGTTTGCCCCAGAGAGTGCCCCAATCCCCACTTTGCAGGATTGCTTTATTACCATTTTTTTATTTTTACAAATTTCCATTCAAGTCTGGAATGATTTGGAATGGAGACAGATGGTCATTTTAAATAAAACTTATTGCTCAAAGTGTGTCTGTGTTGCACCTCTGCCTCTGGTTGTGCAGATTTTGATATTATTTGAAAAACCTGCAAACCCTGTTTGACCAAAAGAGGAAAAAAGAGGAAAAATATACATGTGCTTTTATAATAGGAAGGGATGCCTCCTTCAGACTTGTTTTTTAAATTCTGCTTTGTTCCAGCACTGCAGAATTTAATCCCTTTGTCCAAGGACAGCTACACCCACCTTCTCACTGATTAGTTGTTGCTAATTCAGACAAAGATAAGACTGAGGGAGGTTTTCAGAAACCCATGGCCTTCAGTGATGTGAACTGCTGGTATTATTTGAGGTCAGTATTAAGGTACCCATATTATTTGGGGACAGTATTAGGGTACGCATATTCTCTATGCTCTTACTTTACAAAGATAAAGGACCCCTGGATGGTTACCGTAAGTCCAGTCAAAGGCGACCATGAGGTGCGGCACTCATCTCGCTTTTCAGGCCAAGGGAACTGGCATTTGTCCTGTGCTGTAGCACACATAAAGTGGGACATTCTGGGATCAAATCAGAAAACCAAATGACTTTTCTAAATCAGGGATGTCCCTGGAAAATAGGGATACTTGGAGGGGCTGTCATACTAGAATTTGGGATGCCAGAATTTGGGTCCCATTCAAATGGAAACATTATTCTGAAATCACAGGCATCTTTGCTGTTGCAATTACATCTACATTCACTTGCCAAGTGTTTTTCACGTGTCTGACAAAGTAGGCACTGTTCCATGAAAGCTTATGCCGCAATAGTCTTTGAGATGTCACAGCAATCTGTTGTTTTCACAATGGTTCCCACTCTTGAATTTATATTTCCAACACCACAGCACCAAGCACTCTCTATTTTTGCTACAGCTTTATTCCTGTAATGTTTCAACACTCTCGGGTCAAACCATATCATGTGTACAATATGTTAAGCCCATTGCCCCCTTCCCAACCCTCTCCCTTACACAGGATTACACATGGCTTGGTAAAAAAACCATAGTAAATTACATAACTTGCCCAGAAATAACCACCATCTCATGCTAACTAGAAGTGGAAACAGTCTACCAAAAATTTACTAAAACCTCCAAACATAAAACTAGATGTATTGTTGAGAGTAGGTACCTTTTCAATTTATGTGGATTCCTGTACCCAGATTGCCTGTACAGTGTAGGTATGCAAATTACATTGCCAATACTAATTCTGTAAATTGCCGTCATCTACAGTGGATTAGTATATAAGGTTAATATTCAGCCAATGCAAATCTTCCCCGTTTCAAAACATTTGTGGCCCCCCATGTCCTTTTTATTGCACGTTTCTGATGATTTGTGCCCATTATGCTATTGGGTTGGCCATATGTACTTCTGGTTTCAATACTGTTTGTGCCTGCAAAAGTTTTGGGGAGGTCACACTGCTTCATTTCCAGTCTGTGCATGTCTTGTAGCATCTAGCTGAAGACCTGTTACTTTTCATACTACATTCCTGTATGATGGGGGGGGGGTTGGCCCATTGCACTAGAGTGCCCTTCTAGACAATAATAGTGTAATAACACTGGGGAAGCATAAAAAAACTAATAAAGTGGAATGTTGTGCCAAACAAAAATTCACCACTAAAGCACTGTTACTGTGTTTACGCCATGTTGCAGAATACACCTGCCCCAAACCTGCTCTAGTCTGCAGAGGTCCTATGTGACTCTGCCCCAGGGTGTTCACAGCTTTCTAGCCAGTAGGGTGTCTTACAGCTTGGCAACTTAAGATCAGTGAGGAAAAAGAGAAATAGGGAATCTATGCCAGGTGGCCTCTGCTCAGCAGAGGTTTTGAGCTCTAACTTCTTGTTCCATTGCACTGCTCTTATGTGTGAGAGACGAGTGTGTGGTTCTGCATAGCTAATGCAGAAACAATGGGGGCTTTTTGAAACTAACTGGAACTAAAAAAACCTGCTTCCAGCTTTCACTTCTCTATTGAAGCTCTCATTTATTTGTCATTCTGGGGTAACCAAAGGTTATACCTGTGGTTCCCATGGCCCAGCTCACCTTACCTCAGCCAAGAGAATTTAAAAGGGAAGACAGATACACAAATGGGGCATCCTGATGTTATAGAAATGTCCCTGCAATAGAGCTGTCAGCAGATTAAGGTGTCCTTCTTTGATCAACTCTCTGTATGTAACAAATGGGAGTGATTAACTGGTTTACTAAGTGTCATTGAACACTCTTTAACATTCCAAATGCCATCCTCTATACTGTATATAACACATTAGTAATCAATCCTTGCAGTTGTATGCTTCATGGGAGGGTGTCCAAGTTTCTTCTGACCTGCCTCACACATGAAAATTGTTGTCAGTGTTCAGTGTGGTTTGATGGTAACATGTGTCATCAAAATTCAGGAAACATCAGGGTGCACAAAATAATATGATGCTCTCAATACCACACATGCCAATTTAGGGCATTTTGTTCAGGGAGCTCGGTCAAGAGACAATGGTTCATTTGATGTTAAGGGCAAGCCACAAGGCTGGCTCCAAGTTGGGGTGGGGTTTTTTTTGGGGGGGGGGGGAAGCTATTAGGAAAGACGCACCCAATAGGCTCTGCTCTCCCCCTCCCCCTCTTATTTTAAAGATAACATCTTAGCTCTTCTTAGAACATAATGGAAACGCACAAGTTTAGAACTTGCTCTTTGGCCTGTTAACCTCCCTACCCCTAGTATCAGATATTTTGGAAATGGTTGTGCTAACTTAGTGGTTAGTCAAAGAAAGGCTTTCTATACACAATCAAAGGCACATCCTTTATTATGGCACAATTTTCACAGAGAACATAAGAACACAAGAGCCCTGCTGGTTCAGAACAAAGTTCTAGAGCAGGGTAAGAAACAATGGTAGCAACCCAAGTTGTCAGATCTTGAAGTTTATCAGATGAAGACTAGCCAGGAGGAAAACAGCTTGCCAGTGGAGAGGCTCTTAGAGGCTTCTCTGATTCCCCAGGAACGCGCACAAGTCAATATAAACAATTAGGGGCACATGATAGGAAAGGCTAGTTGCCAGTGCAACATAAACAGCAGGTAACAATTTGTTATATGTATATGTAAATAACAGTATTGGTGCTGTGCAGAAAACCCTGTTTCTCCTTTTTATCTGTGTACACCTGTGCCTCGCTCCTAAAGATGGAATAGGGCATGCTCACACCCAGCGCCGTGCTCCAGTGCTGCTGTCAAACAGGTAATATTGGCCAGTGACTAGGGACATAAAATAAGGAACAACATTAGGCCTTTGTCCAGTTTAGCTCCACGTCCCCATCCTTTGCCTTCTCCATCTGCCCAACAACAATCCCACACTGCACACCCGCACTGTCTCTGCTTCAATACTTCTAGCCTGTTTTCTGCAATGGTTTCATTCATGCCTGATTTTGTATGAAATAATTTTTTTAAGCTACAAACGTGGAGGTTATAAGTGGCCTTGCTCTGTGGCATCTGCAGTTCATACCTAGCATTTGTTTCATTTGGAACCTTCAAACTTCCCAGTCCAGAGTCATGGCATCCTACAGGCATCTACACAGCCTGATAATATCATTAGACCCACATGGTTCTCAGTCTGTCATCCTTGCCAGAGAGCCAGTTATAGATTGTGGATTCGCTGACTGCTGTGACATGCAATCTTTCTGTCTTATTGCAGATCCAGGTCATCAAGCCTGAGCTTTCACAGCCACCAGCCGCCATGAACCACCATTGGCAGGATTGGCAGCAACAGCAGCAGATATGTTCTGTGCTTATGATAATATTTCATGCTCCTGCTAATTATGCTGTTTTAATTGTGCATTTTATATGTGACTTCCTTTAGCAAGGTTTTATTTTGAATCTTATAAGTTAATATTTTAGTTTCCTGGTCATTATGCTGCTTTGAATGTATGCTTGACTTTCTTCTGTAATATTTTATTCTGGATTGTTTTATTTGATGTTTTAATGTGGGTTGTAAACCGCTTTGAGATTTTTTTGTTAAAAATATAAAATGGTTTCTCCTGAAACCATGCCCACCTCTTAAACAGGTGGCATCATCCTACTAAGCAGCTGGCATCAGCTGATGAATGGGGGAAATTGATCCCTAAAGAAGCAGGACTGAACCACCCACTTTTCAGCTGCTGAACTGCAATGGTATGGCTGCATGTGCCTGTTCCTCATGGGAACTGATGTGTACAGTTGGTTCCTTCAGAAAGCAGGATTGGCTTCCCCAACATCAGTTGATATGCAAAGAGGTCAGTCCTGCCCAGTTCAGATATGCACCCAATCCCTGCAGAAAGCAAAATTGCTGAGGTGTGGGGAGGTCAACCCTGCACTCTTCCAATGCAGGAGGTTGTGGCATTATTGCCCCTTTAAGACTGGTTTATGGGAATGGGTTAGAACCTCAGAAATAATGAGCTTACATACAGCTGTCTCCCGTTAGGGTTTCAAGGCCGGTGTCACAAGGTAATTAGGTGGAAGAGGTGAATGCCCACCTGTCAACTATCCAACAGTATGATGATGTCATGTGACTGATGGGTTGCCCTACTCACCTGTCAAAGTTGGTCTTTGGTGTTGAGTACAGAGAAGGATCTGGCCCACACAATCTAAAAGGGTTGTGTTATCACCTATATGCTAATGAAATCACGGCATGGCCGTTCTTTCAATGACATGAAAAAACTAATGTGCATGTCGCATTGATTGCTTGATGATTGATAAACTGACTGAACTGCTATACTGTCCCTATGCAGCTTGAGAGTGCTTTGAAACAATTATTAAACAATGGAGAATGAGCTTACCAGGATCCTGGGCACGACCATCAAATTGGAGTTGCTACAGCAAGAGAGGAAGAGAAACAGATGAACTAACGTTATAATCGTAGTCCCAACCTTGGGTACCAAGGGCAAGGAGCACTATGAGGGAAGGAAAGCTGCTTTTGAACTGAGCATTTCACCAAGTAGGCAGTCTGCACATTACTGGATCCCAATGGACACAAGACATGCCAGGCTCTATGTCATGCTCTATGGATTGTACACTGTTAAAGCAAGTATGGTTGGCCACAATCTAGAAACAGTAGCACACAGCATAAAATCCCTGACAAACTCATGGCCCCATATCAGTTTAGACCACTCTCTCCCAACTTGGTGCCCTCCAGATGCTTTGGACTGTAACTCCCATCACCTCTCATCACGGGTGATGCTGGCTAGGGCTGATGGGAGTTGTAGTCCAAAACATCTAAAGGGCACCAGGTGAGGAAGGCTGCTCCACACATGGAAGTGCAGAATTGCCACAAGGCTGATTGCTGGTGACTGATAGCAGCCTGTAGAAGCAAGCTAAGTACAAACCAACTGGGGAAATTGAAAGTGGACTATGCCGTACCAGACTCAGTGCCTCAGTGGAATCTTTCCCTTTCTCCTTGCTTGGCTCTTCCATTGTGACATAATTTCTTTCCACTCCTTTGTCCCTACAGAATGAGAAATGTGGATCAGAAGGAACTCGGCATCCTTGTGAGAGTCCATCAAGGCTAATGGCAGACAAAGCAATAGTCTGGATTAATCATTAAGATGAAGCTCTGCTCCACTGCAGGGAGACCAGGCTGTGTTATTATTAGGCTTAGCCCTCCCAAATCTGCCCAATTAACTCTGCCAGCAGCATCTATAGTGAAGGCTTTGGACAGCCGAGAGAGGCCCATTCTTGAGAGCTGCATAGGCCTTCAGTCTCTTGCTGGCAAAGGAAATTGTAGTCACCCTATTGCTTCTGATACCTTAAGGCTGGATACAGGAGTTATAAGAGCTTATCACTGAGAGTGACTGTATTTGACAGTGAGCACCTCACACAAGTTCAGGAGAATTCAAACTTCCCTGTTTGATGAAAGAGACAGAGAGAAAAAGAGAGATAAAACAAGATCCCATAAAGCTGTGAAACCAGGCTCAAAAATATGCAGAACAATGTCTGGCGAAACTTAAAAAGCTGGGAGGCGTGAGGAAACTCCGTAGATTTCCTCACAGCCATATGGTGAGGCTTTGGTGCCCAGCATAGCTCATTATGTTTCTCTCCATGACCGGGAGAAGCAGCAGAATGATGGCAAATGAGCAAATTTAATGAATCTGCATAAAGCATAAGGAGTGATATAATTTGTTTTTCTTAGTGCAGTTTTCGCATTGCTAAATTGGCACAGAATTTTGACAGTCTGTATTTGCTGTATATACATAAAGTTCCTGAATGTTGAACAAACTATGAAACCCACCCCCCACCATAGCAATGACATCAGCTGGGCCCTTCCAAGTAGTATGTGGTCAGTGGCTGTTATAACTCCATCTTCTTAGCTTCAGCTCATATCTGTACTTCCTACAAGACTTTGCCCCGTAAGACAGACCCTTCCAAGGGGTGGGATGGCTAGCTGGGGTCTCAGCCCATGTGAAGCCTCTAGAGGGGCGCTACTGAAGAAAATCTCCCCCCCCCTGTCTGTTTTGGGAACTGTTTGTGAAAGAGAAATCCTGAAGGAGGTTGCTCTCCAAGCAAAGATGAAAGGGGAAAGTTTTATTGCTTTCTTCTTTTGCTTCCCCCAACAACTCAGATATCAATTAAAAGATCTCTGTGTGTGTGTGTGGATCTAAAGGACAACATACATGTTTGCACCATGTGAATACATAAAGAGGGCACTGCTGCATACAATCAGCTATAAAAACTGAGTCCTCTTCATACTGCAAATAAAATTGATTAATTAGAGTTTTTATGGAGCAGTCAAGTAATTTCGTTGTCCCCGAAGGGGGCAATGACAATAAAGATATTATTATTATTATTATTATTATTATTATTATTATTATTATTATTAAAAAAATACCTGCAATGGAAGAAATGTGATGCTGGCATATGAAGCACTTTGTATTTATCCCTTCCTGTAATTTGGAAGGAAAATGTAGCCAATCCACTTTAAATTATTTAATTGCAATGGTTCAGCATCCAGCATATTTTTAAGGAAACTTGTGGAGTATTTATTCTTTTATTTCACTATTTAGAACCTTGAACTGCAAGTCTTTACTACTCAGAAGTCCCACTGAATTCAATGCAGCTTACTCCCAGTAACTGTGATTGCAGTCTTATACTGCAATCTTAAGCATTTTTACTCAGAAGAAGTAAGTATCACTGAGTTCAATAGGGCTTACTCTCTGGTATGTGCCCAATCATTATCACAGCTTCCGTTGTTGCTGTTGTTATATCATACAGTCATAATACTTCTTATAATTCCTCAAATGATCTATTACTCTCTGAGGAGATCTACTTAAGGCTGAATGAAAGCCAGATACACACACAGACAATTTTACTATTTGGAGAGATTCTCTCTTCTCCAGCCTCTTTCAAACTACTTTTTATTCCCTTTATGAAGAAATGTGTTGAGGGTGTGTGTGTGTGTGTGTGTAGGGGTATGTGGGGGTATGTGACAAACTGGGTCTTTGACCCGAGTAACAGAAAGCCTAGTTTCGGCCCTGTCCAAGTAATGCCATGAGAATCAACACTCCCCCAAGTCGCACAAGGCTCTGTGTCATGGACAGGGGTTCTTACTTGTTCTGCAGTAGGGGCTGAGATGTCTCTCCTGGTGGTTTCCTGAAATACAAACAACAGTGAGAGTTCTGAGAATGTACTTAGCAAGCCAAAATGTTCCTTGAGCTCAAGAGGGCACTGATCTATGGGACCAGATCAGGCTCTTTCTTGCTAAAACGATTGTTCATATTTGGTTACAGATTCGACAGGTCCCCTTCCAGAATATGCCTGGGTAACAGCCACTGCTAATGAAGATCTCACTGACATCAAAGCTGAGTCAGGAATTGATATGAAATAAGGTATGGATAGAGAGGTTTCACTGGAAACTCACCTCCAGCAGAGTCGCCAGAACAATAAACCCAAGGCAGAAAGGAGGAGAGCTCCAGTGAGCGTAAGAACCACCACGAACCAGGGATCTGGTGCCCAGTACCTCAGAGTTCTGTGCAAAGTGATGGGCTCCTTGGGCACCGTCTGAAATCAAAACAACATAAATCTAGTATGCAGAACCACACAAGCTCAAGCTTGTCAGGCTCCACTTGAGAAAGCCCATCAAGTCATTGGAACTAGTGGAATTATTCAAATCTAAACCTTCCCATAATTTTCTCTCAATCTGTTCCTTCATCAATGTGTGGGGATGTTCTTAACCTGTAGTAAGAGGCTACTGGACTAACTAAGCCCTTCTGACCTGTTGACAATGTACTGAATATTTTTTCCAGCATGGCATGCAGTGAAATAGATTTATTCCCAAATTATGATTAATGGAGGCTGCATACCCATGTACCCATGTTCTTAAAAGCATTTTCACTTGAACCTGGGAGCTGCTACTACTGACTCACGGGAATAGTCTTCCAAAATATTTACCACAGCATTCTGCACCAATAGAAGCTTCCAAACCGTCTTCAAGTACAACTCTTCATAAAGTGTGTTATTATGAGGATGAAGTAAGATGTCCCATACTCATGAATGCCACTCTCAGCTTGGGCACTCTAGCAATTGTTTCATCACTTCTGCTCTGAAAAAAAGTCCTGGAACTGTGTGTTCTCCGTTCTCACTGCATTGCAAATAATCAATGGATCTCTTTCAGTGACTACTCAGACACACTGAACAGTAAAGAGGTAAAGGTGGACTCTTGCTATAGTCCATGCAATAATTGCAACTCAGCAGAGCTAGCAGCCATCCATTACTACTCTGAGATCACACAGTCACTAATTTCAATTTCCAATTTCTAATTCCAATGTCTAATTTCGGATGATCCAGGTGGCTTTCAAATGCTGTCAAATTCAAATTCAAGGTGTCAAATGCTGCTAAAAGGTCAAGACATATTAGGAAGGTCGCATTCACCTATAAATGGAACTTATTAAGTGACTTATTAAGCTACCATAATGCAAGCAAGCATCCTATAGCAGACACACTTCATAGCCCAGGGAAAGAGCTGTGGATCTAGGGGCACTGGTGCAAGTGTGACTACTCCTGTGAATCAGATTGACTCAAGGCTTCCTGGCAACAGCATGTCCTTATCTGCCCCCTCACCGTGGTGGTGGTGGTAGTAGTAGGCACTGTCGTGGTCCAGGGAGTCACGTAAACGAGAACGGTGGCGGTGGTGCTGAAGTGAGGTGTGCTCCCACCGTCTGTCACTTCCACCAGCAGCTCAAAAGTGAGGGGGTCAAAAATGCCAGGACGGTCATAGGAGAAGGCATTATGGAGCATACAATTTCCATTCATGCGAAAGCGCCCATTTGTGTTGCCTGAAAAAGAGGGAGAGGAGCACATCTACACTGCAAACCTTACTTACATCAGCTGTATATCACTTTAACTTGTTTTGGCTTCCCCTGAAAGAATCATGGGAATTGTAGTTTTGTAAGAGTGTAAGGAGGTCCATTTGAGCTCCAAAGCCTGCTTCACATAACTACAGTTCTCAGGATTCCCTAGGACAGTGGTATAGCGCACTTCAGAATTTAAGTGCAGGCACTCATTATTTGCTGTCATAGACTGGGGGCAGGGGATGCATTGCCATGACACAAAGTAGAGTCTAATTTTTTTTGCAACTGTGCTGATTTATTTATAAACAGCATACAGAGCAGCAGTTCAAAGCCCAATACCAGTTTATTAGGATAAGTGTGACTGTACACCTATGCATAATTACCTGGGAGTGAACTCATGGGTGCTTACTGCATAGGTGTAACTTGTAAAACACATCTGAGCTAAGATGTAACTTTTAGTTTTCCATTGTGAATGCAAACAATCTGTCTAAATTGTAACCATTTACCTGCTAATGTGAAGTAGGAACCTACTCAAAGAAAAAGAAAGAAGTATGTAGCCTCTGTGAAATTATTTTCCTCATTCTCTGATCTCCTCCACGGTGATCTGTCAAACTTGAAAACCTCATTAGCACCTAGTCCACTTGGCAGAGCAATGAGGACTAGCCAGTTATTCCTGGCACTCTGGCAGGTTATGCCATTGCTCCAGCTCTGAAAGAAGCTCCAGAACTATGCATTCCCTCCTTCTCTACACCACTGACCTGAGGAGGAAGGACTATTAAACCATTAAACCTGCTTAAGTGTATGGTGCACACTCAGTATTTGCCATCAGAAATACAACCTAGAGCGGTCCCTTGCTGCCCTCTTTGCATAGGCTTGCACTCTCAGGCAGACCTTCTCATGTTTTCTGCTACTTCAGTTCTGCCTTGAGAGTTCTAGCTTCAGCACACCATTAAGTTCCTGTTTCCCTCCACTGACGGCTATCTAGCTCAACCAGTAGCCCATATCTGCTAAATCCACCTCTGTCCTTCAGCAGCTTCATTCAAGAGTTGGAACCAAAGAATGTCACTGTTTAGGGCAGCCTCTTTGTTGCCTATTCCCCAGGGCTCTGCCTCAGCCATTCCATACCTCCAACAATCCTGTAGGCGAGCTCACTTCCTTCATTCTTTTCTGTGCATTGCAGGCTAGTGACACATGCAGTACTTGTGGAAAGTATGAAACTCTGATAAAAGGGTGGATTACACACAGGGGGCTCATCATTTATATCCTAGGAGCAAGGAAAGGGGTCGTGTTTATCGACACAGAAGTCCTGAAAAGGATTGTTCCCAAACTCCCATCTCCCAATTATCACCGGTGCTCCAAGAAGCAAGGTTCCATGCAAGGACCCCTTCATGTGCTGGGCTTCTCACATTGCCCGAAGTGTTAAGAAGCAATTATAACCCATGCTTCTGCAGAGTGAACCAAGCAACAGCCAAAAGATGACATAGAGCAGGTGTCTACAGAACACAGCACTTGATTTTGGCAGGAAAGGGTTTACTTTCTGCAATTTCATTTCCCAAAGTTAATTTCAGATTCTGCTCGGGGCCAATGAAAGAATAATTTAATGTCTTGAATGCTAGGGCCTCGGTGGGTTGATCATTTCATCACCCATAAAACTACCCATTGGCACCAAGGGGAGCTTCCCTTTTGGGGAAAAAAGCTGTTTTGAGGACCATTGATATCCATTAGGACTATGACTCAGGAAGAAACAATTAAGCAACTTTCACTGTATACTGAGGTCAGGATCCTGAGCAGGCTGTTAACAGCTGCTGTATGTACTGCAGTTTTATCTTTATTTTATTTTTTAAAAAATTCCAGTTTTTCAAATTTTAAACAATAACCATCAAATATTATTACATACACAATTATTTACACTTCCCTATTCCCCTTCCTTGGTTTTTTATACAAACATTTTCAAACTGCATTTCCTCCTTAACTCCTTTTATTTATTACTGTCTATATTTCTTCCAAAGTCACCTTTTAATTGCTAGATTTTAAATTAATCCTGCCAAGGTATTTAATTGTTTACAATATTTTTATCTCTCCCATTCTTTACTGAAGATTCTTTCTTGCTGTATGTAGTTTTAAAAGATTCATGTGACACCAAACTACTCATATAAAGTCCCCTGTAGTTCAGGTGTTCGTTACAAGCACCTACAGCCATTCACTAGCTTTCTCTGCCCTGCCTGCTGCAGCTCCTCACTCCCTCAGATTCCAAAGTGTTGCTCCTACTACAATAAAGGATTGTCTTCTTATAGATATGGTGCGGATATTCAGTGCTGGATTTACATATAAGCTAAACAAGCTATAGCTTAGGGCCCCACTCCCTTGGGGGCCCCCAAAAAATTTAAAGGAAAAAAACCACTGGATGTACATTTCCAAAATATAATATATAAAACAAATAAAACCTACATACAGCAACAGTGTTTTGTGTTGTGCATGGACCTATTAGGTCCATAAATTACCATATAGCATATATTCAACACAAAAAACGGTGACAATTTGTTGTTGACAAAAGACAGCTGGACATATAAAGGGCCCCATTACCTTCAGTAGCTTAGGGCCTCATCAGATTTAAATCCGGCCCTGTGGGTATTATGTGGCACTTGTAAAAAGTGCCGATTCTGCCAATCAAAGTGGTTGAGTGGACACATGTGGGGTAAGGTAATCTCGTAGGTGACCTAGTCCCACTCAAAGCTTTGCAACAACCTCACTCTACTCACCCACCTGCCAAGTCCAGTTACCTGCACATTAATGGTGATGTTACACAGACTCGGCTTCGACAATTCAGGATTTATGCCATTATCAAAGTCCCTTAGCTGGATGACCAAATGATATGACTTCTGCTTTTCATAATCCAGTGGCCCCAACACATAGAGCTCACCTGTGCCACAAAGATAAAATTGTGCATTTATACTACAGTGGTACCTCGGGTTACATACGCTTCAGGTTACATACTCCGCTAACCCAGAAATAGTGCTTCAGGTTAAGAACTTTGCTTCAGGATGAGAACAGAAATTGTGCTCTGGCGGCACAGAAGCAGCGGGAGGCCTCATTAGCTAAAGTGGTGCTTCAGGTTAAGAACAGTTTCAGGTTAAGAACGGACCTCCGGAACGAATTAAGTACTTAACCTGAGGTACCACTGTACTTTGTAATAACGGCCACTCCCAGGTCCATATTCACAACTGCCAAAGCTGAATCCCCACTTCCATTCTTCCACCCCTTTGATGTGAGTATGGTAGGTACGGTAGTTAAAAGGGTGTTAAATGATCTGCTTGAGATGATATTGAGTATGGGCCTTGGGAAAGTAGAAGGCAAAGTGTTGTGAAGCATGGGCCATTATTCCCTAGCAAAATCCTCTGGAGTTCTCTAGGCTGACGGGATCAGTCCCAATCTGGGTGTGTGTGAGAGGGAGGAACCTTCATCTAAATCAAAATGCAAGAAAGCCCAATTAAGTCAAGAGGTGAAGAATAAACCCAGACAAGTGGTGTGTTATATAAAACCAGGGAAGTAGGGCTAAGAGCAGGTGACATAAATTTACCTGGATACATCATACAGGATTCCAACCCCTTTCCTTACCTGAGCGACGGCCAATGTAGAAAACAGAATCCTCTGAACCCAGGATGCTGTATATTATGTTGTTGAAAGGATAGTCTCGGTCAGTGCCATTGATGCTGCCAATGAAGTATCCAAAGCCTACATTCTCTGGGACACTAAAGAATTGCCTTGAGCACTCTGGTTCGTATTCATTCACTCGGCTTACTGTCACCAACACCTGCACTGTGGCTGCAGGGGACAGAAACAAATCTGAGAAGCCTGCTTGACTAGGGACACTTTCAGACTATTTTACAGGCGAGATTCAATCACATACTGGCAAATTCAAGTTGCACAGCTACAGTTGATTTGGTGCTCTTGCACAACACCTCCCCCATCCCTGGGGAAAAATCCTAGATTTTTTGTGGTAAGGAAAGTGATGTGGAAATGCACTGGGAATTATGGGATAAATACTGCCTGATATGACATCATATAACCTCCCCATTAAAAAATCAGGGAGAATAGGTACTCAAGGAAGTGGATGTCATAGCAACTCCCCATATAATTTGTACAAACCAATCAGGATGCTCAATAAATATGGAAGCAAAATCTCGAGCTTCAGCAGGCGTTGGCTAAGCATTGGCTAGGAACTGAGAAACCAGGCTACATAACCATTAGCAAAATGCCCGGCTCAAATTGTACATGATAGCTGCAGGCTTGCAGGTTTCAACTTTAATTTAAACCCAGTTACATGTAACCAGAGGAAGTGGGGTCTGATTTTTCAAGCAAGAGAGATGTGTGAACACAGCACTGCATACCTGTCACTTACCTCCCTGCAGCCTCTCTTGTCAGGGTCTTTTGCCCCAGCTGGGAGGTAGCCCTTGCGTAGAGGGGCTCAATACAAACACCCCCCCCCATATACCTACCCCATTCACTTTAAAAACTGTCCCTCTAAACACTGCTTGAAATGTGATTGGGGCAGATCCAGATTTAAACCAATAGGTCGTCACCTTGTATGTAGTTTTAATTATTTGGTGATGGGCCGGAATCTGGTGCGGTATGGCTCTCACAACCACCCAGTCAAAGAGCTCACTGTTTTGTTCTTACAACCTGCCTCCGTGACCCTCATCTAGCCAGTTTATACACTTATATATTCAATGTTTGCAATTATCAGACATATTAACTGTCTATGAACCCATTGTGGATATCACATTTCTCTGCACATTCATTTTAACTGTTTTTAAAAATCTAGAAAAATTTCCGTACAATTCTCATGTTTGGGTGCTTTAATTATTTCAATTTTATTGGATGTTTGTCAGTTTGCTATTTGTAGTGTGAAGTATGTGTCCCTTTGAGGGTGGTCTATGCTGGGCTTTCTGTTTGATCCTCTGTTTATTTTTTGACACAGACCACATGCAGTTGTTGCTTGTCCATGACAAATTTGTTTAGTAACAGTCTGCCTTCATGTACCACAGAAGACGTTTGTGGGACTTCTTCTAAGGTCAAATCAGCCAACAACTGTAGTACATGACGGTAGTCAACAGCCCTGTAGTACATGACTTACATTTTCTCTATCAAGAAATATCAACACAAGTCATTATTATCTTCTTTATGCTATTGATAAAAGTATGATTATTTATCAACCAGCCACAAGTATAAGGGCAGATGATTTGCAGAATTTCTACAGCTGCTTTGAAAGTTTCCCTTATTGTTTAGCCATGACTTTTATGGTATACAATAATTGGTGGTTCTTATCTACCTGTACGCCCAGGACACAGTCAAATTAACAATAAGCACACTGATTTCAATGCAGAGTGGCAGGCATAGTCTTATGTCATGTTCATTGAATTCAATCAAACTTGAAAATACTTTGGTTGGATGGCACCTTTGGTTTTCAGTGGTAACCTGTTAACAAAGTTCATTGTTGAGCTACTACTTGGTTTGTTTTCAGTCAGGTTTTTACAAATTGTTCATTAACCAATGTGGTCAGGCAACTAAAATGTTCAACCTGGAGGCTTCTTCCAACATGTTTTCTTTATTGGAATGCTTTTGAAGGCACTTGGAAAATGTAACAGAAGGATTGGTCACTGTGTCAGTATTTGCTATTCTCTGTAGGGTTGTGGCAAATTAACGTTCACTACACTTTGTTGCCTCTTCAGGCTTGTGCAGAAGTGGAATGTGGATTGCAGCTTCACACAAACACATCCTTTCCTTGTTCAAACATCCCCAAAGGAAGAGATTGTTTGCAAATCTGTTTCTTTATTCCTAGTAGATGGCTGTATCAAGATGGGCCCACGATATGGGTGGCCAAGTCAGGTGAGGTGATACGGAGAGGCTACTCTTAAGAACAGAGCAAAATGGTACAATCAAGGCTGTTTATATTCTGTGATTCCACGTTTGCACTAAAGAAGCACAGAATGTGGTACTGGGCTCAGAATTTAGCACCCTAATGCTCTTACAGCACCAGCCTAACTATGACTACACAGAGGTAAGTCCTATTGAATTCAGTAGGGCTTACTCCTGGGTAAATAGGGTTAGGATTGCTGCCTTAGATTTCTTTTCTCTCTTTTTTTTTTTAATTAAGGGAGATTTCTAGTTCATCAGGCTACAAAGTACAGAATCATAGAGTGATAGAACTAGTGCTTCAAAGGTCATTAGTCCAACCCCTCAGCTGATGCAGGAAACTGTCTGCTACAGCATCCTGGACAGACGGCTAGCCTATAATGAAGGAGAGCCCATCACCTTCCAAGGCAACCTGTTCCACTGTCAGGTGGCTCACAGGGTGAAGAAGTTATTCCTAAAGTTTAATCTAAATTTTCTTTTATTGAAATTTGAACCCATTGTTCAGGTCCTAAGTCTCTGGAGCATCAGAAAACAAAATTGCTTCATCACCTATTTGACAGCCATTCACATAGTTGAAGATGGCTATCATATTGCCTCTGAATCATCCTCAAAGTGTCTGGTAAAAATCTCTGAAGCCAGAGCAGAAGCTGAGTAGAATTTGCAGTGGTCAGCAGCTGACGACAACAACAACAACTTGTTTTTTTTATCCTGCCCATCCGACTGGGTTGCCCCAGCCACTCTGGGAGGCTTCCAACAGAATACACAAAAACACAACTGAACATCATACATTAAAAGCTTCCTGATACAGGGCTGCCTTCAGATGTCTACAGAAGGTTGTATAATTACAGTGGAACCTCGGTTTTTGAGCATCTCGGAAGCTGAACAATTCAGAACCCAAACGCCGAAAACCCAGAAGTGAATGCTTCCGTTTTCAAATGCTCCTTGGAAGTCAAACGGCTTCTGAGGCATGTTTCTCCATTTTTGCAATGGAATTTGCTGACCGCCCATTGTGCCTCAGTTGTCGAGTGTTTCAGAAGTCAGATGGTCTTCCGGAAAGGATTACGTTCGACAGCCAAGGTTCCACTGTATCTCCTTGACATCTCCTGGGAGGGCATTCCACAGGGCAGGTGCCCCTACCGAGAAGGCCCTCTGCCTGGTTCCCTGTAACTTCTTGCAATAAGGAAATTGCCAGAAGGCCCTCAGAGCTAGAGCTCATCGAGGTCTGAGCTGAGATGGGACTTTGCATAGGTTTTTACATAATATACAAAGGTAAGAGAACTCAAGTTTATTGGTACAGATTTTGGAATCATAAAAGCCAAAAGGGAAGCACCCAAGTGGTGTGTGTGTGTGTGTGTGTGTGTGTGTGTATTAACAGAAGCCAAAGCCAAGAGGTACAAAAGAAATGTATAATGGGGGGGGGGATGCTGTCTTCTGCTATAAATCCAAATTCCAACTTCTTATGAAACATATGCAAACAGGCTCATTAAAACACTGTCACTGCCTACTGAACACATACCATCTGGCCTATAATTTAGTTCTGATCCTCAGCAACTGCTTGCTTTGTGCCTGCATTTCACTGGGTTCCTAGGTCCTGGTACTAATCCAGGCAACAGCCATAAACATGATAGATTTACCTTTGCCAACAGAGAGCTCCAATAACTGTTTCTGCAGTGAGGATTTTACCAGGGGAAGTCACCTCTGCCCTCTGATTCCTACCATACCTCAAAGCAAGCCAATCCAGGAGAGATCTTGCTGAAGTCCTGATTTCCCATGACCTTCAGTATCAAAAGAAGACCAAACCCAAATAACATTTGACTGACAGAGCAGTACGCACTGTTTTGTGGAGGACTTCCATCATCAGTCACTAGAATGGTGGCTTGGTACTGGAAGTTAAGGCTGGCCATAGCTTCAGAGTCACAGTCCAAAGTGGTGTTCACCTGCCAGGACCCAAGGACAGAAAGGTCAGGACCATATGGGCACATCTTAAACTAATAGCATCCTCTGCCAAGGGGAGATGCTTAGTCTGGGAAAATGGTAAACTCATTGTTAATTAGAGATACCACACTCATTATCTCTCAGGTACCCAGAAGTGACTGAATTGGAATTAAGCAGTACCCTGAGACATTTTGCCCTAAATTCTGGCAAAACTGAGAGGATGGCTAGGTATGTTGGAAGCTACTCAACCCTTAAGCCTTGCCCACTCTCCCCACTCCTTCTCCCTAACATATATGATGAAAGAAATAAGTCCATTCCAAGGGCTTACCTGTAGTTCTGAGTGCCTCATTTGGAAGCTATAGGGAGGGCTCTGGCTGCCCTCCATTATTTCGTAGTGAAGCCTGTCGCTGCCACTCTCTACATCATTACAAGATGGAGACGGCAGTGTCCTCCCAATGGGTGTCGTCTCTGGAATCTCAGTCCTAGGATTAAGCAGCAATAGCCTCAAAGAGTAAAAGATGCAGAAGGATAGAAATGGTGATTTGAAAGGAGAGAAAAATCTCCTCCTCCCCACTTTGCCTATGTTTCTCAATAACCTCTCTTAGAGCTGATCACTGTTGACAAGACAAACAGACGCTCAAGCATGTCAAGGGCTACAGTTCTGTCAGTGGAAAGAAGACAATTCTTGTGCTCTGATTGCTCTGACTCATTAGCCCTTAAGATCATTCTTACTTCTGGATCAGGGGTGGGAGACCTGTGGCCCTTCCAGATGTTGCTGATCTTCAACACTCCTCATCCCTGTCTGGAGTTGATAGCAGCTGAGGCCAAATCACATCTGGAGAGCCACAAGTCCCCATAGTTAATAGTTAATCCAGGGGTCAGCAAACTTTTTCAGCAGGGGGCTGGTCCACTGTCCCTCAGACCTTGTGTGGGGCCAGACTATATTTTGAAGAAGAAGAAGAAGAAGAAGAAAAAAAGAACAAATTCCTATTTCCCACAAATAACCCAGAGGTGCATTTTAAATAAAAGGACACATTCTACTCATGTAAAAACACGCGGATTTCCAGACCATCTGCGGGCCAGATTTAGAAGGCGATTGGGCCAGATCCGGGCCCCAGGCCTTAGTTTGCCTACTCATGGTTAATACCCATGGATCCTCTTATACCTTAAATACTGCTATACCCTGCTGTGCATAGCAGGTAGGGAGAGACCCTCAAACTCTACATTTCTTTTGCTGGCTCAGGCTTGAGTAAGATCCTTTTGCTCTATGGAGACTTACACAATTACAGCAGGAGTGCACAGAGGTCCTTGCAGGTTCTGCCGCTTTACTGTAATGTTGACGGTGATGGTGGCTTTATCTGTGGGATGCAGCATGTTGTAGGCTTCCACTGTGAGCAGGGTTTCAGTTAAGTCTGGATAGCGTCTCAGATTTAGGTCATACGTGTTCCTGATTAAGCCTGTGTCTGCATGCAAGCAAGAGACTGGCTGTGATCACTCAGCTCCTTGAGGGTAAGATGGCTGACATAGTTTGAAGACCATTGTTGATGACCACCACAGAAGGCCCAGCCCTCCCTGAGGCTGTGTGGGTTCCACGCTACATCCCTGGATTCTCCTTACCTGGTTCAATGGTGAAATGCCTTGTGGGCAGAGAGGAGATGATCCGGTAAAGCACATTTTCTCCACTGGCATTGACTCTTACAATAGGCTGGAGGGGAATTGTGTTTTCTGATACTGATATTGCTAATGTTGACTCCCTATATCATGAAGAAAAGAGTGTAAGCCCCAGGTGCTATAAGCCACCCCATCTACTCATAGTTGAATATTCCTGTTTGGGGATAATACAGGAAGCAGAGCATTAACAGGGCAACAAGGACTTTTAGAGTCATGTTGAAAAATAGGAAAGTGAGTTATGGCTGCTCCATGCAACTCCAACAATATGTGTGGCATCAAAGGGAAGAAAGAGAAAAACACACCTGAATGTCCTCCCTGCTCTATGCTTCCTTCAAAGAATTTGATGTAGTGCGATGGCCCAGTCCCCAATATAATGGTGGCTGGTGGTGTTTCAGAGAAGCTCACACTCCTCACTTGCTCATGTTGTGCTGCCCAGGCCCATGGGACAGAGGAGACAGTAAACCTGTCCTGACACTAGAGGGGATTTGCACAGCTCCCTTATAGCAAGTGAATAATCTCTCCTAATTCAGTTTCTGCTCTCAAATCCAGATCATCTCTACCACCTCTGCCACCAGGGACTGGCAGCCACTAGTCAGCAATAGCCTCTCTGGCATGGCACTTGAAGGGATGTGGGTGGGAAAAGCGACACTCCAGGTATCACAGGGACCTGCTGTTTGTCTACTCAAAAGGCTGTCAGAGCTAGGGCTTTCCTTCTCTGGTACAAGTTAATGAGAGGGGAAGTGGATGGGTCTCACATGTGCACTGGAATGGGGAAGCCCGGATCAGTAGCCTCTTGCCCTGGCTCAAATCTCTGATGGCCTGAATGTACATTCCTTACATCAAAAGTGATTGCTTTGTGAGGAGGCGATATTTTAGAGGTGCCAAAAAAGCACTATTTTAATCCTTTGCAGTGTCACGGAAGTGCAACTCTCAGGTCAAGTGTGACTAGACATGATCTGGGAGCGATGCCCCAGCACTCTCTACTCTGTGGTAAAAGTTTCTTAAGCACACCTTTCTTATGATATTGCATAACCACCAGTGGTGGCAGAACATATTGGGGCAAGTAGCCCATGCCTTAAGTTTATGCTGTGGGGAACCTGGAGCCAAAGAGCCTTTGTATCCCTCTCCCCGCTGTTTATTCATAAAAGTGCCCTATACCAGCATATCATAAAATATCAGGGTGGCATATAACCATATAACACCATTAAAAACAACATAGTAACAACTCAACTCACGTGAAATTGACTTGCTTGTGGGAAACAGGCAGCACCTTCACTGCCAGAGTCCTGCGGCAGCTTCTCCCACCACTGTCCGTTACCACAATGACCATTGAGAACGTCTGCAGGGAGAACGGCATGGCGTGAATTTCAAGCAGGAGGGATAAAGTAAAGGTAAAGGTACCCCTGCCCGTACGGGCCAGTCGTGTCCGACTCTGGGGTTGCGTGCTCATCTCGCTTAAGAGGCCGGGAGCCAGCGCTGTCCGAAGACACTTCCGGGTCACGTGGCCAGCGTGACGAAGCTGCTCTGGCGAGCCTGCACCAGCGCAGCACACGGAAACGCAATTTACCTTCCCGCTATAAAGCGGTCCCTATTTATCTACTTGCACTTAAGAGTGCTTTCGAACTGCTAGGTGGGCAGGAGCTGGAACCGAATGATGGGAGCTCACCCCGCTGCGGGGATTCGAACCGCCGACCATACGATCAGCAAGTCCTAGGCACTGAGGTTTTACCCACAGCGCCACCCGCGTCCCGCAGGAGGGATAGGTCTAGTCAAAAGCAAGCTCTTAGTATGTTGCTGGGTCCAAGAGACCTAGGGAGGGAAGACTGAAGTGCCACAGAAGCCCCAGGAACAGGAAGGCACAGTACCTTGAAATGGAGAATGTCGTGTTTTGTCCCTACTGCCTTATCATAACCAGGAACTGGTTGAGTCAGCTTTCTCAAGCACTATGCTTTTAGTTACAGTTCTGCATGAGAAGCAGAAGCCTGCTGCATGGTTTTTCCCTCCATAAACCGTTGTGTCTGTGTTTTTTTAGCATCATTTGTGTGGCCCCATCCAAATGATGCCTTTTAATGAAAAGAGGATGTGGGGACAGGGAGGTGGGAGTCGCAGGGCTAGGAGGAAACATCTGGTGAGACAAAGATCCACACCATACACTTAAAGCACATCCAATGAATATTTAAAGTGCAGGTTGTACTCTGAAGAATCCTGAGGACTGCTGTTTCTCCTTCACAGAGCTACAGTTCCCAGCTCCCTTAACAAACTACAGAACACTTTTGAAAGGGGACAGAGCTGGGGAGTGGCAGGTTATAAGGACAGTGACATTGGCAGAACATATGCATAGGTACAGTAAGCAATGGAACACACCTTGCCAGCTTGCTCACGACTGAAACCCATGGCAGGTGCCAGCACTCTTCCATCTCCAGTTATGGTGAAAGGCAGAGAGGCATTCTCTATGGAGAACTGTATAAAAAGAAAAAGTTGGCTTGGGAAATTGTTTCTTTATTTGTTTTAAAGAAAATCTAATCCCCTAAGACTTATGTCCAAAATTGCTATCTCCCCCTCTGCCTGGGGCACTGTTAGAATATGCCACCTTCCAAATTCTCAAGCCTTCTCTCCATGGCCAGACACACTACTGGAAAATTCCCTGTACAAGACACCCCCTCCTCAACTATAGTCCTTATTTATTTAAAAGCATTTATTTAATAATAGTTTATAATGGTTTTACTTTTTTTTTAAGTCTTCCAACATTCCTGCTTTCCCCGCAACAAAGGTGCTTACAGTCAAGTTGCCTCTGCCTCCCCTCTTCAGTACAATTTGGTAGATGAACTCTCCAGGGCCAACATCCTCTGAAACGCCTACTGGTTTCTCTCCTGCAGCAGTAAAAGAGATGGAAGCAGTCAGACTCTTGCCCTAGTTAGAATCTGCCCCTTTGACAGCACTGGAGCCCTCTGCAGGCTGAGCTTCCCACTGGCACGGGCAGCCCCAGAGCCCCTTCTTCTAGCACTGGCAAGTCTACTATTCAAATCTGCCTCCCCGTGGTTGAAAAAAACCCAGCACCCTCCTTTGCCATGCAGGATCTGCCACATGTTGCTAGAGAACTCACTGCCTCTCAGTGCCTGGTAGCGAGACCCTCACCACACCGCAGTACTGTACCATATTAAATCTCTTCTCACCATGGCACCCTTGTCAGGGCCTTAGGATGAAATACCAGGGCTACCGTGAGAGCCTTACCTATGTATTCAGGTCCACTGCCACACTCCAGTCTGTCTGCTGCAATGACTCGAATGAAGAGCTTAACTTCAACTGGCGTGTCACTTGGGCAACTTGCACTGAATGTCAAAACATATTGATTCACCCGTCTAGCATCCAGGGCAGCACTGGGACTAAGGCTCACCTGGAAGCCAGAAGAAAAAAAATATCGGCATGTGTTGCACCTCTCTTCCACATGTTCAATCCTGTTGAACAGCCCAGTGTTGATGATGCCATGGGCACCAATCAATAGATGCCCATATGCCAGATAGGTGCCCAGGTGCCAGGTGGGAGTACGTGGCATGTTGGAATGGCCTAATTAAAGTAGCAGCAGCAACTAAAAGTCTCCCCCTTTGCATCCGTCAGTAATATTTGGGGAGTAGTTTTGCATACTTGTGGGAAGGAAAGCAGCTAATTGCTGCTGCTTCATATCATCCTAATGTAGGCACCAATGAAGTGAAACAGGTATGAAACAGTTTTACACTTGTAGTGAAGACATGCTCTATGCTTCTGCATACTAGTTACATGTTCACATACATTAAAAATCAGGTTACATTTGCTAAACAAAAGCTGTATTCCATGACACAATACTAGTTAACAAAAATGACACTTAACCTGTTCAATTCTTTTAGGTATGTTTAATTGATATAATTTATTAAATATTCTAGTCCCACAAGAGGCTAGTTCATCTTGATTGGATTGAAATATCTGGCGTGCAGTGCAGCAGGACAACAGCACTGTTGACTCACGAGTCCCAGTTCAAAAATCCCCACTAAAATGTGTTTTAAAATGCCACAGAGGGAAAGAGTCCCTGTACTCTCATAGAACATGATGGCAGGAAAAGCTTTCCCCTTGCGTACACACACACACACACACACACACACACGGAATTGACTACAAATTTACAGGTCTTTTGTACCTCATAGATGTCAGGGGATACAAAATTTGGCTGATTGAAAAAAGATGTGGTGGGGCTTGTGGTCTTCAGATTTACTGTGGGTGGATCGCTGGAGTCTGTACAGTTGCCGGTGAAGTTGGCCACGGTTGTGCCTGGTGTCAAGCTGTCTTCTAGTACCACAGTGTCTGGGATGCCCTCAATCACTGAGACAGAGACAGCAATGAGAGTATTGGTCCCATGGCACCATTGACTACAGCAGAGAAAAGCCCTCTTTGATAAGCATGCACATGACATGGGTAATTTCCATGTTTCTGAAATATAGACAGCTTGCTTTCATAAATGAATAGTAAAATCATAGAACTGTAAGAGTTGGAAGGGACCCTGAGGGTCATTAGGTCCAACCTCCTGCAATGCAAGAATTGCGATATGGCTCCAAGAACAACTCAGGTAAAATGTCATAAACAAATAAACAAGGCTGAGGATAAAAGAAAGAGAGAAGAAAGAAGATTTGCAAGACACCCAAAAATGGAGGATGAATGAGCAGCAGGAACAGATCCTAACAGCACTGATAGTGATCATTCAGCAAACATTAGTAAACTGATGCCCTGTTATGTTCTCAATAGCGGTTTGGAATTGGGCTGTTCATTCATTGTTATTGCTGTGTATTCATTGTTAATTGGTTATGCCAACTCTTGTAACTAACTGTATAAAGGAATATTATTATTTTTTGTACTCATTCAACTCCAGAGCAATTACAGTCTGTCTCTTCTCATCTGTAGTGAAGTTCTGGCAGCCTAAGTGCAGCTGCTGTTCAAAGGCTTCCTAGGGTAATACAATATTAGGTTTGCAGGAGAGAGGCTGCCTTGCTCTGACCATAGGCAGCTTCCCCCACAGTGTATCGTAACAGCACTTTAGGCACTCAGGTGTCTGTATGCCCATCTGGAGGTGCATGTGCTCAAACATACACACTTGGCTATAACCCATGTTTGCCTGCATTAAGAACAGCTGACTTTGTTTTAACAGCTGTTGTGCATCAAAGCCTGCTTTTGTACTGCATAGGGTGATCTTCCTTCCCCTGCCACTGGTCATAGGTTTGTTAAGTAGGGAAGTGTGGAGGTTTCCTCTCCTTACCTATGTCTCCGATGGCTGGATCTAGAGCGGGGGGGGGGGGGGACACAAGAGAAAATGCCGTTATTATCTACCAGACATTCAGTTCAATTAGTGAGCAAACATTCCCTCAGCAAACATACTCCCCAACCAAAAGCAAAGGAGCCTGGGGTTCCCAGATGTTGAAAGAGAGAACTGAGGAAGAAGCAAGTTGTCATATGGAAGATAAAGCTTTGCCTGTGGAAATGCCACCTTCTACCTGTTCTCCTTTGCTTCTGGAAATAACCATGCATATTTCTGTTTCAGAGAGTACTCAGGCAAACGCCTGGACCAATTTCCTCAGAGGGAAGGATTAGGAAACCTTTGATGAACTGGGCTGTGGTAATGCTCTCATAGCGTCTAGGGCTGTCAATTCTTCCCCAGCGCCATGTGCTCAACACAAACCACCACCACCCCACTAGCTGCTATTCTTTTAAAAACACAATAGTTTCTGGCCATGGATAACTCACGCTATGTCTAGGTTGACCTTGACTAGCTGAAAGTTAACTATAACATTTTGTTACAGGTAGGTAACCGTGTTGATCTGCCGTAGTCGAAACAAAATTTTAAAATTCCTTCCAGTAGCACCTTAGTCTGTCTCTAAGGTGCTACTGGAAGGAATTTTTTTATTTTTATTTTTTATTTTATAACATTTTGTGGTTGAGCTGTGACTTTTAGTAATACACTGTAAATGGTTGTAACCTGCCCAGGGGCCTCAGGTGAAAAGCTGACTAACAACAACAACAACCACCACCACCCATAGGGACACCAATTCTCCAGTCTCTTGGTTCCCATGTCCTAACAGCGAAATCTAATTTGGGAATGGGGATCCTCCATTGAACAGATATGGAGCAGGAGCTTCATGCATGATGGAGCTGAGACCCCCTCTTACCTATAGTACAGATGCTGAGGAGCAATGTGAGAGGCAAGGCCCACCCTGGTTCCATTTTGCAAGGACGCTCCAGTCCAGCCTGTGTTCTGTGCCTTTGTCTCCTTAAATTGCCAGGTTGGGTTGCTAAGGACATTGGGCGGGGCAGAGCAGGGCACAGCAAGGCTCAGCTCAGTTATGGGAATTGCCCAGCCCTTCTCAACACATAGGGAGGAAAACATTTTTTTAAAGAAGAAGAAGAAACCTTGAGGCTACGAGTCAGTCTGGAAAGCACAAAGAGAAAGAGACTGAGGGCTCAACCATACTTACCCTTGCTCTGCTTTTTCTAGGCACAGTGTCCAAACAGGCTTTTTTCAGGTGGCCTCTTTACTGAGAATTCAGCCAAATTTGTTTCCACAAACATTAGACAAAATTGTCTATTTGTTTGTGGGGAGGCCCTAGAACATTGCACCAAGTGTTCTTCCATACTTCTCAGTGCATTTTCCTGTCACTTTATCCCCAAAAGTCTGGTTTTGGGGGGCAATTCTTGCTTTGGTGCACGAGTGCCAAATCCACTTTGATTGTGCTGCCTTAATTTGCTAATATGTGACCAAATCCCACCCACCCCAAAGGGACAAAAATGCCTTTATGGCAAAATGGATTTCGTGGCAAGGAAGCAGAACAGGGGGTGCTTTCAGACAGCGGCATAATCTGCAAAAGGTTCATTGGCAACAGATTAAAGCACGGGAAATGATAATCCAGGAAATGATAGATCTGGATTATTATTTCTTTTCCCCCGGAGGTGGGGGATATAAGACGTCTTGTGGATGCTGCAAAAAAAAGGGGGCAAGAATGAGGATAAACGCAGCATTCCGGGTGTCACAAAAGGCAGCCCCTGAAGCCTAAAAGGGAGACTCAAAGCCCATTTCTCCTGCAAGAGTTTTCTGAGGGAAAAATGAGTTGTGAACAACAGGTCGCTAGAAAAGGACACGGTGGAGGTCGGGGCCTGTCCTGCTCCGACTTCCGCTGGGCCACTCAGGCCTCCACCTACTGCGGCCACAAGGGCGCAGCCTTGCCTCATGCTGCTTTAGTTCGCGCGTGCATTTTCGAAACAAAACAGCGGCGGCTCGCGGCCAGGGAGGCAAGGCTGTCGCCTGCTGGGCGTCGTCCCCCGCAAAGCCTTCCTTGCCACTCGCTCGTGCCCGCGCCTCATCCACCCTGTGCGAACCAGAACGGCGAGGCAGGGTCGAGGAAGCGCCTAAGAGATATATAACTAGGAATAAATAAGGGGGGCGGGGCGACCTGCTGCTTCTCCATGTCCCATCCTATCCCACTTTGCACAGGGTGGAATAGACAGAAAGAGTTAAAGCCAGGGCAATGAATAGAGTTTCTGCTCCCAGCTTCATTTATCCCCTAGGTTCAGGGTTGGAGTTAGGTTTGATGAGGCCCTAAGTTCCTGAAGGTAATGGGACCCTATATGTCCAGCTGTCCTTTGTCAACAACAAGTTGTCGCTGTTTTTTGTGTTAAATATATGCAATACGGTAATTTATGGACCTAATAGGTCCAAACACAACACAAAACACTCTTGCTGTATGTAGGTTTTATTTTATTTATTTTTTATCTTATATTTTGTAAATGTACGTCCAGTTTTTTTCTTATTTTTGGGGCCCCCAAGAGAGTGGGGCCCTAGACTATAGCTTGGTTTGTTGTTGTTTAGTCGTTTAGTCGTGTCCGACTCTGTGTGACCCCATGGACCAGAGCACGCCAGGCACTCCTGTCTTCCACTGCCTCCTGCAGTTTGGTCAGACTCATGTTTGTAGCTTTGAGAACACTGTCCAACCATCTCGTCCTCTGCCATCCCCTTCTCCTTGTGCCCTCCATCTTTCCCAACATCAGGGTCTTTTCCAGGGAGTCTTCTCTTCTCATGAGGTGGCCAAAGTATTGGAGCCTCAGATTCACAATCTGTCCTTTCAGTGAGCACTCAGGGCTGATTGCCTTAAGAATGGATAGATTTGATCTTCTTGCAGTCCATGGAACTCTCAAGAGTCTCCTCCAGCACCATAATTCAAAAGCATCAATTCTTTGGCGATCAGCCTTATACATAAATCGGCACTGGTCAGTTGGGCAGGTTCAGGAGGATGCTATAGGTAGGTGCCGCTTCTCTAATTGGCTGCTAGATGGCGCTGTTCTGCCAGTGATACTAGAAGGGTAGCTGCCCACCTCTCTTTGGAATACATGGGCATCCTGAAGATTCTTAGAAGTATAGAATTGGCAGGGACTCCGAGGGTCATTATTTCAACACAACACTACCCCCTGCAATGCAGGAATAGAATCCTCTCAATTAAAGCATCCCTGACAAATGGCCATCCAACCTCCAAAGGCTGATCTAGGGGAGTGTGGCGGGTGCGGCCACACTGGGCGCTGAGCTTTGGGAGCGTCGCAGTGGGTGCTGCAACCATGACATCCAATGGAATGCGAGAAGCAGGGGGTGCCAGAATTTGGCATCATATAACAGGCGCCACTGAAGTTTGAAGCACAAAGTTCCATCGCTGCAACCTCTGCTTGGAAACCTCCAAGGAAAAAGACCACCTCCCATAGGAGTCCTTTCCACTGTCAAACAGCTCTTACTGTCATAAAGCTTTTCCTGTTTAGTCGGGATCTCCTTTATCATGGTTCAAGTCTTGGCCTCTGGAACAGGAGAAAACAAGCTTGCTCCATCCTTCGTGCGACAGCCCTCGAGATATTTGAAACGACTAGCATATCTCCCCTCAGTCTCCTCTTTTCCAGGCTAAACATACCCCACTCCCTCAACTGTTCCTTATCAGGCTTGGTTTCCAGACCCCTGATCATCTTGTTTGCCCTTCTCTGCACACGTTCCAGCTTGTCAATATCCTTCTTAAACTGTGGTGCCCAGAATTGGATACAATATTCCAGGTGTGGTCTCACCAAGGCAGAATAATGTGGTACTATGACTTCCCTTAATTGGGACACCATACTTCTGTTGATGCAGCCTAGAATAGCATTAGCTTTTTTGTTGTTGCTGCATCACACTGCTGTCTCATGTTAAGCTTGTAGTCTACCAAGACCCCTAGATCCTTTTCACATGTACTACTGGCAAGCCAGGTGTCCCCCATCTTATATGTGTGCAGCTGGTTATTCCTGCCTAAGTGTAGAGCCTTACATTTGTCCCTGTTGAAATTCATTTTGTTAATTTTAGCCCAGTTCTCCAATCTGTTAAGGTCATATTGAATCCTGATTCTGTCTTCTGTGGCATTAACTACCCCTCCCTGTGTCATCTGCAAATTTTATCAGCATCCCCTCAGTTCCTTCATCCAAGTCATTTATAAAGATATTGAGCAAAAACTGTCCCAGGACAGGGCAATGTTTAGGGGGTTTTGTGGGTGGGTGCAGGGAGGTTACTGCTGTTTTATTAATTCTTTGTTTATTTATTTGAGATCTTATAATTTATGTGGAAATTGTTTAATATGGTTGTGTACTTTTTGATGTTTTATTTATTGTTTATGAATGCTTTTGTTATTTTTGTAATCGTGATTTTCTTCATGTTGTAAGCTGCCTTGAGCATGGTTTTTTAATCATGGAAAGGTGACATACAAAGAAAAAGATGCATGTATGTATGTCTGAAGAGGGAGGGGGTGTAGACATCCACCCTTAGCAGCCGCTTCTACTGCTTTGAGAGCTCAGAAAGCAAGATACGCAGAGGATACTATCTTCCCTCTGGGAGAAATTGAGAGGGAGATTAGAGAGTATAGGGATGAATACACATCATACATTTAAAGCTCATGACTTCCCCCAAGCAATCCTGGAACTGTTAAGGGGTAAGCTATAGTCCCCAGGATTCTTTGAGGAAGCAGTTTGGTAAACACATGGCATGCAAACAGCCTAAGAATGGAGGGAGGGGAGCCTTCATGGTGCAGTGAGGGTCTGCAGGATGGAAGCTGCCAGGAGAGCGAAAGGCAGAAGAGCTTTGGGGCCTGCATTTTTGTGCATAAATTCTGCTTCCATTTATGGCCAAGTTTCCAGCTACTTATTGTTGCACACATTGAGGGTCGAGAGGGGATTATTCTGTGAACCAAATGACAGTCCTGAACACGATTTGATCTTATTTTTAAGAACCACCACATTGCCATGGGGAGCATCTTGTGACCTAACAAAACTTTCTTATTTGTACACTGAGCCACCCCAGTCCCTCCCCGGTTTTGCTCTTTTTGGCTTATATGTATATATAGTAAATGTAATTGGAGATGTTTGCAAGCCTGTGATGTATTTTAAAGCTTCAGCGGACTGGATAAATATAGCTGTACAGTACATCTATGCACACGTAGCTGTGACCTGAGTTGATGGGCACCACTGAAGCTTGATGTGTAGGAAACCCAGGGCCAGGACCATGTGGGTGTGGGGAGCAGGAAAGGAAACCCTGTAGGCAGGGGTTGAAGTGGACAGAAACAGGGTTCTAGAAAATAGGATGGAGCCCTGGATAAACATTTCATCCACATTCATTGCTGAGTTTAGATATTATTGAAGTTCAATAAAAGCATGTTCCAACCCTCTTACATCACTGCTTGCAGAAAGAGATTGAGGGATTTAGCCGAAGTGAGGTGGCAGGAATATGGGGATGCAAGGAGTCAGCCTAAGAAATGGGTGAGGAGATTGCAAGGCTGGCGTAGAAGTGGGCTGGGATAATAGGTGCTTATGGAGTGCTGCTATTTTCAGGTGGGATTCACTCTCATCCTGGCAAATTCAGGTTTCACAATTACAGTGGTACCTCAGGTTACATATGCTTCAGGTTACAGACTCCACTAACCCAGAAATATTACCTCAGGTTAAGTACTTTGCTTCAGGATGAGAACAGAAATTGTGCTCCGGCGGCGCAGCGGCAGCAGGAGGCCCCGTTAGCTAAAGTGGTGCTTCAGGTGAAGAACAGTTTCAAGTTAAGAACGGACCTCCAGAACGAATTAAGTACTTAACCTGAGGTACCACTGTATAGTTGACTGGGAGGTCTTCCCCCAAAGATAAATCTTTTTGCACCGTAAAGTGTGGTATAACAACTGCTTTGATGCAACATCATCTAAGCTCACTGAAAACAAATCTGGATGAATGCTCAACAAACAGATTGTCCAGAAGTACCTGCAAGCAGAGCATGAAAAAAGAGTGAGGAAGTGGGAGAATTGAAATTGACAGCTCATGGGAACTGCTGGCAAGTCGCTGGGGGCTACACTGAGGATCAATGTGAAGGGACTGTGACTTGGACTGTTCCCGTCCCCTGCTTCTCTCTCTGTGTGTGTTTTAAGTATTTATGTGTCCTGCACACATGTGAAGTCGTGGCTGAAAGAGGAAGTTCTCCTGGCCTTGGCTAGAGGCCCTATGGGGGGATGGGGGGGGGAGTCTGCACTGGGAGAGAATTTTGTACAGGAAGAGAACTGCCAAGGAGTGGGGGTGGGAGAACTGCGTATCCGTTTCTGCAGTGAAGGAAGTGCCCAGCTCACAAGATACATACATACTGTGCAAAGTCTGGAAGGAAGACTTGGCTTAGCTGCTAAGCCTTAGGAAGTCAGGAGACTCTGGAGAGGAAAAATACATCCAGCGAGAAGCTGGAGAACTTGATAAAAAGACGATGGCTGGCTGGCTGGAACTGAGATGCTTGTTCTTGCCATGTGCCCCAGGTACACTTGGGACACCTCCTCACTTCACACAGCAAACACAAGTTCTACATGCACACCAGTGTTTCCCCAGCAAACGTATAAAGTGTAAATAATTTGCTAGTTGCTCTTTCTGTGTTTACTACAGGAAACACTGGTGTACACACAGCAAAGGTGTGTTAAGCTTCCTTTTCTGATCTTCTAAGGAAAGGGTAGGGACGCGGGTGGTGCTGTGGGTTAAACCACAGAGCCTAGGACTTGCCAATCAGAAGGTTGGTGGTTCGAATCCCCTCCACGGGGTGAGCTCCTGTTGGTCGGTCCCTGCTCCTGCCAACCTAGCAGTTCGAAAGCACGTCAAAGTGCAAGTAGATAAATAGGTACCACTCCGGCGGGAAGGTAAACGGCGTTTCCGTGCACTGCTCTGGTTCGCCAGAAGTGACTTAGTCATGCTGGCCACATGACCCAGAAGCTGTACGCTGGCTCCCTCGGCCA